TAAGCTTGTCAAAGCGGGAGAACTCTTGAGGAATGGCAAGGGCCGCGAGTAGATTAGGAAGTGTTGAAAAACTCATTGCTGCTCGACCGACGACGATCGCTGTTTGGAGAACAGACGCGACGTGACAGTTCAACGTGACCTACAATCAGCATCAACTCCTCTTCTGCTTAAATATCACTCAGAGCTCGGAACTGTCGTCTGAACAAAATTAAACATGAACGCTTCCTTACTCAGTATGCTTGCGCATCATTTTCGATAATGTATACTGAGCCATCATACTAAGACCCATTTACCGTTACACATCCAACCGCTGTACAAACCTCACTGGTCTCTGGTGCATCATTTGCTCGTTTTGATCCGACTGGCAAATTCGTCGCAGCAGGCCGGTCAGATGGCTCAGCTGCTATTTGGGATCTCGACACCCGCGCTGTTATACGGTGGTGTGAAGGGCACGTCAAGGCTGTAACAAGTGTCGAGTGAGTGACGCAACATTTCTCAGTGCTCCCATGTCAATTGATCGTATCTACATAGTTGGTCCCGCAACTCCCGTTATGTCCTGACGTCGTCCAAAGATTGGAACGTAATTATCTGGGATCTGGCTTCTCCAGTGGATCCTCCACAACGGTACAATACGATACGATTTGATGCACCGGTTGTTAGCGCGTATTTTCATCCAAGGAATAGGTGCACGTCGGTTTTGTTTTGTTTTTGTTCATGTGCTTACGATGAATGCAAGCGTAGTCGCATAGTACTTGCACTGCTCAGCACGGGCGAGGCATACGTAGTTGATTCACGCAAGGAGCACAGAGCGAGAGTAGAGCTGTGCGAGGCCTTGAGTGAAGATGACGACGACGAACGGGCGCGGTATTTTGCCTAGGTTTCTGCGTTACGACCTGCACTGACGTACGGACTCAGTTCCATCATGACTACCGCGCGATTTGATCCGTCTGGGAGACACGTGTTCGTCGGGACTTCGACCGGGAACGTACTTGTGTTTAATAGCAGAACGAAAATTGTAAGGATTCCTACTGGCAGCCTATCATGGAAATTGGATCTAATGGCATTAAAGATGGTCGCACGGCATCGCATAGCAGGTGCAGGTAGCATGAAGAGTCTGGAGTTCGCGAAGGTTGGGCGGTAGGTGCCCTATTATTCGGTATATTCATTATGTTTACGCTATGATCTTGAGACGCTTTGCTACTAATTCCTCGGATCGAACTATTAGGCAATTCATCCTCCCCACTTATCCTTCACCCATCGTGGGTGCCGAATGCGCAATTTTAGAAACAGAATTAGAGCCTACTCATAAATTCAATGATCCCATCAGCAAGGTCTCGTGGCATGCTATGTCTTATAGTCCTGATGGAGAGTGGCTCGCTGGAGGTAAATTGCTCCACAGCATTATCGACTCGACTTGAACCCTTTGTGCGAGGACAGGTGCGGCGGATCCAGCGACGCACAAAATATACATCTGGGATATTTCAAACGACGGTCAATTTGCAACCGCTCTGGACGGCGGTAGGGAACCTCTTATTGATATCCATGTACGTCTCTTCGGTCATGATACTGGTTACGACAATCATTTTGTTATCTTCAGTGGCATCCACAAGCCTCTCGACTCGCCTCAACGACTAACCAAGGTTCTGTACTCATTTGGCATTGTCCATCTCCGGAGCGGTGGGGTGCATTTGCCGGCGGCTTTGAAGAAGCGGATGAAAATGTAATATATGAAGAGGGAGAATCGGAATTTGACATTGTAAGCTGAACTTTCTATTCGTATCCTTCTCTTTGACAACGATAACTAGGAGAATGAAGTTGAACTTGCCATGCGCAAAAAGCTCCAGGAAGATGAGGCTGTTGACATAATAGGTGGTGTTGACGACCTTGTTGATCACAAGATGAACGGTGTCGCAGGAGATCCTGGTGATGAAGATCTTGAATGGGCTGATGACGAGCCAGATGGTGATTGGCAAGGATGGAGATTAAAGGTGATCATGGTTGATGATGACGACGCTTACTAGCCCATTACCATTTGTTTTGCTTATTTGCTGGGATAGCCCTATACTGATACTGTCTGCGAACGGTATTGCCTCAGCTGATAACACTAGGATGTTGTTTCCTGTATGCGTGATATGTTTCAAAGTCTATGGCAACGCAAGGTTTATATCCTGGTGCGCTCTCGATACAGTCGCCGAATAAAAAGTAGGTTAATCGGTGCAGAGTGGGAGGAGCTGCTAATATCGCACCTCCATCATCTCCGTGAAGTCAACTGAACATACTATAGTAGACATGTCATCATTGCTTATGGAGAACTATAGTCAAGTACATCTCAAGTACTATTCAGCCTTGGTTGAGTGACTTGCGACTATACGATATCTAAATTTGCAACTGAAGCGCCTAGGACCATGACTTCGTATTCCATCCCCTTTTTACTGATGCATATCACATGCTAAAATGCGCAGAATTGTATATCTGACTCTACCCATCTTGAAGTCGTCAATGCTCGACACACATTTGTACTGTACTATAACTATTAAGCAACTATAAAGTAATGGGGTAGCTACAGTTTATTATCCGCATTCAAATATTACTACTTCGACCTCACGCTTGCATCGTCTCCCTCTCGACTTCGGCCCATAGCTGCTCTTCGACTTTCTTACTAGTTTCCATATCAACCTGATCCACCATCTCGTCCTCTATCAACTCATTTTCTAAAGCCTCCTCGTCTGTCTCGTCCGAGAGTAACGACCCCTCCTTCGCATCGCGCGAATCTTCATTGATCAGGGCTTTCGATCCATCGTAACCCGGGAAAAAAGTGTCTACAACACCGATATTAAACGAGGCGGGAGCGAGAAATGCAGGCGTATATATTGCACGATGAGGCGAGAGTGCAATCTCATAGCTTTTCGCATCAGGAGAATGTCCGGCAGCGTTCGCTCGCTCGTCCTGCAAATCTGCGGGGGGACTAGATTTTTGTTTGCGCTTCCGTTTATCCGGGGATAAATCGTACTGATCAAGAAGCTTTGAAAAGTGCTCTTGCTGACTCAAGGTTCTCGCACCGATTGTCTTTAATGCATGTTCGACAACTGGTTGTTTTATCTGGCAGACAGGAAGATATGGGTGAGTTGGCTGAGGTTTAAATGTGTAATATTATTTACCTGGTGCGGCACACACCTCCAAACTTTTTTCTGGCCCTTGAGTTCATTATCCTGTTCCTTCCCCACGGTCGCACGGTGTATAACATCTGTCGTGAACGCAACTACCGATGCTTGAAGGTACCGTATTAAATCTGGGGAAATGAAGGTAGTGCCAGCATCATCCTCTGGACATTGCTCGATCGATTTGTATATCCTGTGCCACAATGAATGAGAAAACAGCAATGATATTCGCGATCAAGACGTACCCCATGAGCTTTCCCAAACGCCCGAGATGAAAGAGATCCATACCGTGTTCACCTAGGTAGGATGCATTGATCCCAGCATTTTGGAAATCGAACCTAATTTTCTGGTAACGCGTTTTTCCACGCACTTTAATACTCTTCTTAGTGATCGCCTTACTCGCGTTCCCGGCGTCATTGTCATCGGCTTCGAATTCAGGTTCAGCAAGATCTGGAACCATTGTCACCATATCCCCAATTTCTTTTCCAAAGGCCGAGCCTTCCTCTTTCTCAGTTTCTTCCACTACTGCGACTGCCTTCTCTTTCCCCTTCCTCCCAGGCTTCATCCTCGCGAGTGTTACTGGTACCGCATCTTCGCCTCGGAGCTGCGCACGCTTTCGTCGCATGTAAAGTCGCTTTGTCTGGCGTCGGCGAGACGTGGGAGAGAGTACGTTCATGTTCATTCCGTTGTCCAAGCTCTGCGGGTTCACATCAGCACTCCCTTCGCGACTTGGACTCTTCCCTTTCTGTGCCTCCTCATCCTCGCGCAGCATCGCATCCAAGACTTGTAAATGACTGTCCTCGAGCTTCTTAAACAAGTCATCTCGTTCCCAAGCAGCGATCTTACGCGCGTGCCATTCTTCGAAGCGAGCCTTTCCCTTGGCGACCTCAATGCTCATCGGCTCGTCCTCGACACCATCCCTCTTTGAATCCTCACACGCTATGAGTTCATCTGCGCCAACTTTAACCGCGACACGCCTCCGTTTTCCTCTCGGGATCATATCCGCCTTGGCGTCCCTTACCCTCTTTCTTCTTAGTGCTTCCAGTTCCTGGAGTTCACCGTGATCCTCTTCGACAATGAGAGCGGCAGCCATGGCCTCTTCTGCGGCTATCCACTCATCTGATACTTCTACCGCAGCGAGGGCAGTCGACACAATGTCACTGGTCTCGGTGATGCCAGAATGCGCGCAAGAATCCAGGGTAATGAGGAACTCTACGATTTCGACCTCGCCTTTGGTCTTTACGGCCTCTGCGATCAAGTCCGGCCGCCAGCGAGAGTAGATCGACAACGCGTGAAAGAACGCGTCCACCTCTGATTGGGACCAAGAAGCGAGTGAGGAACTCCAGATCGCTGGTTTTGATTTGTATGGTGGTGGTTCAGTGCCTTCTTCGACTTGTTGAGGAGAAGAGGGAACGTTATATTGGTTAGTATGTGGAGGGGGCGTAGACTCGGTTGAAGGGACGGGATGGGAGGCGTCATAAAAGGGAATAGACCCAGCGAGGTGGGCTCTGGTATCTCGCAAGTGTGCACGAAATGATGGAAGGTAACCTACATAGATGCCTGGCGCGTCTGCGAGGTCATGCACGGCCAGTCCATTAACATTCTGATGGACCTGGTCGTCCTCTGCGTCTGAGTCTGATCCAGGCATTGAAAAACTAGAACACAAAGAAAGAACTGTTTTTTAAGTTGGTTGCGTCAATAAACCGTAGAAACTGCTTGGAGCTTGCGCACGAACATCCTACATATATCCGTAAGTAGTAGAAATCTGGTAGAGCAGTCGGCGGAATCTTGATCAATCCTCCACCATAGATCCGCGCTGGGTCCGTCGGAGATAAAGGCTGAGTTTGGAATTCGTGCCGACTCGCCGTCAATACTGTTCAAGTCGCATACAGCTAAGTTTAAGCCAGGCTTCGCATACTCCGTCGACTTTCGATACAATGTCCACAGCACATAGACCGACATGGGATCCTGCCCAAGCTCGTGATGTGAAAGGTGGCTCTCGACAGTTCTCTGTCCGAGACATGGCAGCACACACGAAGCTCAAATTCCGGCAAGTATCCGTCTTTATCGTCTTCGAGTTGTAGAGCTTATGATATGTCCATAGGCAACCTGGACAAACGTCCGTTGGGGACGTCGCACGGAGAGACTTACGTATGGATCTATTAGCAGCGGAGGAAGAAGCACGAAACAAGAAGCGAAAAGCAGAGGGAAAGCCACCGCTACCGCTCACACTCACAAATGGAAACGCGACGGAGGCAGGGGATGAGGCTAACAAGCGGAGGAAGCTATTGGAAGAAGCTCTGGAGCTGGACAAGGACGATGATGACGACGACGAGAAAGAGGAAGGTACTGAGTCTAGAGAGCAGGAGAATGGGGAAGAGCAGGACGAGGAAAGGTGAGCGTCTCTTCTCCGACTTCATTGTTGAGTGCTGCTCCTTGACAGCGAAATTTACAGTGAAGAGTCGGATGAGGAAGATGAGACCGCTGAGTTGATGCGTGAGTTGGACAAGATCAAGAAAGAGCGGGCAGAAGAGAAGGCCCGTCAAGAGCGGGAACAGAATGCGAGTGCCGCAGTGGCACGAGAAGCTGAGATAGCTACCTCAAATCCTCTCTTAAATCTTGCTGCAGCATTGGGGCAATCACCTGGTGTGAATACAACCATACCAGGGACATTTTCCGTGAAACGGAGATGGGATGACGGTGAGTCACTCGATTCCTTTACAATTCGTCCTCTGCTAACATTGTTCGTCTCAGACTTAATATTTAAGAATCAAGCAGCGAATCAGAAAGACAAATCTGGCCAATTCGTCAACGACCTGCTACGGACAGAATTTCACAAGTGCGTCCGGTACATTCTATTGCTGCGCCGCCTCTGACCGTCTCGAACACAGAAAATTCATGGCGAAGTTCATTAAGTAAAGAGATAAACTATGTACATTATGGCCGCTTTATTGCAATACCCAGCTGGGCTTTCCATCCTTTGGCCCCCACTCTGACTCCAACTCGGAACATTTGAGACTGACGCATAAATCGTCTGACGGGACCAGTGTTCGCCATTCAAGTCTGAGACCAACAGCGGTGAGTCCACTTCATCATACCTTCATTTTAACGCACCCTGTCATCCTACCAAGTCGGCACCGGCACATATGTTCAACGGTTCCATTCACAACGACTACGCCGCCTACTATAACTCATAACCTTACAAGTCGGGATCCTGGTTCTTACTGGCGCTATGAGCAACAATATGAATAAGCTGGTAATTTCCTCAGTATTTTGTACGTCCCATAGTATTGGTCCCGAGTCCGCAATCTCCGAGTGTGGAAGATCTCAAGAGCTCTGTCGTCAGTGACAACGGTGAGAGGTGTTCCCAATAACTCTACCCTCCACTTCTTTAAAGCCCTTACTATAGCCTTTTCGTGACCGGCTAGTTCATCTGTGCAGCCTTCAACTTTCTAGAGTCCCACACAGCGGGTTTAGTCTAAGCGGTTTCGAACGTTGGACCGAAGCTGAGTACTATTGGATTACATTGCTTTGCCTGTGACTTGGCCGTCGTCGTTTTTACCTCTGGAGCTAGTGTGGGTAAGTAGGCGTTTATTTGCTGGTTGTTCTTGCCTTACCATTATGTCAGCTCAGATCACCTCGACATGGGTGTTTACGGCCTGTCACGGTGGCAGATCTTGGGACACTCAGAGGTACGTACATCAGGTGTTGAGTTGAGTGGTGGATAACACGCATTAACTGCGTTGATGATGATGTCAGTAGGGGGTCACCGAGCCTGAGAGACCACGTTGAATGCCAGACATTGAAAATGACCCGTTAGCAGTGGCCACCTCGACTGCTGCAGCCGCTATGTACATATGGTGATGGACACTCAAGTACTCAAGTTCTGCCGATGAATGACACAGCACAAATCTGGACCCCGAAATTGCTCCTCGCATCTCTTCAATTTATTCAATATTGAGTATTCAAACTAATTCAAAGGCGCCTCTACGGCCCATGAAGCAGGGAAAAACATCCAGACTCTAGGAATAACTGACACATTGACCAAGTCAGCAACGAACTACGCATTGTGCCATTAGCCACAGCACAAATGTGAACGCAGAAATACGACTCACCGTCTAGATGTACTCATGGACAGGCCGCCAGCACATCGGTAGCCTAATGATTGCACACTTTGTAACCGGGAGACTATGATTGAGGTGCATGGAGTGAGCAATAGGAAATCCTGGATGCAAAGCAAACTACTCATACTCACCGACGTTGAAGCACAGAGATATTGAGGGCAGCAGTCCTGTTGGCAGGCCGTGAATTGGGGACTGCATGCAGTGACAGACATACATGCTATCAAAGCAGTACTAACGACGACGACGAAGGAGAAATGCATGGTTTGTGCGAAGTGATACAAGCCTTGCAAAGAGGATTTTAAAGGTGGACATTGGGGGGACAGGGCTCGCATGAGTCGCATTGCATTTACCTTGCGTTGATTGGACACTGCATGCTATCTGTCCTATGGAAAGCTGGACGCGTGCGCTCTACACAATGGCATGCGCCAAATGGAGCAGGACTGGGACACGTAGAAGAAAATTTTATACAACGATTCTATGGGTATTCCTGAACCTGTTATTTCTCTATCATTCTTACCATTTTCTCCGAATCCGCCTACTTTTTTTAGTTTACTTTTTATTTATTTTTGTTCTGTTGTTACATTGATGTGTCGTTTCCTCCGTTGCAAATATACAGCCTCTGATCTCACAACTCGCCAAGTTTCTTTCTCTGTTTCCTCATTTCATTGTATGTCTAATTTTTTCTCATGGGGCTTTTCCTGCATTGCGCTATACTATGCTGTGCGCTCTCCTATTTTGATGTGACATAATCAAGCTGTCCTTAGCATCAGGAAAATCCTCCTAAGCTAATTAGAAGATATTAGAACTAATTAGCACCAATGCTCCGTTATTATGTCTAAATTAGACAAATTAGAGCTTTAGCAGATTTAGCTCAGTTATTTTACCCCCTGATAAAAACACAAGAATTAGAAAGAATTAGAAGTTATTCAAAAACATTATCTTAGAGTTATTGCTATTGTGTTTGATTTTAGATGAGGGATCCAACTGAATCAGACAGTGTTACACGAAAAAGACTAATCTTTGATTAAAAATGGGTATATGGGTAGGCTAATTTAAAGAACAGTGTGCGCTACGACCAACTGGGAGACATGGTATAGATAACAGGAATCAGCTTCGCAAATCGATATTGTGCACTATGGATACAAGTGGGGGATAATTTAGTTTTCCATCATATTGTTGAGGTCAAGTAGCTCAAATGCTTCCAGTTCACTAGCGTGGTCACTGGCATTGGCACCACTGTACCTCAACTTCCTGTGCACTGTGATGCTTGGACCCGTGCTGGGCAGGAAAGAGCCTATTTTCATATTGATGTCAAGGAGTATAGAACACTATCAGTTTCCCTATCCTTATCTGTCCCTCATACATCAAGTAACCTCTGTGCAAAGCTGAACCCACACTTTCCCGTGCATTGGCCGCATTGGACGCGCATTCCCGCACTTCGGATACCTCGGAAACACATTAAAGGGGCCCTCGTCTATCCATAGTCCATCCAAACCCCATTGGTATATGAATTTCCTTACCTCGAGGCTTGTAAAATGTGTTGCAGCCTTATTACATGTCCTTACATATTTACTATATTTCCTATCCCTTCCTATTCTGAGTGAGAGTCTAGACAGTATAAGTTGACTATTACTTGGGACTACTTACTACACTTCCCTCATACTGGATACCTCTCCCTATAGGTTTACCTTCGAAGTAGTCCCTTGTAGTGTGCGCTTTTTAGCCCCTATTAGGTCCCTATACCTAGTCTTTCCTTACCTTGCAATATACCTTTGCCCTCACTCTCTCTAAACCTTGTTCCTTAACTTCCCTATACCTTGTCCGCACTTTCCCGTGCTTTCTGCACCTTTGGCCACGCATTCCTGCGCTTCGGATAGCCTCGGATACATTCCTGCACCTCACGCATACCTTGTCCACTATTTTCCCGCACTTAGCGCGCCCTCGGGTTGCACATATCCATCATTGTTCTAGTAGCAATTCCCTTTAGGGTCGAACACATCTGTTTAGACATAGCAGCTAGGCATTAGCTTGACCCAACCTTTTCTTACCACCCAGCAAGGTTGTTGTTTCCACAGCGCAGAGTAAGCATTGAGGCAACACTTCCAAAAGGGAACTCACTGTGCAGCCTCATAAATATCGGCCATCATACAGTGGAATTTCATTGGCACATCCTTCAGTTTTTCCAGGAACCTGACATGGTAGTTGTATGTCTCACTGAACAAGTTTCCCATGAAGTTGAATTTAGATGGTGTGCCTTGCGACTTCCACAAAAGGGCTGCATATGCCTTTGCAATGAGTTAAGTGGCATATTTGTACAATGAAGACAAGTACATTACCGCAGTTGCAACCAATGCCAGCAAAGGGATAGGAACTTCAGGACACTGTGCTTTGTTGTTGGCAATTTCAATGAAGCATCCTGCGAATTTGATGCTGACAGACTTCTGGTTATAAAAGAGCTGCCAATACGTTAAAAATATTAGAAGTTCACCCTGGTAGGGCTTCTTCCCGATGGGCAAAGCATTATTGTTGATCTGAATAATTTCAATGATGTCAGCAACACAGGCAAAAGGAGATATATTGATCCTACATCGAACTTCAAAACATAGATATATGCAAGCTTCTCCAACAGTCTTCTCACTTTTGTGGTGTCCTTGTGTCCAAGGCAAAAGTAGCCATCAGCATTCGCGCATGCTTCTTCCTTCAGCTTGCTGTGTGTGAGGAATGATAGCTAGATGAGAAGGGGTGAAAGGGGGAGAAAGGGTGAAGTGGGGTAAAAACTCAAATAGACCTCTGGATGTGAGTATAGATTCAGCCCAAGGGGATTGCTACTGAGAACAATTCCTCTATGTAAAATGTGAGGGGAAACTTTGAAACTAGTAAGGGTAACTGAGAATAGAGGGAGTGCGAGAACTTGTGCCAAAGCGATGCAAGCACGAGCGAGCCGCTGAAAGTGCAATACGATACACGACCAAGCAGCCAAGAGTTTGATAAAGCGTGAAGGCACGTGGTCAGGCCGAAGGATATATGTAAAGTTTCGTGAATTGAAAGCGATGTGACATGGCAGTAAAACAGGAGGAGTGTTTTGATGATAAGGGTGATGGACGAAGTGCGAACACTTGCGCGACTATTAGAGAAGCACACGCAGTAGTAGGCCGAAGGTTTGAATTCTTAGTCTGAGTGTTGTGTGAAAACGGATGATAATTTCGATGAGGGAAAGAAAGAGATACATGAAAAGTCATAAGTACTAAGTATATATGATAGCGCACGAAGCGCTGTTCGGAGCCGAGTAGGTAGTGGTAATATGTAACAAGGGTCCATAATGCAAGTAACGTGAACATAAGCGATATAGCTTCGGAAATATAGTCAGTCTAATGCAAACGAGATAAAATACGCACCAATGGACAAGCGGAGGACATGGATAGGACAGAGGAAGGATGTGCGATGGAGCTGAAGAAAAGCGGATGTGCGCATGTGAGCTGCGGCCGTTGGCCGACAATGGAAAAGATGTGCACCATGTTAGTGATAGGATGCACTGCGTGAGGACCTGAGGGACACTGCAAAAATAGCCTCTACGAGGCTACAAGGACTCCAAGTCCTACATCACGACACATTATCAGAATACAAGCATCCACCTCACATGATTGACAATAGTTAGAGACTGATTTGAAATTGCGCAAGTTGGACTCACCAAGCTACAGAGCTGTAATGCATACCATTCATCCGATTGAAAATGTTTCTTGATCACATGCACACCATGTTTTGTGGCAACAGCTATCAACGTTTGCAGTGCGACTTGATTCTTGTCAACTAGTTTGGGATAGCCATGTACGAAAAAAGGTAACACTTGACTTCCACAATTGCAGACTGAAGAAGTCTGCGAGTCTCTGAGTTCTGATCAAGGAGCTTCACCTTTCCACCTTCTGTTCGAATGAGAGAGGCCATACTCCTAGTCTTTGATGCTTGACTCGGAGTGTCAGAGGTAAGTTTTGGTACAGTGTCTTCATTGTCAGACACAAATTCTGACTCACCACCAGTAGTGGGATCTTCAATAGACTCTGAAACAGCATCATTGATGTCAAGATTGACCCAGGTTGGAGTCTCGGTCATTTGTTTGTGATCTTGCGCAAACTCCAATTTTGAAGTGCCATGTGATGCTTCCTGTGGCTTGTCAGCAATGAGTGATGCGACCTTCAAACCAACTGTGAGTTCATACAAGCTCAGTGGCACAGTGCCTAACCTCATCAAAAAGCAGCATCACAGTAGTACCTGGGTCTTCATTCTCACTAGCACAGCCAGCACTCTCATTTTCCATGGTGTAACAATACAACAATTGATGAACACTACATGAAGTAAGTGTTTAGCAATATAAAATGTGTTATGGTCTTGCACAGCCTAGTCTGCTATACTTGCAGAGCAAGTGCATTTGACCCAAGGGTTTTGCTGTTGGAATAGGTCTGTAGTTAGTGAAACGATATATGGTCAAAAGTCTGAGTGCAGGAAACAGTGTCCAAAGGTATATCTACTATGTCCGATGCCAAAGCATCGGGTCCAATGTTTTCGAGTTTTGGGTTAGCAGGTTTCGGGTTCGGGTTTAGCGGGTTAGCGAGAATCACGATAGCAAATGTCAGGGAAGCAAGTGGTATGCGGATTAATGATAATGACAGGTATTTTGGATAGAAAGAGCGGTAATATTCGCAATGTCAACTAAGAACTACGAAATATCAGGTTTGGCCACTAAGTATTGGGAAATGGCTCCCTACTACTTCGATGATGAAAATACTTGAGGTCAGTCCAATATATATGTAAGTACATAGAAATCCGGAAACCTGTAGGCGAAAGTAGTGGCTGAATATTTTGGGTCTGAAGTACATGTAAATAAACATGAGGTGCTGCGGATGATGGGAAAACATGTAATAGTGCTGGCTACAACATGAGTAATGTGCGAAATAATCAATTATGCACCTAGTAGGGCTAGCAAGATGGGATGTGACACAGATAGGACAAGTGCGCAGGATTTCGGGTCGGTTGATGTGGCCAAAACATTGGGTCCGCTAGTCAAAGCATCGGGTTTCATCAGGTTAGCATCGGGTTACATTGGGAAGTGATTAGTGTGTGACAGGCATTGAACGTGTATCAGGAAATCAGTGAATATGAGCTCAGTGTGAGCTCGAGTGCTACAATGGTCAGCATCTGAATCACTGGGATTCCAGTCATCCCGATTGTCCTGAGCATCATCGGAGTCGGCACCACTCTGTTCACGATCATCCTGAGGTAATGTGATGTCTTGCATAGCAAATGTTTGACAGAGTTTGGCAGGTCATCGATAATGTGGGGCTGCTGCACATCATGTGAGACTTCCTTTTTGTTACATAAAAGCGACCTAACCTTGCTTATTAACTACTGCAGCTTCTGGGATATCATCAAGTGAGTTGCTGTCTGCATCCACCAAGTTGCACTGACGCTCTGCCCAAGTTTATTTATGTAAGTACTAACTCTTATTTCATACAGAATAATTGATGCACTCAATGTTGAAGGCTTTCTTGACTGAGTACTAGGTGCTGGCATCTTACTGGTGGAACTGGTGTAGGTTTACAACTCAGAGTGGTGCTATAGGCTCCAAACTGATATCTTTATGTTGTAGGTTGTGCACTGCCTATCTGCTATACTTGTGGAACAAGTGTGTTCGACCCTAAAGGGGAAGCTAGTGCAGCAAAGGTCTAGAAATGGGCGCAGAAGGTGCCACTTGTCAGCCAATGCGAAGCACGGGAAAGCGGCGGGTGCGCACACGTAGCGTGGGAACATAGCGGTGGCTGAAAGCCGATGGCGCGGGAAGAAACACGGCTGTGAAGCGGCCGATGCACGAGGGGTTCGGATGATAATAGAGATGAAGGACAATAGAAATAGACTTAGAGTGAGGCGATAATGGATACGATGCAGGTGGTAAATGGATAATGATTGCCAATAGCTACCAACTGTAGGCTAATGGGAGTTGCTACTGGAATGTCCAGAAAACAAGCTACTGAATGATATGTACTACTAGTGCTTAAGTATTGCGCTAAGCGCTGTCATGCGGAACTGAGCCAACGTGCTACCGAGTTAGGTATGTAAAGCTATATGTAAATAAAGGTGGTGCGATGCGGAAATGGTCTGATATGTAAATATAATCATGGAATAATGTACCATTGGATTGGTTTTGGACTAGGGATGGATGTGAAACATCAGCCAATGAAGTGTGAGAAAATGCAGCTAAGCGTGGCTGTGCATGCATGCGGGAATGCTGCAGTCGTCGCAGGAAAGTAGCAGCTGCTAAGCGCGGTGTAGCACTCGAGCTCGCACTAGGCTCGTATTCAGCTATTTTCCCATACATGTCAAACACATGAATCACTTCCAATGTTATCCGACACTCATCCGCTCAATCCGATGTTTATCTGCTAAACCCGACGCTAACCCGACGAACCCGATGTTTCCCGCGCATCGGACCCAACGGACCCGATATTTTTCCGCGCACTTGTCCTCCCTATGTCCTGTCCTGTCGTATCTATCCCCACTAGGTGTGCAGTCATTCATTTTCACGTCGCTAACATTGTAGAACACGTTATTACATGTCCGCAGTACATCATGTCTTATTACATAGGACATTGGACCCGAAAATCAGTGCTACTACTTTCGCCTATAGCACTCCAAATTTCTACATAGACACTATATTTCACATACCTCCTACCTATTTACTTTACCTTTCTACCTCCGAGTAGGAGGAGGTCATCCGATATTCGTAGTTCTTAGTTGGATTCCACAATATCATCCTTTCTTTATCCGAAACATCTGACAGTAACCCGCTGTTTGCTATCCCCGACATTCGCTACATTCCCGATGCAAACCCAACGCTAACCCAACGCAAATCTGACGAACCCGCTAACCTGAAACCCGAAAAACATCGGACCCGACGTTTTTGACATCGGACTCGTAATTATACCTTCGGACTTTGTTTCCCGCGCTTCGGACTATCTTCCTTTTGATATAACTGATTATTCTAATACCAACAGCAAGCCCCTCGGGTCGAACGCACTTGTCTTGCAAGTATAAGCAGACTAGGCTGTGCATGACCACAACATTTTTATATTGCTGGCTACTTACTTCGTGTAGTGCCCAGCAATTGTTGTATCTCTACAGCGGCTCGTGGGAAAGCTGCGCTTCATATAGTAAAGCAATAGGATGCTGAGGGATACCACAAAAATAGCCTCTACAAGGCTGTAAGGACTTCCAGTCCTACACCAGCCCTCTTTTGTTGTGCAGGATGGTCATGGCCTGACCTTTCTGCTGTCTCCGTTGTTGCTGTTGCATGTTTTCGTCTTGGTTTATCTTGCTTCCAGACTGAGTCTCAGGTCAGTTTTGCTTTTGATGGTGTTCTTGGTTGCTCACCTGCATTTTCTGTAGCTTTTTTCTTGGCCCCACATGGTTCTGTTGTACTAAGACAGTCATGAGGCATGGTCATTTTTTATTGAATGATAAAAGGAATGTCAAAGTAGTGAATGGGAAAGGCTGGGACTCAGATAGAAGAATATCTTAAAAATGAGTGAGTGTCAAAGAGAAGGGAATGGGGTGGAGGATTTTACTAAAGGCAGTGTATTTATGTAGCAGGTGAGGGGCACTAATTCCTAGTTTCGGCACAGCCTGGTCTGTCCCCTTCGGTGTAGGTATACAACACAGAGTGGGGCTATACAAAGATGGCTCCAAACTGATATCTTTATGTTGTGGTCTTGCACTGCCTATCTGCTATACTTGCGGGACAAGTGCGTTCAACCCAGGGGTCTGCGGTCTGGGAATAGTTTTGGGGGTCAGTGAGTGATGTGGGGTCAATAATCCGAGCATGGAAAACAATGTCCGAAGGTATAATCATGATGTCCGATGCAAAAGCATCGGGTCCGATGTTTTTCGGGTTTCGGGTTATCGGGTTCGGGTTCAGTGTATCAGAAACTAATAGTAACGTGATAGTGAGCCTTGGGAAAGTGAGCAGTGTGCGCAATAATAACGATGACAGATATGGATGGTGAAGGAATGATGATATTCACAATGTCAACTAAGAACTACGAAATATCGGGTTTGACCCCTAAGCATTGGAGACGATTCTCCTCTACTCGGATGATGATGATGCTATGGGGAGTCCAATATTTATGTAGATATGTAGAAATCCAGAACCCTATAGGTGAAAGTAGTAGCACAATATTTCAGGTCCGATGTCCTATGTAATAAGACATGATGTACTGCGGACTATGGGAATACATGTAATAACACAGTCGACAATGTTAGGGATGTGAAAACAAGTAACTATGCGCCTAGTGGGGCTAGCGCGATGAGACTGGACATAGGTAGGACAAGTGTGCGTGATATCCGATCAGCTGATGTGAAACCTGATGTCCAATGTCCAATGTTTTCGGGTTTGGTGCATATTGAGTCGGATATGATAGGGAATGATTTGGGTAATGATTAGCATTCAACATGCATCGGAAAATAGACCTCTACAAGGCCACAAGGACTCCAAGTCCTACATCAGGTCACTGTCTTTTCACATCTCAACACCCCTGCATATGGAGGATTGTACCGCTTGCATTGTCTCAGCTTCATCATCTTCTCGCTCATTACCACCACTGTATTACACTGTCTTTTTCTGCCCAATTTTCAGCCAACTGTATCACTTGTTGTCTCAGTTTACCACTGCCATCAAAGCACTAGTCTCGGACACAGTCTCTGTCCCTGACTTGCATTAACTTTAGGTGGGTTACTGCTTGAATTTATTTGTTCGCTTGCCCATTATTTACCACACCCTAAGTTGCCTACTAGTAATCCTTACATCAACTTCAGGTCATCCTCGCTCCTCGCTCATCCCAGCTCCATCATCTCCAGGTATACCACACACTGTCTCAGCTTCATTGTCTCCAGGTATCCTAACTTTACTATTTCCAGGTATCGCACACATCGTCCCAGCTTCATCATCTCCAGGTATACCACACATCATCTCAGCTTCATTGTCTCCAGGTATCCTAACTTTACCATCTCTAGATAACTATGAATATGCACTGGGAATGCTCAGCTTGTGGCCATTGGAACAGTACACTCTGACACCAGCGAGAGAACAGCAGACACAAGGCTAAAACCTCTGAGATGTGAGAACAAGACAAGGACTGCAGCGAGAGCCTTGAAAGCAAAGGCCCAAGGCAGCAAATGGCCAAAGCCAAAGCAAAGCAAAGCCTCAGACAAGCAAACACACAGCAAATGCTGGTGGAAGAGATGTATAGAACCTAACCCTAAGACATGCTATATATGACTATCTAAGACCTCGAACACCTCTGCAGGACCCCTGGCACCTGTCCCTGCCAAACCCAACCACTACACCATGATGATCTCACTGTAACCGGTCTCAGCCAACATCTTGCAAAGAGTCATGACCCCCATTGTCAAGCGCTCTACAGCCAGTTGCAATCTCAAACAAACAATGAAGCCAAACTTGCCATGGATGGTGCAGATGAATTTGAGGGAGACTACTATGGAATTTACAATGAGGACAAGTTAGAATGGCCTGCTGAGCAGGCAACTGATAGTGACTTGAATGAGGTGACTGATAATGACTTGGATGATGATTTCCTCTTCGAACCTGAATGGGAGGCACCCTCGCTACCTCAGGCTGAGCAAGATCACAGCTTACTAGATGATACGCCTGCCTTTGAACATGACAAGTCAGAGGATATTCAACAGAATGCTCATTAGGACATCAAGGCATGTGCACAAGGCCAGTGTGGATTTGTAGTTGAGCCTTATCCAGATCCACACGCTGGCCAAAAGATTTCACACAATTCAGTTGACCACACTGGTAATGTGGCATACAGGGCACATCTTGCAGATGATGAGAACATATACTATCCTTTTGCTTCCAAGATTGAATGGGAGGTTGCAAGATGGGCAAAGCTTCATGGAGCGAGTTCAACAGCATTTTCAGACTTGCTATCCATTGACGGAGTGAAGCATTTGTTTGTTTGTTTCACGAGTATCCAATTAACAGCTAATTCTACTAGGTTGGTGAGCACCTAGGGTTATCATTCAAGAATGCAAATGAACTGGACAAGATTATCGACCATGAACTTCTGACTGGATGCCCAAAATTCAAACAAGAACAAATTGTTGTTGCAGGAGAATCTTTTGATGTCTATCACCATGACATCATTGAATGTATCAAGTCATTGTATGGTGATCCTGACTTCGCAAGATACCTTACATTTACTCCTGAGCACCATTACGCTGATGAAGATCAGACCATTCGTCTGTTACATGACATGAATACTGGGAAATGGTGGTGGAACACACAGGTATGAACTCTCGAGTGTGACACCAATTAGACTTCATACTAACTTATAATGGCTGGCTAGAAAAAACTCAATCAGCAATGTCCAGGTGGAACCATCATTCCGATTAGCATCTCAACAGACAAAACACAAGTCACATTGTTTCACAATAAGACCCCATACCCTGTATATCTCACAATCGGTACTCTACTTCCCTTCCCTTGGATGCTACCTTTGTTTTGTGGAGTCACTTAGACGTTCCTAGTATTGTTGATCAATTGACAAGCTTTGTTCACTTCTCACTTCGAACCTGTGTGTTCTTGACCACTCTGAGAATGCACCTCTAAGTTTCCTTACCTAGGCTCTGCGCGGATCCGAACTGCTCTCGGTTTCCGACTTAGCATTTTCATACCTAGTTATACCTCAGCCTCAAAACTTGTTTATACCTAGCCGCTACTTGCAGAACCGCGCTTTACCTAGAAACCTGCCGCTCTTTACCTAGGATCCTCTCGCTTTCGTTCATTTCTCATCGTGCACTCACCAGACCCGCAGTCTCGCTTTCGCTCTTACCAGCAGACTCGCTTTTCCAAGGTCGACTTAGTTCTCTTCCGTTCTGCATTTGCTCCCTTCGCATTATACTTGAAGGAAGCGCTTCATAGCAATCCTCTTGGGTTGAGACAGCACACCCGCACTCAGTTGGATTTATTAGTGCTCTAGCTTTCTTGCTGGCCAGTCACTATTACTTCTTCACACCATGCACTTGGCACTTCATCAGCCGATCACGTACGCAAGCGCTTCGGCTGCACATTGGCACATACATCCTCAGTTCCGTCACTCATCCTCCGTCCATCCATTCCATGTCCATTCAGTTTGTCGGTGCGTATTCCTATTCTATTCTTGTGTATCCTGACATTATCTCCAGCACTTGTGCACACATTCTGTATGTTTCGTCATGGACCCTTATTACATGTTATCACATATTCGCTTCACTCCCCGGTTCGCTTTAGCGCTTGACAGCGCTTAAATGTTACTTACATAGAATATATATACTCCTGCCTCTCTGTATAATGATCATCTTTTCTTCCCACACATCATTGGACTCTAAGTCTAAATCTCCGTTGTAGCCGCCAACTGACACTAAGCACATAAGTATATATGAGCACCAGCCGCCGCACTCTCCGAGGACTTCTGTCTATTGTCTTCCAACTCATTTAGAGTCGCTTCACTCCAACCACCTGCATGTGTGCCTCGTGTTCACTCAGTGTGCATTATCGCACTTATCGCTCAGTAGCGCTTTGCAGCACTTCGCTCGTTGTCACACGCCTTACCAGGCTTATCTGACAGCCCGGTTTAGTGTTTCCCTCCACTATTATACATAGAGGAACCTTCTCAGTAGCAATCCCCTTGGGCCAACATTAGTTTGCACACAGAGGACCCTCTGAGTATATCTCATACTACCCACTTTTCATCATTCTACATTCCTCACCTACACCACTGTCTTACTAGGATGTGATTGGCAATAAATTTACCAGTTCTCACTATCCTCCATGGTCAATGGTTCAGACAAATACCAACTGTTGATAATGTGGTTGTTTATGGGAGGAGGCGTAAATAGCTGGTCTTTCTAAACAAACTTCTAATGACTTGAGGTGGGTTGAGACAGTGACTGTTAACTGGCTTGATGCAGTGCTCAGAACACTAAAGATAAGGATCGTAAATGGTGTAGCCAAATCAATAACTGGCTTGATGTAGTACTACGATGCTACTAGAAGAGGATTGCGAAGATGTGCAATATGAAGATGAAGATACAGATCACCACAGTACACAATGAATCAGAGCAATATCTTATAAAACACTCCCTATTCTCAAAAATTAGAGGAGATCAAACTAAGCCTCTAACACAATTGAATCAACCGAAATACATGGCTTTGAAACTAACTTCTCTGCTGCTCAGGCACTCACGATGAGTATGACGCAGAATCAGAACAGAGTACACCCTCTTGATGTAGTCTTAAAGCAGCCAAGCTCTTAATATTGTTGAATAAAGTGCTAGTCTTATTTGTTGTCCTCCTAATTGTTAAAAATACGTAAATTCTCCCAACAGAAAAGGTATCCTGTGTTGTAAAGAGAATGTGACGAAACTACAACTAGATGACTGATAACTGTGTACCAGCTAGTGTAATTCAAGGATTGGCTCGAGGTAGGCCTCAGAAGATCAGTATGTTGTGGGAAATGATGACAAAAGAATGGAGGGAATAAACTAATATTCACTCAGATGTTCACACAAATATAGGGTGAGAAATTCAGGAAGATACTCAAATCCTCCTCCCTCTCTCTAAAGGGGGATGTCTGTCCTCTCAAAGGAAGCTTATTTCAAAAGGGAGATTGTCATTATTCAGAGGGGAAACTGGGCCCCTTATATACTACTCTAAATGTGGCTGTGTAACTATCTAATTAAGGAAATCTGACTCATAGTGACTCAGACAGAAAAATGACTCATAATGAGTCAAACTGAGTCATAGTTGAAATGTCCCATGATGGCTTGTTTACTTCTCAAATATTCCCATCTATTAACTTTCTTCCTTCAGTTTCCTGACTAATCCATCTCATCTTACTAATCCATTTCATCTGACTAAGCCATTGATCACACATGAACTGTTGAATTGTTGGAATGTTACTGTAAATATGTTTCGGAACATACAGAAAAAATGTGAAGATTTGTAAAAAAAAAAACAGTCATAAGATTGTGAGAGAATGCTGAATAATGTGTTGTGGTATGTTTGGAACTTATCTTTAAACTGGATAAGTGTTAATTGAATTATTATGTAGTATTATGGGTTTGTTATGTCTAAAAATCAAATCATAATGTGTTTATAGAAAATTCTTAGTAATTTCATAGAGTAAAGCAGAGAACATCAAAGCTCAAAAGTAGCCATGACCATGCACAAAACAAGTTTGGTGCGTGTCACCGCATTATTACATGTATTCCCATAGTCTGCAGTACATCATGTCTTATTACATAGGACATTGGACCCGAAATATTGTGCTACTACTTTCGCCTATAGGGTTCCGGATTTCTACATATCTACATAAATATTGGACTCCCCATAGCATCATCATCATCCGAGTAGAGGAGAGTCATTCTCCGACGCTTAGGGGTCAAACCCAATATTTTGTAGTTCTTAGTTGACATTGCAAATATCATTGTTCCTTCACCATCCATATCTGTCATTGTTATCATTGCGCATACCACTCACTTTCCTGATGCTCACTATCGCGTCACTATTAGTTTCCAATACACCAAACCTGAACCCGATGTAGGAACTGATTCTTGGCTAGGCTTGTAGAAACTGTTTTACTTAGTGTTATGTTTGCACCTTAGCTTACATAAGAAGCTATCTTTTCACCAGTTACTAGTATGAGTCTGAGTCTTCAGCAGTTTTCATGACATTTCCTCTCCTCTGAGCCTTGAGCCTGGTCCAGAAACCCTTTAGGGTTGAATAGCAGCTAGGTTCTGCAAGACCCAACACATTGTTCTGAATCACCATCAGAATTGTTGTACCCACACCGATAACCCAAAAACATCGGACCCAACACTTTTGCATCAGACATCATAATTATACCTTCGGAGATTGTTTCCCACGCTCGGATTATTGACCCCACATCACTCACTGACCCCCAAAACTATTCCCAGACCGCAGACCCCTGGGTTGAACGCACTTGTCTCACCAAGTATAGCAGACTAGGCAGTACAAGACCACAACATAAAGATATCAGTTTGGAGCCATCTTTGTATAGCCCCACTCTGTGTTGTATACCTACAACAGTCTGATAGGCAAGATATGTCAAGAATTTATTCTTGTCAATGCTAATTCATCCTTCTAGCTATGACTCAAAAGTCATCAACTAAAATGCAGGACTCCTGACCTCCTGACCTCCTGACTATTCAGCCTCTTCACCATTCCCAGAGCCTGCTGGCAGTGAAGGAGAAATCTTTGAAGAACAAGTTGGTGGAGGCAGGCACCAACCGACTCTGCCGCCAGTGCAAACCCCAACTAGACTCCGTGGTACCATCAAAGCTACCGACTGTGACATGGGTCTAGTTAAGGAGGTGTCTGTGTGTCAGGCAAGGCTGGTTCATCAAGAGCCATCAGCTGATGTGGAACATGGCCCTTTGCTCACTGAGGTGCATAACAAGTCAGGGGCGTAGCCTCGCCAACAATCTGTTCCTCTCCTTACTTTCATATCTTCTGTTCCCCGCACACGCAGCCTGGGTATTAGCAGTGCCACGCAGCTTCAGCCAACATCAGCAGATGTATTTTATGAACCTCCTTTCTCCATAGCTGACCAGCAACCTCGTTGGCAACTCCTGCAGCCTCCACAGCCTAATATGTCAATGAAACCTTCTGTCTTTGAGCAGGAATCATTTGACTTCAACAGTATGATAAATGGAAGCTTTGATCACTGCAACGACATCACCCCTGGATCATCTACCATGCCACTCACCATCCCTGTGACACATGTCATACCTGCAACCCCTGCAGGCCTCAGGGACTGGGATATGACCCCCCCTTTTGCTGAGGATGCTGTCATGGACACTGCCATGAGTGATGGTGATGTTGGCCCTTCCTTTATGAGAGGCCAAAGAAATGATGAAACAAATGCCACCCTCCAAGAGGGCTTCATAGAGCTGGAATGTGTCATCAATGAACTTGCCCACAAAATGTCGATTCCCTCCTCCCAAATTATTTCATTATGGAACAGGAGTCACACACACACTGTCAATAACATAAACCACTGGAACACATATGCCCATTACTTCAAAAATAACCTCAAGCAGGAGCTCAGCAGGCTTGGAGATGAGGCCCCAGAGGCTCCTGGCACACCAAGTGAGTATCTGTCTCTTCCACTGATGTTGTTATGCTAACATTGTAACATCAAGATGCCAGTGTGTGCCGCAAGTGCTACGATGCCTTTAAAAAATCATTCCCAAATGACTGGCAGGATACCCTCGAGATTTATGGTGAGAGTACATTATTCCTTGGTGGACCTCAGATAGTTTCTGCATGGGGACAACTTGAAGAGAACATCCAGGAGATGTCACCTCTGCTATGGCGGCCTGCCTGTATCCTCATGCAGGAGATCTATTCAGCCCTGCAAAACTAGAGGGAGACCTCTGGGAAGAGGGGGTCTCTCAGACTATATATTCCCTACATAAGAATGGGGTCTGACATACCGTGAGAACATCTTCAAAGTGGTACCAAGGGTGTACTGATGCAGTACAGTGAACAGCCCTAGTTACAGTGTTTGGCTCGCTTAGTAAGCATCTGTTTGAGCTTGTCGTTCACAGGCTCATGTGTAGGATAGTGAGTGACTAAGCTGTATGCCAAATCATGTCAATAATACCAAACAATGTAGTCAATATATAGCAGTGACCCAACTTAGGATGATGATGAATCATCTCCTTGTGGTATAATACCTGCTCTTAGCCTCACACCATACAGCAAGTAATCACACTCCCTTCAACCTTGGTGCATTCTAATCTCTCATCTAATATCACATTGACTTACACTTCTCAAAGTAGCTCAAGGCCCTACTTACTAGCTTTTTGTTGCTTTCTATACTATCATGAAACAGTGGGCAAGAATGTATGTCACACCACTTATGACACACCAATTTGTAGCTGCACATGCAGGACCACATGTTAGTAGTATTGCACATGTTTGCATCAAGTTCTACCACTTCTGATCAAATGATTCTTCAACTTGCAGGGACAGGCTTTCACTGGGGGTATTAATTTCGCATTGGCAGATAGCTTCCCCAAAGACTCGGGTTCCGAGTCCAAACATGACAAGTAAGTATTATCAGCCATTGCCTCGCCACTAACTGTCTTCGAGTTCAATGTCCAAAAGTACTTACATTACAAAACCACTACTAGTAGGATGGTGCCCTCATCAGTCTCGCCCCCTCCAAGTCCGAATGAAGCAGTTCCTCGACTATCCCGAGGTGCAATGCTAGCAGACAGAGGAACTGTTCAGCTAGAACACCGTGATCTTCCTTCATGGACACCATTGGTTGTTTCGGATAGCGAAGGCGGTATGGATGAGCTCCCTTTAGGTGTGGAGGAATCAAAAGCCTCGCCTTCGAATGCAAGAAAAGCACTGTCACAGAAACGCAAGAAAAATCCAGACCATGGTCCTCCGATTGCAATGCCTCGACGAGAAGTTCAGCAGGCACCTTCAGGCGTCTACTCTAGGTTGGGGGATTCCCGCGGTTCCCAAAGTTTGCAGGAGATACTGCAAGCAACATTCAGCGCCAATGCTTCATGCAATACTATCTCTCCGCCAGCCGCACCTATTGACAGCGAGGGGAGCAGCACCGACGTGCAAACTGTGATTTATAACAAACAGTGCCGCCAGATTCATAATACTCGCAGGAGTACAAGTCAGGAAGGTTCAGAGGCTATCGCAGTAGTCGATGCTCCAATACCTACTGCCACCACAGCGGTTCCGACCATAACTCGGCGCAAAGCCGCGCCCGCCATTCCTTACGAGTCTATGCAAAAGGTTATTGATGCTGCATTGGACACTCGGGTAGCCAAAATTGCTTGGCGTCGTCGGCGCAATGCCACAGGGTGCGGCACCAACGAAGATGAGACTTCGAGGACGAACTGCTTACCCTTCGAAGACGCCATTTTTGACTTCGATGTTTCAACCTCCGCACGTCAGGAAGATCACCACAGTAAAATCAAGTCGGAGCTAGCTCCAGTCGAGGACGAACATTTTGCCTTGCCGCGCGAATTTACGCGAAAGCTTGATGGCGTTCACGCTACCTCTCTTCCACAGCAATCTAGAGGGGATAGATTCAACGAACGACTGTATGTAATGTTTGGGGGCGCAGACACACCTCACTCGCCTGACGGATTAATTGCTCACGTGAGTACCATGCATCGCAAATAGAAATGAACACAAGTTGATATATTGTAACCACAGGCAACTGCAGATTCGGCATCTATCTTCGCGCCAGTGCGCGAGGCTGCAGCAAGCAAAGAACACAGCCCTGTCTCATTCAGCGATTCAGGAGTATCCATTGACACGTCGCTCTCGCAAAGCACCCAAGCTACAAGTATTTTTGGGCGCAACGATGTCTCTCGAAAGAGAGCTTATACGATGGAGAGTCACCTCGGGGATGAACCTGGTCGAAAGAAGCATAAGATTGAGGTTGCAGAAGACCTGGTGTCCAAATGGATTGCGGCGTTGCAACGACTTGTCAAGGGAAAAACGAAGATTGGCCACAAGGTACGGAATGAGTCTCCCATATCTGCATTCTGTTGTTCACATATATCAGGACATGGAGGATTTGAGCATAGTATTGGCTGAGATAGAGTCTGCATACCCCTACCTAGATTCAGAACTTGCACAGGTTGGTCAGCTTTAATAACTCATCGGCAATATTCTCAACCGGTCTACTCGTGTTCAGGTCACTTGTCTTCGAGACGTCTTACAGCAGATGGCGCAGTTGGAAGAAATTCCATTCAAGGACGAACATGACCTTCGCCGTCGCACAGATGAGATTATCGCAGAATGGCCTAGTGTTAAAGCCTAGCTGATAAATTGATGGGGAGATTCCGAATGTTTTTGGTGCATTGCGTACATTACCTGGGGGTAAACTTTTATACCCAAGTATGGAACACATACAACTTTTTGGCGGCGTTATTGGTAGTTACCAAGGTCCAATTAGGTCTTGCAGTTTATTGAGATCCGAGCTCGCGCTCTTTCCTACATAACATACGATATTGGCGATAATACAAAAATCCATCATGAACGAAAACGTTTCAATAACTAGCTTCTTCAGTCTGCCGCCTCCAGCGCCTCTGGTTGTCAATCATCTCGAGGAATATACTGTATTTAGCATCTAGTAATTTTTTCACTGTCGACGACGCCCCAGGGGCCACAAGGGTACCAGTAGGCGTCATTTCGACCTGAGTGGTAAAAATCAGCATTTACGCACAGCAGAATACACAGGATATCTTACCATGATCTTCCACATGTCTTCTCCGTCTTTAGCACCCTCCGCTGCAATCCTTCCCAGCATCGCCGCACCAAGAACCACCGCCTCAGAATACGACCTGGGCAAGATGACGGGGATGCCACATGTGTCCGCAAAGAGCTGCATTATTACTGCATTCTTCACCTGCCCACCAGAAAGATACAGAGAGGTGATGTCATGCCCTGCCGCGTTGAGAACGTCGATGATGTGGCGAGTTTGAAGGGCTATAGCTTCCAGAGTAAGGTAGTACTTGCGAGCGAGGTCGGCTATAGATGCGTCCTGAAGTAATCAAGATGACTTGGTTGAAGTTCTCAATTGAAGGAGTGACTTACCAGCTCAAGACCGACAATGGAACCTCTCATTCGAGAGTCGGCGATTGGAGATCTGTTTCCTGCGATAGTTGTGAGCAAAGATACGAATATCGAACTGTAGCTTATCTCACCATGGAAATCAGGATAGAAATGTACATTCTTCGTAAGCTCCGTGTAGGTATCAACATGATTCTCGTTCCGCAACTTTTCGAGGACGTCCAGTAAGACTATAGACGCACATCAAGGCACTGCTTGCGTTGCTCCAGCATAAAGAGTTGTACAGACCATCATGTGTGCACTTTCCCTCTTGCTTTGCACGCTCTTTGAGTTCAGGATACGCAGTGTGAGTGGTGATGATAAAGTCAATAAGTTGTCCTGTAGACGACTGGCCCCCTTCATTCATCCACCAACCAGGGAAAACTGTGTCCTATTGAAAATATACCATTAAGATATCACATTTTATGCAGAATGGCAATGGTATACCCTATATGGACCCCATACGCCCTTCACAAAGACACCATCCCGACTCTGCAACAATGTTGACGTCTTAACGAAGATGGATTGGGCAAGATAACTTACCTGAACAATATGGCAAGTACTCGTTCCGGCAACAATGGCCAAACGGTGCCGAGACTCGTCGAGAGAAGGAAGCACGTTTGAAAGTTGACCATTCTCTATGTATCGAGCTGCAACTGTGCCCATCCAACCAGCATACCTAGCACGACGCCAACAGCATTCGCATTCAATAGACATATTGATGCAATATGACATACCCGTCAATCAGACCACTTCCAACAGCAGTACCTTCTACAAGTCCAAGTTCTTCAGCTGCCTTTTGAGATAACCCTCGACCAACTGGGCTTCCGGCAGCCTGCACTTGCCCCTTGGCGGCGCCCATATGCTTCCAGTTATCACCATCGACGAGTTCGCCGAGACCAATGCGCTCAAAGAAGTCCGGCTGCCAGCCTTTGTCGGGAACATAAGAGCACTTGCATGTAACCGAACAAAAGGAGCGTGTGTTGTCTCCAGTTGCCTTGTATGTGAAAAAATCGGGAAGATCAAAAAATTGACATCGGGAGAACAGGGCAGGGTCCATGCGCTTCTTGAGCCAAAGAATCTTGGGCACCTCCATCTCAAGCTATTCCAAAAGTAGAATTAGTAAGGTAAATTGGACTCGCAGCTGCTACATACACTCATGGTTCCGCCTACATAATTCAAGACGATCGACCCAGTGGAGTTAATAAGTTCAGCTTCCTTCTCGGCGCGATGATCTGCCCACAGAATAACGTTCCGATCACCATGCATGCCGATACCGCTACCCTTGGTCACTGTTATCGGACTCCCGCCAAAGTCCGCCACGGCGAGAGAGCACGTAGCATCGAAGCCAAGCCCCTTGACTGCGGTTGCAGGAACGCTAGACTGGTTCAATATTTCCTTCACCGCGGTACAAATCTGCTCCCATATATTGTTCGTGGATTGCTCGAAAATTCGGTAGTCATGCTTATCACGCCAGGTGATGATATCCTTCGTGGAAGAAGCTTTTATCTCACCGTTTCGTGCAACGAGAGATGCACGAGCAGAACCGGTACCGATATCAACGCCGATGAAGTAGGGCGTGTCGCAACTCATTGGAACAGGCGAGACTATGGGGTCAAGGAGTCGGAGATGAGCAAATACATGGTTTAAATCATGTTGGACTACCCGTCAGTGACTGTCAGCAAGTACGCCATCGGACCCTGAGTTGTCACAGTTGAACTCAAGTCGATTGCACTAGGTCGACCTTGCTTGATCTAGACCGTTCGACGCCTTATTATGAGACATATCGTGAGGTCAGGAAATTAGCCAAGGTTGAGCCAAGGACGCCTTATTTGGAACCGTTAGGCGATGAGACCAGGCAAGAGTCGTGATTAAAAATAAACTCCCTTCAATGAACCGGTACTTACCGGTACTCTGAATCTTGGATAGTGGTTTTATGTAATTACACAACCTTACTGATTATCATCATGTCTTCAACAACCCGTCCAATCGTTTTCATGGATATCAATATTGGAGAGACACCCGCGGGTAGAATAAAAATGGAACTCTTCAGTGACGTTGTCCCAAAGTTTGCGGCTGCTACCCGTGGCTGTGTGCTGTTCTGATCAAGTTTACAGAACTGCTGAGAACTTCAGGCAGCTGTGCACCGGCGAATGCAGGTATGTCCAGGCCATAGAGATAAACAATTCTTTATGAACGCCTCAAGATTAGACGTGATGCGCGACCACAGGGTTACAAAAATGCGACTTTCCACAGGTAATGATCACCGCACCTCGAGTGATCGACTTTCGCTGATGGATTCTGCGCAGAGTGTACGATAGCATCTTCTTGATGTTCATGATGATTAACGCGTGGCCTCAGCGTACCGAATTTCATGTGCCAAGGTGAGCATACCTGTAACAATATCTTTTTCGGCCAGCCAATCCGATGTTTGCATGTAGGTGGTGATTTTTTGAACGGTGATGGAACAGGATCGTTCTCGGTATATGGAAAGAATTTCCCTGTAAGTGTACTTGGGCCCTTCATGGCGCGGCGCACAAGTTGACTTTTCGCCACAGGATGAGAACTTTCAAGAAAAGCACACTGGACCCGGCTTACTTTCCATGGTTTGCTGTGTATTCTCCGTTCGCAAACATTTATCTCATAATGATTTGTAGGCAAATTCAGGCCCAAATACAAACGGATGCCAGGTATTGCTCTCTACAATCCCGCATTTCTACCTCGATCCTGATCCTTACAGTTTTTCATCACCACGGCAAAATGTGATTTCTTGGACGGAAAGCATGTGGTGTTTGGCAAGGTCATCGATGGCATGTTGACGCTTCGTAAAATCGAGAATGTCCCTACGGGACAGAATAACAGACCAAAATTGGTCGTGAAGATCGTTGGTATGTGGTCGATTTAACATTTTGAAAAGTTGTCTCACATGTACATCGCAGAGTGTGGGGAAATGTAACCGCCTGTTCACAAAAACATCAACAGGAGAATGAATGCGATTGATTACCTATGCGAGCTGGGAGGCTCGAGTTGATTGGACCTATACATTGAGGACTTGTCGCATCGGGGGATGTAAACTTAGCATAGACGACATTCATTGCATGTACTCTTTTCATAATTCATTCCTTTACCGAGTAAATGGTGAGAATGCAAGACGTCATGATACCTAGAGCTTTGGTTCATTCAATGCCAGTCAGGAAACATAGATTTTGGTTGTGGTGGAAGATACATGGGCTTATCAATGGCCATAATGAATATGTGACTAGTGATCTAGTCCGATGCGGTCGTCAGCCGGGCTAAATTGAAGGTTCATCAACCTCATCCATAATATGAAACATCAAAAAGAACGCACTGTAAATGAGTTGGCTAGAGTGATGCACAATGCGCTTGATCAAGCCCTCCTTCTCCAGATGTCTGATTGCAACGCGTGCCAAGCTTCCATTGACCTTCAATCGCTCAATGAGAATGCTCTGGCTGATGAGACGCCAGGTGGGAGCTTCCTTCATGATACGGTCGAATGTAGCTTTGTCACAGACGACGGCGTGCTGTGCCTTGTCCTTGACCTTTCCCTTCGACCACTTCTTCTTCTTAGCAGCTTTTCCGCCCGATGATGATGGTGGTGGTGCTTTTGCCTTGGCCTGAATCAAACGTAGTCAGCACCACATCTACATGCTTGATATGACATCCAAGGGCTGCAATACTCTGAACATCCAGCAGTCCGAAGAACCGGCATGTTTCATGCTCTCTGCCCTGGAAATCATCATCAAGGGAGGATACTCACCATAATGTCGTGGCCTCTTCGTCAATGTCGATGAGCTGCACCTGGTCTGGCCTGCCGCCAATCTCTCGGCGAAATCCGGTTATTTAGGCGCCGCATGAAATGCACTGACGTAACTGTGGCACCGATCATGTTGAGTTAAGTGGGAGAGAGTTAACAAGTATCCCACTGAAGTTTGGGTCGACAATGCATCCCTGGCTACTCCTCGCCCTCGCCCTTCCATCATTAGCAGCACTCGACAAGACCCACGGTGTTCCTCCCTCTCTTGTATCGAAATACGTACCCAGCACGAAGGGTTCGCGCCAGACATGGACGTGTTTAGATGGTTCAAAGGAAATTGCTTGGAGTGCGGTGAATGATGATTATTGTGATTGTCAGGATGGCAGCGACGAGCCAGGTGCGAATCCGGGTAGTTATGGTCAGGTAACTAAGTTGTATTGACGTAGTTCTGTGTTCTGTAAGGCTCGAGTGCGTGTCCCAATAACAAGTTCTACTGCCGCAATGAGGGCCATATTGGGGCAACCATACAAAGCTCTCATGTTAACGATGGCCTTTGCGGTAAGTTTCCAGACGTGGTAGCGTGAGTTCGTGATACTCATTTGAACCCAGAGCAGGAATGCTGTGATGGATCGGATGAGCTCCCAGGCGTGTGTCCGAACACTTGCCAGGAAGTCGGAGCAGAATACAAAAAGAAAACAGAAGCAGAGCGGAAGTTGCGAAAGACTGGATCCAAGATACGATCTTCATACATTGCGTACGCGCATAAGGAGAAAACGCGCTTGGAGACACTCATTGCTGATCTTGTCAAAGAGATTGAAACGAGAGAGAAAGAGGTGGAGAGATTACGAGGTATTAAGTTAGTTCAAGAGTCAAAAGCTTTTGTGGTAACACAGTCTTTTTCAGACATTGCAGAACGCGCAGAATCCCTCTCGGCTGCTGAGTTGGAGCATAAGAAACAGTCCCGTACGTGTGTCCTGACATACTCCCTGTAATCTTAACTCGCAGGTATCTTGCAGCCCTCTACCAGTCACTCCTCGTACATAATACCGCACTCAAGTCCCTTCAAAAAGAACACAAGAAGCACCTGGAACGCGAGAAAGCTCTTGGTGACATCTTGACCTCACTCCGCACGGGCTATAACCCTAACTATCAAGATATGGCCGTCCTCGAGGCTGTGCGCGGCTGGGAGGCACTAGCAGGATTACCTCACATAAACGACGTACGCAAGGGTGATGATGGGGAAGCTGACGCTACCGCGGAAAAACAGAAAACAGAGGACGATGTTGAAGATGAAGGTCTCTGGAATGCAGCAAAGATCGAGAAGGAGTTGGATCAGTTAATAAAAACCGATCATGTGACGCTGCTGCTAGAACATGACCAGCTTGTCGGGCCTGCTTCGGCCCAGTCCCTCTGTAAGTTAAGAATAATTGCTGGTATCTCAAGAAACTGACCAGGTTTAAAGTGCTTGACATCTCGGCCTACCTTCCAGATGCTCTGCTCCCATCCTATTATAGTTTCCGCGACTCGGTCCTCTCGGCTCTATCAGTTTTCGGGATCGGGCGCGGAGGCACATCCGACACGTCTGCTGGTAACTATATGCTATATGACTGAAATTGCGTACTCATTCCACCTCAGAATCAAATCGTGCACGTGTAGCCCTTTCAGACGCGGAACACAGCCTCAAGCTGACCCAGGACGAGCAACGAACTGCAAATGAAGACCTCATGGATCTCTTTGATCCTGATGGCTTTGGCCCAGAAGGGGAGTGGAAAAAACTTGACGGCACGTGCCTATCAAAGGATACTGGAGAGTAAGTGTTGTTGCTTCGAAGTACTTGGAAGTATACCCACTTTTCGAAGGTACACTTACGAGGTTTGCCTCTTTGACGAGGCGAGGCAAATTCTCAATAGCGGTGGTTCTGGCTTCAGTCTCGGGTATGTTGTTTGGGTGTAAGTGCTATGAATGTGCTTATCTATGTGCTTTCCAGGAAATTCTCGTCCTGGAACAAGGCTGCTCGACCTGGTGAGCTAGAATATTACACCAGACAGCACTATACCCAGGGGGCCAAATGCTGGAACGGCCCCCATCGCAGTGTTGAGGTAAATATTGCATATTCTCCATTCTCTCCCATAATATTGATTTATTCTTATAAGCTCGTCCTCACATGTGGCACTGAAAATACATTACTGACGGTGGCAGAACTGGAAAAGTGCGAGTACCAAATTACAGGCACAAGCCCGGCACTATGTCGCCCGCTGGAGGACGAACACACCAAAGACGAACTATAGACTTTTTGGCATTAAGTCTAGGTGTAGTACCTCTGAATGCATGTATTTATTACGTATCAGGTTCACCTGAAGTTCTACGTCCATCCTCTCGAGGGGACACGAGTTTTAATCAGGAAACCTCAAAATCTGGAATCCGCGGAGTCAGGGAACTCGAGTCCGCCGGACAGTTTGGGGATCGCGTGCGCCCGGATTGGCATGAGTAAACCCTGCTCGATGTCTTAGGCTTACCGGTCACCTAGTGTATCCCCGACGCCGGTAGTTGTGAATTTGAACTAACTAATGAACTGATAGGAGACTCTTCAGCCTCGTGTGACGAGTGAGGCCGATGTCGATGATCATTGATGTACTGACATATGACCTACTTGGCATGGGAAGCCTGAATGGTGGCAAAATTTAACTGGAAGATGAAGCAAGTATCCTATTTCAATTCCATCATGTAATTACTTTAGCCAGCCAATAAAAGATCGTTTATCGTTTATTGACACAATCTTCCGAGGAACTGTGTGACAACTTTGGTCCGGCAACTCCCTAACAAATGTACAGTGTCCATGTTAGGGTGATAGCCAGTAGGACCTGTAGTACCTTGTTCATAAAACCTGTCATCTAGGTAACCTCGGATGCGCCAACGTTCGTGCTATTCCTGTCCGGTAGATGCAGGTCCTGCGTGTCAAAAGCCCCTACTGGCACGTACGCGCCGCACAACAAGCCCTGATTAAGATATGATATTCGGAAATTGCAAGAAAGAAAGGTTCGGCACCGAGTACATGGCCAGCAAACAAGGATGCCATCGTTCGACTCTATAAGGACAGATGCTAAATAAATATACACTGCCGAAATATGAACTTAAGGCAAGGTATAGAGACACTACTGTACGATATGACTGCAATGTCGTGATTCGGGTCGTGCACTGTAAAAGGTATGAAGAAGTATTACGGGGTGGTCGAACAGATATCCGGGAGCAAAGGTTAGGAGGTGTCGCAGGAGATCATTTGGTAACAGTCTAAGGGCTCGCCATCCCAATATCCTCACTAATTTCTCGTACAAGCCGCCGGGCTTTCAATTCCGGCGTAATGTCACCTCGTTCTCTCTCTTTATCTTCCACTCTGCTCTGCCTACACTCGTCACTCTGCTCTACGGTGGCAGCGCGGAACTCGCCGGCACTCTCGTACTCCTCAGCGTCTCCGCAGATTGAACTCGAAGAGTTGGGTGGCCGAATCGTCGGCTCGTCATCCGTCGTGTAGCCACCCTCCGTTTCGGTTTCTGTATCAGTTTCTGTACTGACAATGCTCGCAGCATCATCGTCGCGCGTGCGTACAGCACGCATACTGGGCGTCCGATCGGGCGCCACTGAACCACCATATACATCAATAGCCCCCATAGCCCGTGCTGGGCCTGATACTGCGGTAGGTGATGAACGTGTTTGAAACGTTGATTGATGTGAACGTGATGGAGTTACAGGGCGGGGCACGGAAGGCGATTCTGGTGGCTGTGATTGCGAAAAGAGGATGAGCTGTTCTGCATATCTTTGCATCTCCTCAGGCGATATGACAAGTCTGAAGTCGTTGAGAAGTAAAAACTGGAGTTCGAGTTGGTTGAGCTCTGCTTGAGGGAGACCTCCGACCTGAGTAAAGATAGCGAGATGTGGAGTGGAGTGAATATTTTGAATAGGTCTGTGAAGTTGAAACCCACCTTCGCATACCGCGAATTAGTGTAAAATACATCGCTGAAAAATTTACTGGCAACTGTGACGCCAGCAATGACAAGTCTATGGACGTTATACGAGTCGATAACAAACGTGCGCCCCGTAGCCTCGGAGGCGAGGCGAGACATGCGGTCAAAATACACGAGGAGGGCTAAAAACACCTCGTTTGTAGTTGGACAATACTTGAGTATTCGTAAGAGGTATGATTCGAGTGCGATAGTTGGAATGTTGCGAGCATGGAAAGTGAGGGCGGATGCAGGGTTCGATAGGGAGGAACGGGAAGCGGAGGTAAGGGAGCACCAAATAGGGGAACGAGATGCATCTTCTGATATATTGTTATGCGACAGACCTGCCAAAGTATGGGATGCTGGGTCTGAACCTGAAATTACATCATTGGTGGATGCAATCTGGGTAAGAAGTGAAGCAAGGAGACGAAGCAAATCGGTTGAGGGGTAGCTATGAACGTCAAAAGATGAAGCAGAGGTTGGTAGGCTTATTTGAGGTGGAGGAATTGGAGAACCAGCTCTTGGAGGGTTATCAGGGGGAGGGACTTTGGTTGTGGCTACTGGAGATTCGGGTGTTGCCTGAGTTGACTGTACGGCGTTATGCCGAATTGGAGAAGAGTCTTTTGTCACGACTGAAGATCCAGAAGTCGATCTCCGTGGTACTGGTGGGCAGTAGGACGAAGATGGCTGAAATACAGCGGTAGTTGTCGATGCTTGCGGTTTCCAATGTGGAACTCTGCTAGAACTTGGTCGACCGGTGGATGAGGATGAAGTGGTTCTAGGTAGACTTGAGATATTTCTGTCGACGCCAGCTCTATCGATAGTTCTAGCTTCTGTCGGATGGGCGAGGGCGAGCATGATTGAAGATGTTGAAGAGGACCTAGCGAAGTTGAGCGCTCAGCAATCACAAAATGTAAACAATCTTCTTCTACCCCGTGGGAATAGATTACTTAGCGTGTGAGACTGAGACAATTCGTATGTGGCGTTTTGATTGGGCTGTCTTTCATCTCTCCGAGTTCCACAGATCATTGTATTTCTGTATCTTGTGTCCAATCAAAATCCCAACGTTCGTGGTACACGGTGATCTCCGTCAAGTATTTCCATTACTACGCGCATGTCTTATACATTCATGCCGACAGGGCTGAACTCATTTTGATTCGTCGGATGAAGGATCGAATAACCATCCTCCACGGCGATCCCGCTCTGTGGCGTCGCACGTCATCATTCGCCTTTTGCTTCGCGGGATCATTGTTGACAACGGTGGTTCCCACTGACAGCGTTCACCGTGCGGTGACATCGTGGTCGCCATTTTGCAGGAAACTCGCGAATAACAATAACTCTGCTGACTATTGGGAGAACCATGCGGCCACCGTCGGTACCTCGGGTAATTGCAAATCAGTAGCTAGTCTTGTGCCCTTGATACTCCGAGGCCTTATGTATTTTAGGACTTGCGTGGCTGTTGTGTATGCGGGTGCAAGGACGTAAGTTACTTGTCCTTGCGGAGCTCTTGTACTCGATCCTAGACTCTCCTGGTGCGGTTTCTAGTTACTTTTTTCAGGTAGTGGAAATACGGACAAATTGAACGGCGCAGAGAAGGTGCGCAGAAATTACCATTGGCTTCCAAGCTCGTGAATAGAAGTCTGCATATCAATTTGGACGATCGCCGATCGTGATCAGTGCCTTAAGCTTGCACTGTCCCGTGTACTTTGTGATGTCGACAGCGCACTCGGATAATTGAGACTTGCGGACAACTGCACCAAGTCAGTCCACACATAAGCATATACTGACCGCCCGATGAGTCAAACTAGCTGCTCTTTGCCTTGTAGTAGCAGCGTCTTGCTTCCCGAGTCCGAAAGCTCTACATGTGTGATGTAGGACCGTATTAGTCAAACCATGATGGAATGAGTTCGCTGGCCGCAGGAAACCGAACCTTGACAGTACTATGTTCATTGCTTCATGATCGTTCATCATGACAACAAACTTTAGTCGAGTTCTAAATCCGACACGATAACTTGAACGACCTGACACAACTCGATGCAAAGTTCAACAAACTCTCACGCCTTTGTGGCACTCGTTCATTCAGTCAATCACGTTACTAGTAGCTCTTGGATCCGGACTAGTATCAGTATAAGGGAAAGCAAGGTTGCCAGCAGCATTATGCCTTCTAAAGAGTTCACACTTGATGATATCGCCAAGGTGAGCACCAGGCCTCGCTTTGCCTTCTAGCGCACGCTGAATACGTTTACAGCATAACAAGGAAGGGGACCTCGTGCGTGCTATAACTTCAAGTCTATCAATCGACCATTAATCATCTGCACAGTGGATTGTCATAGACTCCAAAGTTTATGACCTATCCCGCTTCGCAAACCTTCACCCAGGAGGCGCAGGCGTGCTGTATGCCGATAGCGTTGGCAAGTGCAGCAACTTCCCCACTCGACTCTCATATTCATATCGATTCCAGCTGGGAAGGATGCTACTCAGGTGTTCTTCGGACTTCACAGACTTGAGGTTCTCCAACGCCCTCAGTATGCCCGTCTCCAAATAGGAGTCATTCGCGGACAGACTGAAAACATCAAGCCTCTTGGCCCTGGCGAGCTGTCTCTTGTGCCCTATGCTGAGCCCACGTGGCTCACACCTGGATACTTCAGCCCTTACTATAGTGATAACCACCGCAAATTCCACAAGGCTATGAGGGCATTCTTGATGGAGTTCGTACAACCTGAGGCAGTTAGATGCGAGGAAAATGGGAAGAAGATATCGCAAGAAGTCGTGGATAAATTAAGGCAAACTCCCCTGCGTGAAGCTTGCGTAACTCGGTTGACAATAATACCACAGCGAGATAAATTTCCTGGCTATGCGCCTAGGACCAGGCAAGCACCTCAAGGGACTTACATTGATGGGTGGCATCGTGAAGCCTGAAGAATACGACTACTTCCATGAAGTAAACATGCTCTTCACAAAGCATCCTCTTTACTTACTCACATGACTTTATAGCTCATTCTTAACACTGAGATTGCGCGGTTTGGCACACGAGCATTCGTGGACGGCCTCCTGAATGGCGGGGTCATTGCCCTTCCTCCTATCATTAATTTCGGAACTCCGGAACAACGAGCCAAGTTTGTACCCGACATTCTGGCTGGCAAGAAGTACATTTCCCTTGCTATCTCGGAAGCGTTTGCAGGCAGCGACGTCAACGGCGCGCAAACCGTTGCAGTCAGAGACGGTGATGAGTGGGTTGTTACTGGAACTAAGAAGTACGCATGCATGGTTCGAGTTACTTCATCAGAACGGATTACTCATGGTCATTGCAGGTGGATAACAAATGGGACCTTTTCGGATTATTTCACGACACTATGTAAAACAGACGTATGCTTACTTTTTTGTTGGTCGCCTTCTGAGTTCTCATCACCATTGCAGGCCGGGTTCGTTGTTTTGCTCGTCGAGCGCTCGGATGCTGTATCCACTAAACCGGTGAAAACGTCGTACTCCTCAACTGCTGGAACTGCATTTGTCACATTTGACAAGGCACGGGTGCCGGTTTCGAATACCTTGGGTCAAGTCGGGAAAGGCATATCGATCATTTTTAGCAACTTCAATCATGAGCGGTGGATGGTCACAGCCTCGAGTCTTGGTGCACAAAGACTTGTGGTTGAGGAGTGTTTGAAGTAAGGGCGCATTACAAGTCATTCTTCGAGTCATTCTGACGTTGGTGCAATGCTTCAGGTGGACGAACCAACGAATTGCCTTTGGAAAACCTCTTCATGCTCAGGCAGTTATCCGCGCAAAACTCGCGGCAATGATTTCTCGTGTGGAAGCCAGCCAAGCATGGGTAGAGAACGTCACACATCAAATGAACAATGTTAGTCTCCAGATTCTCTGAGTGTTATTGCCCTAAAGTAGAAAATTTAGATGTCCTATGATGAACAATCTGACAAACTCGCTGGGCCTATTGGATTGCTCAAACAGTATGCGATGTCCGCTTTCGTCGTTCCGGTGCTAAACTGATGGACTGTGATGCAGATTTGTGTCAAAGGCTGGTCGTGAAACCGCCCAGGATGCAACTCAGATTTTCGGTGGTCGGGGTATCACCGTTACGGGTATGGGCAAGATCATTGAGAATGTACGTCTGGACTTTTGCTCTTCCTCAGCGATGTGATGCTAACGGATGTTATGTCAAGTATCATCGCACGTCACCTTTTGATGCCATTCTTGCGGGTGCAGAAGATGTGTTGGGGGATCTTGGTGTGCGGCAGGCTATTAAGAGGATGCCTAAGAATGCCCGGCTGTGACGTACTGGGCGCTGAGTTTAATTACTACTTTTGTTCATGGGGTCTTAGATTGAAGTCTTATAGTCGTGCCGGTTGCGTACCACAGGGGTTTTGGACATGCCCTCATTTAGTCAGGCGTGTTATGTCGGCAAGATCTGTGAATAGAAGAAGTTCGCATACTTTGTACATTGCACAGCACCTGTACAGATCCACTAAATGAAAAGACATTTACGAGCACCGATCCAGTAAGAAAAATGATACAGCAGCGTTCCCAGTCAATGTTGTGTTCCGCTTCTCAAAAACACACTCAATCCTAATCCTATAGCACCAGAAACCAAAGACCATGCTCCGCTTCCTCCTGCGCTTAGTCCTGATGCAGCATTTAAAGTTGTGGGCATGAATGTGGACGAATTCACCATAACTTTGGCAGAGGTGGTTGTCGCCGGGAATCCTGAGGCATGCAAGGGCCTGGAGGCAACTCAAAGGTTGCCGCAAAGGTCCCCGTAATGGACGGATTCAACACAAAGGTCCCCGTGATGGACGGAGGCAACGATATGGTTTTAGTTATCGACTCGGACGGAGGTGGCGGCATGTACATATTTGTCGGCTTGGACGGAGGTGCCCACTCTGAAATAGTTGACCACCCGATGCCATAAATGCTAGAAGTGCCATCACGGGAATGAGTTGAGGGAGTGCGGAACGGGTTTTGAGGAAAATTGGGCTTTCCGAATTTATTGTCCCAAGAGACGTCATGCCAGAAATCTGGTAGATGTATTGATTAGGCGATTGACCCATACGTGCTTTACTTATGTGAAGCTGGGCTTACCTTTCATAGCTTGTTCCCGTAGGCGGTTGTAGTAGCTTGTTTCAAAGGACTGGTCGCCGGTCATAGCACATCGCTGGACGAAAGTTAGCCTATCAGCAAGGACAGAGTCGGGGATGCGAGCTTACCAGAGTATACTAGTCCCAATAACTCAAACATTGAGGAGTTGGAAGAGATAAAACAAGGGTAGCAGCTGCTGATAAGAGCACTGCGAGGCAAGCACGCATTGTTAATTTTCGTTTATAAGGTCGTATCACGAAGATCGAGAAGGTTCGTTGGGAGAGGGAAAGGAACACATTGGCCCAGGAGCACAATATAAGTGCAAAGATGCCAGCGTTAATTTGCAATCATGGTGATCTTGTGTCATACGCCGGTCCATGCTCCCGACATTCTAATATGCTGGCAGACATGAATCTATTACAATTGATGTCATAGCTACCCCGAGTTGTGTCTGCGGCTCCCACGTGGGCAGAACTATTTTGTAGGTGCCAACGCCGATGTAGGCTCCGAAACTGATCCAAGTGTCAACATTAATGTCACGGACTCAGGTGCTGATATAGACTCCGGTGCAGACACAGACGGAGGTGAAGTACCGACAACGGTAAAAGTTCTGGCTCGGGAGGGTGGGGTGCGGGACGGGTTTTGACCAGGGAAGGTGGGCTCATAGCCATAATCGTAGCGGGTGCAGTATGCGGTCATAGGATATCCCTGATCACTCGAGCTAGTACATCAACATAGACGAGGTCAGGATTTCAAGCTTACAGCATTCAATTCATTTTGGACAGGGTCGCAGGTTGAGGTGCCCTGTAAAGAAACGGAGATCTCTTGTCTTCTGTATGAGGGATTCAGCAACGTCTGGAGAGACTGAGTCAGGTTGGACGAGATGAGACAAAGATAGCAGCCGCTGATAAGATTACGAGGCAGATTGTAGAGGCATGCATCATTGGCTGTCGTTACAAGATCGTATCACGAAGACCCAGAAGAGCTCCCTGGAAGGAAGACCATATGGGCCCAGGAGCACAGCACATAAGTGCAAAGATGCCAGGAGGCGGACTCCAGTGAACTGTCGAAAGAGCCAACGAGAGCTCCAGCAAGTCTCAGCCATATCGGCTCGCCGTGGCTTGGAGGGTCCGAATTCGAGTCGAACCCAAAAAAAATCCAGTGAAGCAGAACCGACAACGAAGTATTGAAGTATCGGACGACAAGGTCAGTTGTCGGCATTGACAAGAAAGCATAGACGAGAGGCTGCGTGTAGAAGAGCTATTGGCAAGTAAAAGCATACAAACCCGCGGCCATCACCAGCCTGGAGGCACTTGACGACGTGTGCTCAGGGGCACGCACCACAAAAATAATTCAAGTCAAAAATTTCAGTTCAACAAAAATGCGAAACATACCGTAGGTGTTGAAGGCTTCCTCTTGACTGGAGTGCTCAAGCATCTCATGGAGCTGTTAACCCACTATCTTTGTGATGTGCTGAAAATAATTAGATGAACTTGAAGGTTTGATCAAACGACGGAGCTGCACACGAAAACCGACATTATCTAACGACAAGTAACACATCAGCAGAAGTCACTTAAAGTCAAGAGGTGCGACGGACACACCATTCATTTGCTTACTGGCATAAGCAAATACCCTGTTTTCAGCCACTTTGGCGTTGCGTGACTCGTGGCCTGGACTTCTGCCTATTATACTCGGCATCTCAGAACACTACTTTCTATCTCTATCTATTTAGTACCATCGATGTCATGGTCCAGTAATGCCTCAACTCACCAACATTAATCAAACACCGAAAAATGGACCGTGTCAGCAGTCTTTAGAAAAGTTTGTTTGTAAAATTTGAAGAGCCTTGAAGCTTGACGTCCTGCAGGAAATCTGAGTCAACATTGATCACCTTCGTTAGAGAGTAAGCAGCATCAGGAAATCACCGAGTTCCTTTTCGTACCTTATTATTTGTTCCTTATTTCCTTTAATTTGCGCAATAAGGTAAATTTAAGGTCATTCGCTCATACTTAAAACAAGGAGAACAAGAAGATCTATTCCCTTATACTAAGGAAATAAGGAGTGTTTTCCTTAAAATCACTTTTGTCAAGGCAAATAATGCAGTCAAAGATACTATTATTTCTAGACATAGACAAAGAACAACTAAAGTATGCTAAGGCGAAAAAGGGATGTCCATGAGTTCAAGGCGCCCTAGGAAAATCACGAAAAAACGATAAAAAAAACGCGTCCGAAAACAAGCGACGCCGACAGTAGCGAGCAGGGACTGATGTGATCAATGATTTGAGGGGATGAATGAGCACGCATGTAGTAGCCAACCAAGTCCTGTCAAATATTATGGCGTCAGGGCGAGCAAATTAAGATAATGAAAAAAAAATACAGATGTGGATACGGGAACGTGGGTTCACAGGGACCTGACTTTCATCGTCGGGAATAGTGTCTTCGTCTTGGTCCTTGTGGCGCGAACACTTCATGTATAGTTGAGATCGCTCAACAATCTCCTTCACACGGTCGAAGGGCAGTTCCTCGATCCGTTCCATGTATGCGAGCGTGTCAGTCTCCCAATTGCCCGCAGAAAAAGCAGTACCGGTATTGCTCATTTTGTTGGTTGCTTGATTGAGCGTTAACGCGAGTCTATGTTTCCCATGCTCTGAATTATCCTCCACAATGAGGTCGTCGCGAGCTAAAATAAATGCACGTTCGGCCTGCAAATACTAGTCAGTAAAATTTACAAGGGAGTAGCAAACTCACAGCAGCAGTGGTCAGCGCTAGTGCTGTTTGATATGTAGGTAAGCCAAAGTCGAGCGAGTCCACTGTCTGGCGTCCATGGATGGCATCAAGGTGAGTAGCAAATATACGCAAGATGAACTCGGATAAGAAAGCTCCAGGTGAATCTTCACTATCTGGGTCTTCGTAAACAAAGCGGAAGTCTTCAAGTTGATATTCTGAGTAAGCTTTCCGTGCCTCCTGCGTCTCGTATTCATCGGTCGAGGCAAAAAATGCCATCAAAATGGTGATAGCAGTGGAACCAAAATTTCCCCGCCACTCGGAGATCCTTTGATACACCTGCACGTATAGTCGAGTCAACTACTAACACAGAACATAATTTCACTCACCACATTGAAGGCGCCATTACAGCCATCAACCTCAAAGTCTCCCGGTTGCTTGTACACTGAGTAGTTGATATCATAGAGAATGTTTGAGAGTGTATCGTCAGAAATAATCCATGGAAAGCGGCTGTTTCCAACCCAATACATGATCGTTGGGATGAATTTCAAACACCATTGCGAGTTCTGTGCACCACTGGGTAAGTGCGCATTTTTCGGTTTCTCTTTCTTGAGGTTGCGTACCCGTGGTGCTCGTCCAGTTTCGGTTTTGATAAACTTGTTTCGATTGTCTGTCTCCACGACACTGACCGACATCTGCAGGAATGTGTCAGCGTTCTTGTGCATACATCCGTCAACTCTACCCTACGGAAGTTGTGAGCCGACTGGTCGTCGTTTCGCGGACCTATTGAATCCCGGAATTGTAGTAAGTGATTCTCAGAAGACCCAATAGGTAGCGTACCTCAACATCACCCCCCTCATCCGTCATAGGAACATCGCCCTCTGCGTCCTGGTATTCAGCATCTTCATCAGCCTCTGGGTCTTCCTGCATTTCGCACTGTTCTTCGGGTCCAGGCTCCTCCACTGAGACAGTCGACAAGGTACGCTTCTTTCCTCTCGGTGCGTCATTGATGGCCTCCAAAATGTGCACAACGCCCTGCTTTAAATTGAGTATCCTCTGTTTACAAGTGAATTTGCTCACCTTTGCGCTATGACGTTTGGTCAGGTTATCATTGAAATCTAAATCTTCAGGTGCGTCGTCATTAATGTCATTGTCAACCCATTCTAGATCTGGACCATCGTTTGCAGCCACTGAAAATGTTGTTAATTGTTTGCTTGAAATATAATTGTACATACCGCTACAGGCACTTGGTGGCACTGACGGCTTCAGTTGGGACTTTGCAGCCACACTTTTGGCCCATTTCCCTACTCTCGTTCTCTCTGAAGATATGAAGGACTCAGACCTACGATCGAATGAGTGAAAAACGTCAAAATAATAGAGAGTGAGTTCTGATAGAAGTAGCATCATACATATATAGTTCAGATTAGGAACTTACAGCGACTTGCAAATTTTCCCATCATCAGCCTGAGCGCTTCCAACACGTGTCTCACTTGGAGTTGACACACCACTGTTCGACACCTTTCAACACCATCCTTGAAGGTAAGCCTTAAATCTGGATGCTTCTTCTTCTGGATCCTGGTATTTTGAGTCGCTAAATTGGCCCCAACAGCTGTATCCAGAGCAGTAAGCGCCCCCAATGCTATGGATTGTGTACAATCTCCTTACGTGTTTTAGGTCTGGAACTGACGGTCTCTGCTGCACTCTCGAGGGTCGGCGCCGGTTTCTTGGTCACTGAGCGTGGCTTTGGCTTTGGTCGGATAAGCCGCCCAGGGCCGGCATGCTGAATCATCTGCTCAACAGCCATCTCGTCTTCCTTTGCCGCAACCTGTTTTTGATGAATCCCATCTCTGTGTGGGTTTTTTGCTGAATTCATGACGGTGCTGCCCTCGCAGCTATGCTGAGGAAGACATTGGAAACATACTAGAGATGCTAGAGTTATATCCTCTCTCCAACACTATCCTCATAAATGCTCCTCACCGAAACAGCTGGTTTCTAGCTGTGGTTCAGCTTTCCATCGATCCAGGGCCTTGGAGGGGATGGTTGTTGTGCTTTTGTCGCCGTATTCCTACGATCCTAACCATGGCTTGGCTAGCCGTTCCTCCCTATCCCAAGTCAACGCCATATGCAGTGTTTCATGCATCCAAGAACTATTTTATTATCAAGAGGGTGAGGGCTTCATCGATATACTCATACCATTTGATAATTGTGTATATCATATATCTACAGTATTAAAATTCTATTCGCATAAGCTGATATTGATTCATTTAGATACTCCCAGTGGTTTCTAGCTTCAATTCACCAGGCTGTACCATCGAATAGCCTGGCCATCTATCTGCGCATGTAGAAGTATTTGCAATGACAAGACCATAACGTCACAGGTGCACTGTGGGATATAAATTCGATAAATTGGCAACATTGACCTTCACCATCGAGGATGCGTCGCTGCAGTTGATCTTTGGTAACAATGGGACAAGTCCACTTCACTGTATCTCTGCGCCCTTGGTGCCAAAGTATCTGAAATTTTAAGCAGGGTAAGTGATGATTCACACAACTGGACTTAGTTGTGACCTTAGACTTTCATAACTCCAGCAATGGTTTGCTCGAGCCCAAGTTGCTATCCCATCCAAATACTCGATGAGACCTGGGGCATTGGTGCCAATTTCCAACGAAGGGGCCTGTGCTAGACCGTCGATAAACCACTTCTCGACTTGAGTGTGATAGCGTGCTGCCCAAGCCATCGCAAGTCAGTACGAGTTGTTACTACGAGCTACAAGACGACATACCTCAGCGAAGTTTCGGAACAACGCTGAGGTGAAAACGACAAGAATGCCCGGCTGTGAATATTCTCGTACTGGGCGCTGAGCTTCTGCTGTTCAATTGCTATTGTTTGTTCATGGGGCCTTAGATTGAAGTCTTATGGTTGTGCCGGTTGCGTACTACAGGGGTTTTGGACCTGCCCTCATTTAGTCAGGCGTGTTATGTCGGAAAAATCTGTGAATAGAAGAAGTTCGCATACTTTGTACATTGTACAGTACAGATCTACTACATTTGCGAGCACCGATCCAGTAAGAAAAATGATACAGCAGCGTTCTGAGTCAATGTTATGTTCTGCTTCTCTAAAACACGATCAATCCTAATCCTATAGCACCAGAAACCAAAGACCAAGCTCCGCTTCCTCCTGTACTTAGTCCTAATGCAGCACTTGAAGTTTTGGGCGTGGATGTGGACGAAGTCACCATAACTTTGGCAGGTCGCACCTAGGAAGCCTGAGGTGTGTGAGTGCATGGAGGGTACCTAAAGGTCCCCGAATAGATGGACGGAAGTCAGGCAATACTGTCATTTTAATGCATCAAAACAGGCTAAGTAGCCTAGTTTTGTGATGCATCAAGCTTGCTCATTGTGTGATGCATCATTAATGCATCAGGGATCTGACAGTTATGCATCATCCATCCGGTACATATTTGGGCTGTGCCATCCATGTTTAGCACTTGTCCATCCATATTCAGTGCGCTGTACCTATATATACCTTGCTCCCCGGCAATATTTTGCTTCCAGTAGTACCCTGTACCTTGCTCCCGGTAATACCTTGTTCCTGGTGGTACCTTGCTTACCTACTCAAATCTTCGGTGTCCGGTTACTCAGTATTCAGTTTGGTAGGCCTCTTGCCGTTCCTACTCGAATCCTTTGGTGTCCAGCCACTCAGCATCCATTTTAGTAGGTCTCTTGCTGTCCTAGTTGTCCTTTCATATTAGTAATAGGGCAGGTTCCATCAATGATGCAATTTTTGAGCTGTGAATTCGCTAAGTCCCCAACTCTGTCATTCCACCAAGGTTTTCCGTTTGAATTCACTAAGTCCTCAACTCTGCCATTCTGCCAAGGTTTTTTGTCTCATACGTTACACAGTACATCACAATTAAGTTGCTGTACCATACATATTTTTAACAATGAAGTTATATTGCAGAGCGCAGCACAATATTTAGTACAGTGTGCAATGAATGGAACATTGTTACAGAAGCAGAGACGAGGTGCATGCACCGCTGGAGGGTCTAGGACCCAGGACGAGACGGCAGGAAGAAGAATCAAACAGTCTGTGTTACTCAATGTTTGATGTTCGAGTTATGGTCCTACCATGGTAGGACCATAACTCGAACATCAAACAACTACTAGTAATAGACTATGTACTGGTAATTCTTGTGGCCTTGTGCTTATGTATAGGCGAAATGGGATTATTATCAATGACTTTTGGTCTGAGTTAGATTTTGAAGTAATGCTAACGAGCCGGTACATGTTTTCAGTCCTATCAACTGATAGAGTCCAATTTAGACGAACCAGTCTCTCGAGTCTCAACTTGAACCATCCTGTCAGTTACGGTCACTCGAAATTCTAATACACGTATGTGAATTTCATCTACTACACAATCATTAACATATACTAATTCTGTTACAGTGAACTCTGAATAGCTCTGAATCATATTTATGAGCCTTTCACACATAATTCAATGATGTACAACTGTTATGGTCTGACTAAGGTCAACTAGGTGTGTTTTTTCATTCTGATATATTTTATCTGTCATTTGCTTACACTTCTTTTTACCCAGCTACTTCGAACACTACATCAATCATCGCTCGACAGTGGGACTTTTAGCAGTTGAGGTGTCTATTAATGAGTTGTCCATTAAGGTCCGTCATCAATCCACTATTATCTGTTAACTACTAATACTATGCAATCCTATCCTGATACTCCCTCCTCCACCTCAGCGCATCCCCTCTCACTCGCTTGCTGTTCTTGCTGGCTGGTTCTTGCTCGCTCGCTGTGTCTCACTCGCCCACTGTCTCTCGCTCGCTGTGTCTCTCGCCCGCTGTCTCTCACTCACTAGTTGCTCTTGCCCGCTGTCTCTTGCCTGCTGTCTCTTGCCCGCTGTCTCTTGCCCGCTGTCTCTCACTTGCCCACTGTCTCTCACCTGCCCACTGTCTCTCACCTGCCCACTGTCTCTCACTCGCCCGCTGTCTGCTCTCAGCCACTGTCTCTCACCCGCCATCTCTCACTCGCTCACCTCTCATAGATATATCTTTCCCATCTGGCATCCGATGCGCAGCTTTACTCGTGCCAATGCATATCCACCTGTATGGCTGCATGCTGTAGCTACAACCCAGAATCCAGATGGGCCTGTTATAGGTAATTTTTCGCATTTTTATGTATGTTATCTACATTTGTTACTTTATCAATACCTGGAATATATTACATCTAATTTTGACTAGAAATGTGCGAGTGAGTGCCCTAGATGTAAATATGCCCGCTCCAAACCTGCTTCCGTGTCTGACTTATTTGGGATATGTCATCAGTCAAGCGGCTTCAAATGAGATCCATTTTGAACAAGGTACCAAATAGAAGCTTGGCAAAGTGGAAGGCACAATGTGAACTGAGATTCGACGAACTGAATATTAGATCTTCATAGGTGTCTTGGTTGCCGAGGACCAAAAAAGAAATATCATTGACTGAAAGTGCTACAATCTACAGTATTAAAGGTCTGCTAGTTAGCATGTTCTGATGCATTGATGATGCATCGGAAAGCTTGGTAATGTACATAGTTGATGCATTACCTATCACTTATAAGTACCAGAATTGATGCATCAGCCTTACAGGGACTTGTGTGGAAGTGACGGCATGGATCTAGTTGATATAGTTGTCGGCTCGGATGGAGGTGACCACTCAAACATAGTTGCCCAATCGGACGATAAGCTAACAACAATGCTAGAAGGGCCAACACGGGTATAGGTTGAGGGAGTGCAGGACGGGTCTTGACCAGGAAAAGTGAGCTTTTGGAGTGGATAGCTGCAATTGCAGCAAGAGACGTAGAAGTCGGGTAGATGTATTGATCAGGCAATTGACCCATATGTGCTTTGCTTATGTGAAGTTGGGCTTACCGTCCATATTAGCTTGTGCCACTGTGTAATCTGTACCATCAATTACAGCGCCAGCGCATAACACGCAGTTGTAGTAGCTTGTTTGAAAGAACTGGGTGTAGCATGATGCGCCAGCCATAGTACATGCCTGGACGAGAGTTACCTATCAGCAAGGACAGAGTCGGGGATGCGAGCTTACAGCATTAAATCCGGTTTGGAAAAGATCACAGGTTGGGCTGCACTCCCAGAGAACGAAACCGCCCAATTTATTGTATGTTGAACTCGACACCCCGAAGATGTTGTATGATGAACTCGACACCCCCAAGACAGATTGGGTCGGATCAAGATTTGGATGAGATAAAACAAGGGTAGCAACCGCTGATAAGAGTACTGCGAGGCAAGCACGCATTGTTAACTTTCGTTATAAGGTCGTGTCGCGAAGATCGAGAAGGCTCGTTGGGAGGGGGAGGACCATATTGGCCCAGGAGCACAGTATATAAGTGCAAAGATGCCAGCGTTAATTTGCAATCATGGTGATCTTGTGTCATGTACGCATACGCCGGTCCATGCTCCCGACATTCTAATTTGCTGACGGACATGAATTGATGTCATAGCTACCCTGAGTTGCAATACAAGTGTCTGCGGCTGCTACGTGGGCAGAATTATTTTGAGCAGTTCTGCTGTCGACGAGATCTATTAATTTGTACATTGTATATCATCTGCAGTACATACCCACTAGATGGAAAAAAAACATTTGCAAGCACCGGTCTAGCAAGAAAACCGATACAGCAGTGTTCCCGGTCAACGTACAAGCCTCGAACAGCGCTATTCTGCTTCTCTAGAGTGCGATCAATCCTAGATTCCTGATTCTATAGCACCAGAAATCGAAGGGGCTCCGCCTCTTCCTGTGCCTGGTCCCGGCACAGTATTTGAAGTTGGTGGCGACTCTGATATAGGTGGGGACGCTAATGTAGTTGACGATGCTAATGTGAGTGTCGATTCTGATATAAGTGTGGACGCTAATATAATCGACGACGCTGATGTAGGTGCTGACGCCGATGTAGGTTTCGAAACTGATATAATCGACGACTCTGAAGTAGGTGCCAACGCCGATGTAGGTTCCGAAACTGATCTAAGTGTCGACATTGATGTCACGGACTCTGGTGCAGACACAGACGGAGGTGAAGTTCCGACAACGGTAAAAGTTCTAGCTCGGGAGGGTGGAGTGCGGGATGGGTTTTGACCAGGGAAGGTGGGCTCTTGGAGTGAATAGCCATAATCGTAGCAGGTGCAGTATGCGGTCATAGGATATCCTGATCACTCGAGCTAGTACATCAACATGGACGAGGTCAGGATTTCAAGCTTACAGCAATCAATTCGTTTTGGACAGGGTCGCAGGTTGAGGTGCCCTGTAAAGAAACGGAGATGCCTTGTCTTTTGTACGAGGTACTCAGCAACGTCTGGAGAGAGTGAGTCAGGTAAGAAGCGCCTGGACGAGATGAGACAAAGGTAGCAGCCGCTGATAAGATTACTAATTTACGAGGCAGATTGTAGAGGCATGCGTCATTGGCTGTCGTCACAAGATCGTATCACGAAGACCCAGAAGAGCTTCCTGGGAGGAAGACCATATAGGCCCAGGAATACAGTACATAAGTGCAAATCTTATTGCTGATCAGAGTTCACTAGAATAGTTTTGGAGTCTAGGCACGAGTCAGTACGACTTGTCACTACGAGCTACAAGATGACATACCTTCGGAACAACGCTGAGGTGAAAACAAACACAAGACGTGGAATATGTACATTTGTCACATAACCATTAGTGGCTGCTGATGAGTGTCGCAGCACCGCATAGTATATATCTATATGATGATGAAGGTGCCAAGAAGAGAAACGGAGTATATGAGGTACTATGATGATCATCGTCCTAGTACCCGCCATAAAATGATACGGCTAATATAACAAAAAAACAACTGAGCCCGACTGAACATACCTCTTTATCCTGAGCGTAAAGAACGTTAACAATAGTAGGTGGCTGTTCTTGGCTTGTATGAACGGGCTACCAAGGTATGTGGTATATGGGTTCTGGAGGCAGTGGGAGATGACCAGGTGGTTGGTAGTAGTAGAGACTGAAGAGCGTTTGAACAAAAATGTTGTGATATTAATCAAAGCTCGCGTTCTTGCTGGAATTTGTGTCTGAACGTCCCTAAGTTGAGGTATGTCCCGAGAGGGCAGGAACTGCAACATGAGTGTCGAGTCAAATCCGAAAGAAAAAGGGAAAGAAACATACAATCTGAAGGATCACAAGATTGATGGTTTCGAACAGGGCGGTACTACTGCAAAATGCGAGGAGAGAAGCAAAGATTTTTTCGCTGAGGTAACTTTGAACATGGGCCGCGTTGCTGGGGGTAGTGGTAATGGATGAGTGGTTTAATGGATAAAGATGAGATACAGTTGATCATTGAATATTGAATATTAACGATGAACGATTTTCAGTGCGCTACTACTCATTGAATGTAACTCAGGCACTACCTTGTCAGCTCATTGAGCGCTGGGCGCTGCCAAGCACCGAGCAGACAAAAGGCATGTCAATAATAATTTGATCGTTCGAAACTTTCTGCTTACTAAGACGAGAATGCTATCAACGCCCGAAGATGTTGATCATAGCGCAGCCAACATCAATTGAGCGACTCCTGTATACATTACCGTTCTCGTCAGTCGTGCAATCAGTTGTCACTACTGGTCGCGCTTTGCTTGGGAGTGCTCCTACGTGCTATGCACAGCGTACAGATTCGGTATGTGTATGCACCCGCTCAAACCAACATCATATTATTCCACTCGCTGACGAAACGTACATGACAGACCAATGTACATCAGCGCCTCAAAGTTTGAACCGGACTAAAGGTAAGTGCCTGATCCGATGGTAACACAGCCATTGACATGCAGTGTCAGCAAGGCGCCTACCACTACAGCGCGTAAAACTGACCCAAATACCACCTCTCTTCATCACCTTCAACCCGTATCTCCCTCCCGTCGATGACTGACTTTGCGCAGTGTTTCTCTGTCCAGTCCGTTTGTACGGCCCAGTATCCTATATCGATCAAGGTCATGTCACGCGAAGAGGCCGAGTCGAGTACGTCAACGAGACAGGGAGAAGCGTCATTGCAGTCACCGATATATCGTACGAGCGCGAAAGATCCACCACTATATGGTGCACAGCACCGCCAGGATGCACTTTGGAAAGGTGAGCAGTTACCTTGTGATACGTACTAGTTCACTCAATTAGAAGCAGGTGGGAATGAAGCGCTTCCTCCGATGTGGCAACAATTCAGGACGACATTGGATGGTGAAATACGATATCAAGATGACACGTTCATGATAGCCTCGTGGAACCGGCCTTTACCAGGAGTGCGACTAGGTGGGGGATGAAATTGCGACAAGGTGCAACGAACTCACGGTTGAACATAGATTATCCTGGATATCTCGCTGTTCCTGGATGTGAATGGCATATCTCACCACTTGGTCGGTCGTACTTTGTCGACCACAATACTCGGATCACGTCGTGGAAGAAACCCAAGCCAAAACGCCCGACAGGAAGCTTGATGCCGGAGTGCGTCATTGAGGGTCACTCTCAATGGATATGGAGCCTTGCCTACTTGGGTGCCAGTGGCAATATAATGAGCACATCTGAGGATAGTTCGATTCACCAGTGGAAAAGAGATGGAGAGCCAGTGGGAAAACCTTTGAATAGCGATGGGGGAGCGATAGTTTCGATGGTAGTATCTCCGGATGAAACAATGGCCATCTTTGGAAGTGCAGACGGTAGACTGCGGCTGTGGAATATAAAGAAGGGCAGCATGGTCGGCGACCCGTGGGAGGGACATGATCATGTAGTGAGGTGCCTCGATTGGTCTCGCGATTCCCTGGAGATAGCAAGTGGATCTACAGACGGCACCATACGACGCTGGAACCCGAATACTGGTCGACAAATAGCACCACCCATGGAGACCAGTCACGGATGGGTTTATATCGTCAAATACTCTCCACAAGGCGACAAATTCATAAGCGGCGGTGCGGACAATGTGATCCGCATGTGGTCGAGGAATGGCAAGCTGCTCATCGAGATCAAGGAACACGACAACGTAGTGACGTCATTGTGTTGGTCTAAGGACGGCACACACATATTCTCCGGGTCATTCGATGACACCATCCGAAAATGGCGGGCGAATGATGGACAGGAACTCGTTGTTCTTCGGGGTCATACCAATGGCATCAGATCCCTCTGTCTTACTCCCAACGAAAGCTACATTGTTAGCGCATCAAGTGACTACTCCATTCGCATCTGGGATCTCAAGACCAATCAGGCAGTTGGAGATCCACTCTTGCATGATGACGAACTCTTGGCTGTTGTCATGTCCCCTGATGGCAAGTACATTGTCAGCGCTGGACTAGACAAAAAAATCTATGTATGGAGCCTGGAGGCAGCGCTCAAAGTTGTGGTAAGTTTGCACTTTGTTATCCGAGAATGATTCTGACCATTTACTAGGCTGCGGACGACGGGAATACAAAGCTCAAGGCAAGTCTTTTCTTCTTCTCTTTCACACTACTACATCTCACTTTTTATTAGGGACGTCCAACCCAACCGAGAGTTGTGCGGCAACCAATCGTAAGGAACCTCATCTTTTCTCGTAGGTTTCACTAGATTCTTAATGTCCATCTGCACTTCAAACAATAGACCATTACCAAAGGCTCGACGAAATACGTTAGTAGAATTTTTCGTTCTTCAGCTCTTGCTAATCCGACTTTGATACAGGGCAATGATTTCTTCGGCAATGATTCAAATCGCGGACCTCATCGCGCAGCTCCGCCTGCGAGTCCATCTTTTCTTCATTGGCGCAGTTTGATTGGTTCCCTCCGGTCCACTGCCCAACCTACAGATACACCTCGACCGTCACCTCGCGAATCTCGACATTGGAATTTCAACTTACTTCCTCTAAGAAATTCAAGCCGCATCGTTGATGTAGCTCCTGCTCGTGATGAAGATGTAAGTGACTCGCCGTCGCTCCAATTCTGTTCCATTAAAATACATTACAGAGATATGGCATTGTCCCTGAAACTGACGCGGAAGCGGCTGCAGCTATGCAACGTACGAACACCAACCAGGCCAACAGTGCAACGCAATCGAGTCAACCAGCAGGGGCACAACCATCTCAAGCCCGACCAATCCAAACACAAGTACAAGGCTTAACTGGTGGAGCGGAAGATACTGTGTATGAAGGAGTGAGCTGCTGCGGATTTTTCTTTGGTCGTCGTCGTTCTGCTTCGCATCAGTCATGAAGGGTGGAAGAAGTGTGACACGCTCACAATCAGTTCAGCTCTCTTTCCCCCGCACCTATGTAATTCCTATCATGATCAACATTCCCCGCCGTGACTATCACCCACGTACTGGGATCCATCCCTCTTCGTGCACCTCCTTTCCCTTGCGCTGCTTTTTCCGGGAAGGCGACCCGTTGAAACATTGAAATTGGATTTCGCGCAACATCGAGTTCGTACTGCTCAAATCGTACACAGATTGTTCAACATATGTTTGTATTTGGATTTACATCGATGAGTTTACAGACTACACCAAACTTACAAATCCGTCAATTTCCGTGCAAAGACGTCTGTCCGATTCTTACTGGGAATCATGAATGTGGATAGAGATGTCGTAGATGCGTAGGTAGGACGAATACACGCTGAACGGTGCCATCATTCCGCTGACAGATGCTTACCCGTGCCATCGGACCCATCTGTGTTTGGCTCAAAGTTGATCAGACAATAACTGCCGCGAACTCGATGAGGTCTGCGATTTGAACATTTTTTGAATACCTTTTCTGACAAGGAAGTTTTCTATATATACAATATACACCGATATCATGTAGATCTGTACGATGATGCTATGTAGTAGAATATCCGCACTATCAGCATCTAGTAATCAGGATTTAATTCTATCGATTCCCGTAAAACATATCAGCGTCCAAGCTCTTCACTCATCAGATGAGTGCGCTACTGAAGTTGTGAGCATTCATAAGAGTACAAGTAAGCAAAAAAGACGCAAAGATACGACCCATTATACAAAACAAGAGGAAGTTTATGACGAGACAATGTCCAACATAGGGTCTATGACCCCAACGGACCAACTCTGAAGCAAAAAAAAAGCATTCATAAGTGTGTCCGTAACGCGCTTAAGCTAAGCGTCCATTTCAGTGGTTTTGCTGATGGCCCAGTCTCATGTCGACGAGCAGAACAATTATACACAGTTTTCCCGATTAGCTGTTCCACAGCACGATCAATCCTACAGTAGCACTAACCGAAGCCAAGACTCGGCTCCCTCCCGTGCTTAGTCCCAGCGCAGCACCTGAGCTTGAGGGTGGAGGAGGAGGAGGACTGGATGGAGGAGGACTGGGTGGAGAAGGATCAGCATCGGGAACGTCCGCCCTGACGACCACCATATTGTCTTCAAGTATTTCGCTCGCCTCTTCTGGGACGTCGACCTCTGCCAACGGCACAGCGGTTTCATCCACAACACTGGAAGTTCTAGCACGGGAAGAAATTGTGTGAGCGTCTTGACCAGGGAGAGTGAGCTCTTGCAGTGAATAACCGTAATCGGAGCAAGAGACGTAGAGTCCTAGTGTATGTATTAGTAAGGCGATTGACTCATAGTATGAAGTCGAGCTTACCGTTCAAATCGGCTTGTGCCTGTATATAATCTGTAGCATTCAATGCAATGCCGACGCACAAGAGGCAGTTGTAGTAGCTTGTTTCAAAGGACTGAGTGCAGCATACGGACATAGGACATCCCTGGGCGAGAGTTAGCACATCAGCAAGGTCGAGGTCCGGGATGAAAGCTCATATCATTCTCTTTATCGTTGACAGGATCGCAGATCGAGGTACACTGCGAAGGAACGGAGCTGCTGCTTTGTCTTCCGTACGACGAACTCAACAAAGACTGAGTCAGATAAGAAGCGCTTGACCGAGATGAGACAAAGGTAGCCGCTGACAAGACTACTGAGCAGATTATAGATGCATGCATCGTTGGCTGTCTTTACAAGGTCGTACCAAGAGGAGATGGGGAGCCCGAAGGACTATGAGTGGCATACAGACTGGGACCACGATATATAAGCGGATGCCAGCTGCGGTGCGCATAACTTAACTTAAAATTTAGAAGTGCTCGTCGAACGGACTTTGATTTACTCCGAGTCGGTACATGTGCATGATGCATGCATGCATGAGTACTGAGTACTTGCTGATCAGTACTCAGTATTACTAAGTATGCAAAGTTGAACTTCGGAAATGCCTGAAGTAGAACACCATAAGTGTACATTTGGCTCATCTAAAAGCTCACATTCCTGTTTTGCACTCCGATGTGGGCACTCCATCGCGAGCATTTGTCATTTACTTGGTATCAAGAAGACACCTGCATCCAGGCTGACCAAGTACTGCCGGTTACAAGCACACTGGGGTTTTCGTGTCTTAGTATACATACACTTTTTCGTACCCTGCGTGTGCAGGCTACATTACAGCCACAAGAGTATTTCAGCTTGTACTCTTGAGCGAGATGAGGCCTTGAGGAATGACGTGTCATACTTATGAACTCGATTACCTAAATAAGTGGGATCTCATCATTGCTATGGCCCACATCAGATATGCCAAGGACCGGCGTACCTACGCGGAACACCAGGAAGGTATTTGAAGGTGTACCTTTTCTTCTCGGTATGATTGATATAACGAAGAAGGCAGATTTAGAGATGATATTGAACTGGTCGGCTTTTGTGCACTGAAAATGGCATAACAGGTGTAGCTCGCTGTATGACATGGACATGACGCAGCTGGGCTCGAAACACTAATGTGATTGTTGGAGTTGATGCGGTCTCCCGTAGTTAGACTAGTCAGCCCTCGAAGATAGTCACTGCAGGAGCTGTGAAATCTATTGCAATGATAAGTGTCACTGTCCTGACTGTTCTCGACTGGTCACCAACGCCAGTGTAAGTGCGTTGATACAGGAGAGCGAACGTCGCTGTGCAGTCAAGTGTGCAGCGTTAAGTCAGCGTGTCACCTCGAACTCTATAGGTGTGAGAACTCAAGGGCAGAAAACTCGTGCATTGCAGACTAGATACAGAGAAGTCCACTCTATGACAACGAGGTATGCGTTGGAGGAATCCTGCGTAGTACGTACTGGATGCGACGGGTCCAATGTGCTAGGAGATCAAAAACAGATCTCTCTTCATCGTGAGCCACTCGAGAACGTAATTTCCAGTTGCTGAAACCCTGACGTATAACCTGGAATCGAGAAAAAACTTCATCCATATTTGGACGCTGTGCTGGATCCGAGTGCATCATGTCCGATACAAGACCGCTCAGGAATTCCACATCTGCGTAGTGCTGTTTTGTGAAAATCAGAGTATGAAAAACCAGAAGTCACTGTTACACTTTACGTCGAGAAACGTTTCTTGAATGGCATGCCCAAGATACCAAACATCGGTTGGGAAAGGGTTCCGAGGTTTGAAGTTGTCTTCATTGAATTCAGGTACTTCTTTATCTCCACCAAATATTGGTGCTTCTAACGGGTTGGTGTTGGAAGCCTCATATTGGCGGGAGATACCAAAGTCTATGTAGTAATATCGTGGAGGAGACTTTGTGCGCGCGCGATGCCTCGCCACACGTTTGTAGTCCTCCGACATATACTGGTCGCTTGCATGCCATGCGTCTATGAACATACTGTCATCCATTAGGATGTTTAGCTGCATGCAATCTCTAAGCCCAGCCATGAGACAAGTCACTGGAGCAACTTGGATGCGTACCGGTGAGCGACATGATGCCTGTGCATGAAGCGCAGCCCCTTCAATTTAAAGAGAGTGAAAATGGATCAGTCATAATCAGTCAATTAAGAAGACCTTACCTCGAAAAGCTGGTGGATGCAGTCTACAACTTCCCCGACCGTGTCAAAATAGGGATCTGTAGCATCTCGAAGTAACGGCATGACAATTATCACAGTATTATCTTCGGCGGGCACCTTCAGAACATCGTAAATTGGAACGCAATGGTTGGCTGGATCACTGCTAAGAGGGTGGGTAGAAAAATAGCGACCGATTTCTATCTCATAAGGGTGTCGTGATATATCGACACGCTTGAGTGATACGCGAGCACCGTCTTGAATGCGCCGTGCATCCAACACAAGATAATGCTAAAGGAGACAAGGTAATTGATGAGCACTGCTATTATCAAAGTACCTACTGGGGACGCGATTCCATCCTCGCAGTTTATGTCAGCTTTGTTGGTGTTCGTCCAAGAGGGGACCCAATCTGGACTGTAGCGACTTCGCAGCTTATAACCCTTTTCTGTGAGGAATTCGTAGTGGCTCCTCCACCAAATCTCATATTCAGAAAGATGAGAATTAGCAGCGGAGGTCGAGGCCATCCTCAGAAATCTGCCCGAGTTGTGGTGTAGACTAAAAGTAAAAGGCGTCAAAGCGATACAGAACAAATATGGACCTACATATGTAATTCGGACCCCGGCACTTCGCGGACTTCAGAACCAACTTACTGCTTAATTATATAATAGCAGGCTGTAGCAGGCCAACGTGAGTCGCCATGACCCCATGTCAAGTTACGTCTCAATAATTCATATATCCGGCCGAGTATAGGTATCTGCAAAGTACCCTGATAGGGAACTCTTATCCGAATGACGAAAATATCCTATTGTATTGTTCTTTCTATCTTGAGGATCACATGAATCCTCCGAGTCATCGACAAGGTTCGAGCATCAGACCTCAGGTTTATAGCAGCTGCTTGTTGCCATATTCACATAATCTTCCTTCGAAGGAAACGAACTCGTTATTTTTACCCTCCGAGCTTATCATCATCAATCGCTCGCACGAGTCTTGGTATATAACCAAGGAAATCACCGCAACAGATTGCCCCAGCTCCCGCCAGTTTTTAGTTATATCCCATGTCTCCCCCAATGGCTAGCACAACAGTTCGAATATCCGCGAACTTTGGACCTGCGAGCCAATTCGAAAACTTACCTGCGACCTTCATCCAGCTGAAGGGCCGGACAGCTCACGAACAGGGCGAGATTTATCTACAATTATCGCTGACAGCCCTGCGAGAGCTGGCCGACTTGTTGGAAAACGATCGTCTCTCAGCAACTGATAAAGCTACCTACAATCGAGCTTACACCGCTGGAAAGTTTCAATATGATCAGTGAGCTTTTTCACCTAGCCAAAAGAGTTTACTATACTCACCCATCTCTACAGAGCGGTAAAACTCAGAGACCAGCTTCAGATGCAGAAGAAATCTTTCCGCAAGTTCATTGTCAACCTTTTCGTCCGTGAGTCGGATGCCAAGCACTTTCGTAAAGTCACATATCGGATTTATAAGGGCATCAAAGTAAGTCGACCAACCGTATATCGGGCATATTGAATTGCAGTTGAATCGCTATACAGAGAACTTCAGAAGACCTGGCCAGACGTTTGCTGCCGGAAAAAGATGATACCCTTGGTATGACAGAAGGGCAGTGCGAGTTCCCCTGCTGACTGTTGGCCAGTATTTGGAAGCCCAGGGGAGTCCACACAAGACCACGCCTCTGTTTGTGAGGAGAATCTGTGTGTTGAGGTAGAAGGTATGCATCGTCTAGGCATTATATCGCAGAATACTGAGCATATTTTATGCAAAGGCAGTCTTTCAGGTCGGCTCTATAGCTCTTTCCCTTCGACCATATCTCACATGTAGTGGATTAGTCACCGATCTTCCCCCGAACGAAACCATCCGAGGCCTCAATGTGGATATACATAATGAACAAGAAGAACAAGAGGTCTTTACGATGCTTAGTCGAATAGCAAAAGCTAGAGAGGCAGACGGAGAAGAAGCAGAATATGATGATCAAACCACCAGTATGTCTTTGCAGTTATCGTCCATAATATAACTCAACAGGTTCCTTGCTTTCTCAGTCAGACCCTCGCCCTCACACAGTAGACCGCCGTCTCCTAGCCCCAGCTGCGCAATCAGTGTTTTTTACAATTTCAACCAAAGCGTGGTGTCCTTTGATTCAGAATCGACAGGAACAACACTGAACTTCGGACTAAATGAAGGTTTGTCATGTTCGCTGCCGATGTTATCCTGCGATGTTCAACGACAATGACAGGGATCGGCTCTGCTTGTAGTTGAATACTGGATACCAACGACTCAGTTGGAATATTGTTTTGATGGTTGTGGCACGTCCAATATTATGTCTAGTCAATAGTGCTGTACCAGTAATATATCATTGATTGGGCATTCGTGGGTCTCTTGCTAGAAAGTCGTGACGATGCGCGGGCACAGCAATTACGTCTTTACTTCCAGTGTCAGTTCAAACTCCGGCAATGATGTATCACACAAGTGTCACAACCAGTTTCTATTCCGCGAGGCGGGAAAATAGTAGTAGAATTTATTCTCGAGGAGCGGCGATGACTGATCGAATTTGAAATGGCACATTGTCCTTGCAAGGCTATCCACGTAACGGGCCCGTCAAGTATTTTGTATGGATCTTGTACTTACTACTGCCAGGAAGACAAGGTACCACTAATCGATGATCTGGCATCATGATCTGCTCCTTGTTTCATGGCTACTTTTGGGTATTATTGTCCTCCAACGCAGCCACGGAGTTTTTCTTTCGTGCATTGACTAATTAATGGTTCAGCGGCATCCTGGTGCATGCTATCACGGCCCCAGATGCTCAAGTGGCACAAAAATCTCACCATCTCAAATTGGCGCACATTCAGATTGGTTACGAGTCTAACCGTCTCTAACGTTAACGTGAGATTGATAGAAAAAAAAATGCATTGGAGATCAAATAATGATTTGATTTGTATGTCGCGACTGAACATGAATATGCCATAGCTTGTACTTACAACGTTCGCCTATTATACACCTTCCATCCACGTTCTTATTAATATTTTCGTTCTCCGTTTCAACGATCCTCTAACATTCATGCCATCAAACTGGTCGATTTGTGTACTTTACAGGCTTGTGCGCGCTGAACAGTGAAAACGGCACAACACCTGCCACTGGGTGCTGCACTGCTGGGCTCGAAACCTCAGTATCCTGTCACAGTGTGTCACAGTGGACGGCCCGAGCTTTCAGTACTGCAGTGTTCACCGACAAGAACAATCATGCAGCGATTCATTTTTTTCATCGCTGGACATCAGTAACACCATACACTTCAGTCGTGGTTAACCTCGTCTACAGCCCCGAAGAAGGAACAGAATGGACAAAGGACTTGCATTGCGTCCTCGCGCCAGGCCTCGTAATTTACGTCCATGTAACTTCCGTCTGGACTTCTGTCACAGTTGGCGGGAAGATCCTGTTTCGTCAATGATGAATATATGACGTTGATCGGGACAATAGGCACTGGAAGAGTTCTCATACCAAAGCCATCCTCAATGAGTTACTTATCATGGACTTCGAGTCTCGACCTATCATGTCACAGAAATTTCGGCCACTGTAACCACGTGCATCGAAATTTCCGTTCCGCCAGCACCTCCGAGGAGGCCTGTGGATCATTGTGTGTCGAGAAAATACCACCAGCTGTTTGTATCCATTGCAATAGTCATGATGTAATTCTCATTCTCACCTTGTGAAACAGGAGGAGTGCTCCTGAAACTTGCCGTGTTGTGGATAACGACAGATGCTTCCGCCACTGGATCCGAAGTTTCTGCGCGATGCTAAAGAAGACATTGAAAAAATACTGGAGACGTTAGAGTTTTACCCCCTCTATCACTATCCTCACAAATCCTGCTCACCAGAACGGCTGGTTTCTCTCCGTGGTGCGGAAGAAATGGGACGATCGTCGCAGCCAGGTACTCGACCACGGCAAGGGAAAGCCTAGAACTTGTCGTTCAGTTCTCCATCGATCCATTGAGGATGGTCGTCGCGCTTTGTCTGTCACCGTATTCCTGCCACACGGTCCAAACCATGACTTGGCTACCCCGTTATTGCCCTCCCTGTCCCAAGTCAACGCTGTATGTGATGCTCCGTACATTCAACATTTTTATCATTATCAAGAGGGCTTCATCAATATGCTCGTACCCATTTAACATTTGTGTATGTCATATATCAACAGTATCAAAAATTTATTCGCATAGGCTGATATCGATTCATTCAGGTGCTCCTAATGGTTTCTTCATCTAGCTTCAATTCACCAGGCTACACCACTGGGTGACCTGGTCATCTATCTGTTCATGTAAGTGGCGAGACTGTGACATTACAGCTGCACTGTGGCATAGATATTCGATAAATCGGCAACATTGACTTTCGTCATCGAGGATGCGTCGCCGTATTTGATCTTTGGTAACAACAGGACAAGCCTACTTTGCTGTATCTCTGCGCCCTTTGTGCCAAAGTATCTGAAATTTCAAGCAGGGTGAGTGATGATTCACACAATTGGACTTAGTTGTGACCTTGGACTCTCGTAACTCCAAGAATGGTTTGCTCGAACCCAGTCTGCTATCCCATTCAAATACTTGACGAGGCCCGGGATGTCGGTGCAAGTTTCCAACGAAGGAACCTGTGCAAGACCATCGATGAACTGCTTCTCGAGTTGAGTATGATAGCGTGCTGCCCAAGCCATCGCACCGCTTCTGTCGAGACCAATTTCCAGCATGATAGCAGTGATCAAGTTATGGTTTTCGTCTCCAGTTGCTTGCTCCCTGTTGTACGAGGCCATGTCCTATGAAAGTCTTCAGCATGCTGTCAACCACTCCTTGAAGATGACTTTACGTTGTCGATCACAATAAGCTCTACAACACATTGACGATCATAGGGTGGTAGAACACTTTGTCAGGAAACTCCATACCCATTTCATGTATTGTGAGAGAAGGTGCAACACCAGATGTATCCCGACGGAGCTTGAGATAGTCATCGATACTGCGGCAATGACTGTGGTCGCGGTCCTCAGCCTCGCCAACTACTGCATGAAGGTATGCAGTGTAACTGTCGAGGAAATGACGCTGAAAAGACTGGCTAGCAGTCTGGATTGCACGAGCCCAAAATCTACGCACAGATACCTTGAACTTCAGGTATCTCATCAAACAATACAATTTGGAGATACTTACTGTCGCACAATTTCACCCAGGATACATTCACCTTCTGGTCGCATCTTACGAGGATCATGTAGGGCATCGAGTACAATGTCCACCATTTCCTTAGTGACTGCCACATTTTCTTTGTCGGTGTACTCGTCAAAAATGAAAAATACATTCATCAAATCGCAGGCGATTCGGAGGTGATCTTACAAAATAAGTGGTCAGTGGTTTATGGTTTACCAGCGCTAAAATACACACCTCTCGGTGCATTCGGATGAGCCAGTGATGCTAGACGGGCTATAAGCACAGAATGTATCAGCCATTTTCAGAATGAGAGCTAGATATTGGTACAACCGAAATCGCACTTGTCAAATGCCTCCTGTGACGTGGGGTCCAGAGCCCTGAAATCACGCAACGCAGCATCGACTTCTGTTTTCACATCCTCGAAATGAGGATTGATGGCACGAGGCCAGGGCTAGTTGACCATGGTGTCTGGAAGGTAAAACATCATCTTTGCATGAGCATCCATGATTTCTAAAATATGGTTTCCAAAGATAAGTGCGGGCGTTTACAAGAGGAGAAATATTATTGCTGGTCAGTCCAGGAGCTGGAGCAGAGCTTATATACCCTTCCCTCAGCGTCAGTACTCTCCTGATTCATCAGAGAGTATCTGTATTCAGAGTTTTACCAAACTATAATTTTTCAATTGACCGTAGAGTACGGTGCAAGAATCACAGTGTTGAGCACTGGTAAACGGATTCGGTGACTCTGTTCACGCGGCAACTCGACCCTGACTCCGGCTAGTCAACATGTAGCTAGTATATTTTATAGCGCTGGACGATAAACGATGAATGCTTTTCACTGCGGCTGACTACGCTACTAATGCGGCTCAGACACTACATATAGTGCTCAATACCTTGTCAGCTCATTGAGTACTGAGCAGACAAAAGGCATGTCAGTAATCATGAATGTGGATGGAGATGTTGTAGATACGTAGGTAGAACGAAGTTCAACGAATACACGCTGAATTTTTCCGATCAAATGGGAGTAAAACGATAAGATAAACCTTGTCGCGCGAAGCGCCAAAACCTTCGTCAATGCTGGGCATTCGAACGCTCAGTTAACTGGGCATTTAACTTTGAGCTTCCCTTTTTAAAAATGTCCGGATGTATGATGAACGGCAACGCACGGTGATAACTGGAAACTGTAACATTACTGTAAGTGTGCGGTGAATTTTCAAACCTTTACCGGTATACCAGCTGTGGTGCATATAAAAACTCTTATCAAAGGGGATGACATTCCGGGACCCTAAAGGCCTAGGGGGACTGGTTTCGAAATAGGTTGGCTCTGAAACATCGATCATCCCGGATCCTTCATACTGATGCTGCTTGGCACGCGACAATCAATTCCCCGACTCCGACACCAGTGCAAGACTAACACATTGTATAGCCTATCAGCGGGTTGGATTGTGCTACAGAGTGCTACAGAGCGCTCTGTAGCGAATTACATTTCCCTGATGCCGGAGCAGAACATTGAATGGGAACACTGCTGCATCGTTTTTCGTACTAGATGACGCTCATCAGCAGTAGACTTCGCGTCAGATATTATCGAGTCAAAATCGTAGTGACCCGACGGGAGTGCGTTGTATGCAAGAAGGCTGGATGGATAGCATAATAGACACGCGGATGAGATGTATTTCACTCAAGCGTATGACCATAGCCTCCAATGCATGTAGCTTCGTGATGAAAGAGCAGTCGTGCGATATGGTATTCATATGGATCCGGTGCAGCGTTGATTTACATTGCATTGCAGTGCGGCTGAAAGTGTCAAGACGGTGAACATTGAAAGCCAGTCACTAGTCAAGCTTCAAGGCTGACCTTCTTGTAATGTACTGCACATATACCCGTACACAGACTGGCTGTCTGTTAATCAAGAGAAGCGATAAGCAAGGATGAGGCCACTCGGCGTCCTGACGATCTTGCTGAGTTTCAATCGAGGCGTGATGCAAGTATGACAGAGTAGACCGGATTTGATTTTGTGCCCCTCGAATTCACTGCTTCTTGTTTTACATTGTGTCGCGTGACAATTGGAGAGCAGAAAAATAATGATGCAGAGTTTTCCCAATCAGTTGTTCCACAACACGATTAATCGTATAGCACTGAGCAGCAGCAACCAAAGCCAAGATTCCGCTTCCTCCTGTGCTCAGCCCCAGCGCAGCACTTAAGGTTGTAGGCTCGGATGTGGACGAAGTTGCAGTGCCGTTGGCAGAGGTCAACGTCGCAGAGGAGGCGAGCGAAGTACTTGAAGACAGCGTAGTGGTCGTCGAGATGGAAGTAGGTGAAGGTGAAGTACCCTTGGAGATGCATCTATTCTTCTCAGTAACCTTATAGTGATTGATCATACTTCGCAAGCACGGTTGTGAGGAAGTCGAGGTAATTGGGCGCAGAGACATGAAAAACAACTTCTTTACAATTTTAAGACAGGAGATCTCAGAATATGGCATCTCTGGCTCAGGGGATATGGAAGATGAAGCCATCGCTGGAGGCAAGGTACGCAGCGCTCAGATGGTGCTTATATGGGGTCCTACTCGGAGTGCATAACTATGCCAAGAGCTTACTCGCTACAGAATTAGAGTTTGTCAATTGCAAAAATAGATGATATTCTGTCACGTGTCATTTGTTTATAGTACTTACAAGCTTGAGGTTACCAGCCTCATGAAAAAATTATACTGAGTTTTCCCAATCAACTGTTCCGCAGCACGATTAATCCTACAGCAGTAGCAAACAAAGCCAAGATTCCGCTTCCACCTGTGCTCAGCCCCAGCGCAGCACTTGAAGTTGTAGGCTCGGATGCGGACGAAGTCGCAGTGCCATTGGCAGAGGTCGACGTCCCAGACGAGGCAAGCGAAGTACTTGAAGATAGTATAGTGGTCGTCTGGATGGATGTAGGCACCGGCGCGGACGTAGGTACCGACATGGACGTAGGTGACGATACGGACGTAGGCGAAGGTGAAGTACCGCCATCGGTAGAGGTTCTAGCACGGGAAGAAGTTAAGAGAGTGCGAGACGAGTCTTGACCAGGAAGAGTGAGCTCTTGGAGTGAATAGCCGTAATCGGAGCAAGAGACGTAGAGTTCTAGTGTATGTATTGATCAGGCGATTGGCTCAGATGTGCCATCTGAAGCTGAGCTTACGGTCTAAATCAGTCTGTGCCTGTGTATAATCTGTAGTATTCAATGCAGTGCCAACGCATAAGAGGCAGTCGTAGTAGTTTGTTTCAAAGGACTGGGTGCAGCATGTGGTCATAGGACATCCCTGGACAAGCGTTAGCACATCAACAAGGACGAGGTCCGGGATGCGAGCTTACAGCATTCACTTCATCATTGACAGGATCGCAGATCGAAGTACACTGCGGAGGAACGTTGCTGCTCTGTCTTTTGTACGACGGACTCGACAGCACCCGGAAAGACCGAGTCAGATGAGACTCAGTGCTTGGATGAGATGAAACAAAGGTAGCAGCCGCCGACAAGACTACGAGGCAGATTGCAGAGGCACGCATCGTTGACTGTCGTTTCAAAGTCGTATGACAAGGGGCTGCTTGTGATGGGGAAGACCATATGAGCCAGGAGCATAGTATATAAGTGCGAATTAGACGCCAGCGTCAAGTTGCGGTGATCATACATTCACGCTCGCGGCAAACATTCTGATTTGCTGGACGTGAACTTATTGTTAGAACGTTGCCGAAGGTCATGCATTCATGCACATGTTTTATGTAATAGCACATATTTTACATAAGATTCTTAATAAGAACCTAGCGAAACGTTTATCCCGCGGAACCAATGCGCGTCCGACGTGTGTGCGCTCCACTCGAATCCTTTTGATCTCCACTTTGGCCCCCTGAAGCATGTACTCCACTGGAGCACTGAGCACTGAGTACTGAGTGCTGAGCTCATTTGACTGATGGTGTTCTTTCAGGTGACCGAGCGCCCCAACAGCTTTCTCTTGCACCCTGACCCGGATCTCAGTTCAGCTTCATTGTCATGGCGTTCAAGTTGTCTTGCTCTTTTCACGGTATTGTTGGCATTGGCTAGAACCTTAATGTAAACGCAATATGTAGCGGAGAAGAGGTCAGCACGAAATGCGCGTGTGTGAATCACGGTTCTGCACCAACGCTTCATCGAGGTGCAGATTATCCGACAATGCGGCGCCTGCGCTCAGCCGATCAGAAGCATACTCAAGTTTTTTCCCTCTCTGTTCAATGACCGACACCTCCGGCAGGCCTTACACATGGTGACTACTCTCAACTACTCCATCAACAGCTCGCGGACAGATTTATCGTGCTAAGTCCAACTTGAATATCTAACAGGGGCCTGATTTTCCATTTCTCAACGGGGCCGCAAGCCTTGTTAACATATTGTTTCAGGGAGCATAGCACGTGACGATTGGTCTGATGATCCTGGACTCTATCACGGGAGAGTCAACAGTGTGCCAGGATAGAGTTCTACCTGCAAGTGCTAGCTGGGTACTAGTAGCAGCCATGGTCACGGTGTCAGCCGCGACACGCGCGACGGCGCGACCAATGGCTGTGGGTCACGTCGTATGTTGTGACCGTGAGATTTGCATTATACATGCAAGTGGGTCGGATGGGTCGGATGGCCCGGATATTCCAGGATCAAGATGTCCTCGGGTTCGCTGTCCAAACAGCACCTTTAGTTAAGTATTTCTGGGGGTGACAGCCTGATGCGGGTATCGTAATCAATCACTACTCCACAACCTTGCTCTTGAGTCGTTTGCCTTTTACTTGTAAACCATGTTAACACTCACCAATGTCGCTTGGCTGGTTCTAGGTCTTACTGGTGCCGGAGTGTATCTGATGATGCGAGCGTTCAACAAGCAGAATCCTGCACCTTATCCCCCTGGTCCCTTGGGGTGGCCTCTCATTGGGAATATTCAAGGCATCCCTAGCATCAAGCCCTGGTTCACTTTTACTGAGTGGGGCAAGAAGTATGGTTAGCGCCTCTTTTTTCTCTCCAAAAAATCATATTTTTTAACCCCATGCGTGCAGGGGACATCACGCATGTCGAGATTCTGGGTCAGCATCTGATGGTGGTGAACTCTACCAGGACTGCAATAGAGATGTTGGACAAGAAGAGTAATGTGTACTCCGACCGCCCTGTCCTTCCCATGGCTGGCGAACTCTGTGGCTGGAAGAACTGTTTGCCTCTTCTCCCTTACGGCGACCGTCTTCGCCAGTACCGCAAGAACTTACACCACGTCATTGGCAGCCGCGCCGCTATGAAGATCTACCACCCGATCGAAGAGATTGAGACTCGCCGATTCCTTAAGCGTGTGTTTACGAAACCTGACCAACTACGAGAACATATCCGACAGTTGGTATTATTTATCTTTGTATTGGCGTGATGTTGAATCTTTAGTATAGTACCGCCGGCGCCATCATTCTGCGCATCGCTTATGGTTACGAAGTGAAAGAGAACAATGATCCCTTCGTCGACCTTGCAGACCGTGCTGTGCACCAATTCTCGCGTTCGAGCACTCTTGGTGCCTTCATGGTTGATTATATGCCATTCTGTAAGCAACAGCATCTGATATTTGTCTCTGATCACCTTATCATTTTTAGTGGCAAATGTCCCCGAATGGTTCCCTGGTGCTAGCTTCAAGCGCAAAGCGCGTGAGTGGTGTGAGACCCTCAATGAAATGGCTTCTGCACCCTACGAGTTTGTTAAGGATCAAATGGTGACTAATTCATAGTTATGCGCTCGTGCGTTGAAGTTTCAATCTTACAGGCGGCTGGCATCGCGCCGAAGTCTTTTACCTCTGATCTGTTGCAAGGCCGTATTTTATCTGCGGAAGAGGATCATATTGTGAAGTGGTCTGCTTTATCTTTATACAGCGGTGGTGCCGACACGGTAGGTCCTTCCCTACATATCTTAAATCGACATGTTTAAGAGCAATACTAGGCTGTTTCCTCGATTTACTCGCTTTTCCTAGCTATGACACTTTTCCCTAATGTGCAGAGGAAAGCTCAGGACGAAATAGACGCTGTTGTTGGATCCGATCGTCTTCCATCCTTCGCCGATCGCGACTCCCTCCCCTACATTGAGGCGCTCGTAAAAGAAGTTCAACGCTGGAATGTTGTCAGCGCTGCGGGTACGCACATATCGTTTAACGTATTCTTTACTCACCGAGCGGTATCTCAACGCCAGGTTTCTCCCACCGTGCGACCGAGGACAACATCTATAATGGGTACTACATTCCAAAAGGCTCCTTGATTCTTGCTAACCTTTGGTCAGTGACCTTGTTTCTCCGTATTCGATATACTAACATAATTTTATGACAGGTTCATGCTTAACGACCCACTGACATATCCCAACCCGTCGCAATTCAGCCCTGAACGCTTCTTGGCCAATGACGGAAAGAAGCCTGAGACAGACCCTTACACAATTTGCTTCGGCTTTGGAAGACGGTAAGTACATGATTTATTTTGAGTAGAATGCTATGTAGCTCTCTACCTTGCAGTAGCTGTCCAGGTATGCCCAATTCATAGAAGCGCCGGGGTAAAAACTATGACGTGACTTGCTTAGGTCTCCACCTCGCTGACGCCTCAGTTTGGTTATCCGCCGCGATGTCATTGGCCGTGTTTGATATCTCCAAGGTCGTCGAGAACGGCGTTGAGATCACGCCTGAGATCGACCCCTCATCAGGCCTAACCAGGTATGTTGTACATCTTATCAAGTCCACCGCAGGTCTAGATAGATGCACTTGTAGCCACCCCAAACCTTTCAAGTGTTCTATCAAGCCTCGCTCTGCGAAAGCCGTGGCGCTCATCCAGCAGGATGTTGACTATTAAGCGTGCGAAGGTGACATCCCACAGTAAGGCAGTCACTGTTTCTTCACAACCGACAGCGAGATCTGTCATAGTTTGCCCTTAGAACCACAGGATTATGGTGTCACATCGTTATATTGTAGATATGTTATCTTGCTCCACCATCTTTTTTACAATGCATGCTCTGGTATCAAAAACGTTCGCGATCTTCCTGACAATCAGCCTGTATAGCACTGCTTACTCAGTGGTCAGGAGCATATTCAAGTATTTAGGGGCTCTGTTCAACGTAACGGACTGACATCTGGCAGGTATTGCGCATAGCAACTACACTCAACTACTTCCCAAATAACTCATGTATAGGCTTCTCGTGCTGAGTCGCAACCATGAACGTTGGAGGGCGCACGCATCTAGCACGCACTCGTCTGATGATTGGGATTTTGTCGCGTAACGCCTCCAATCGGTGAAACAAATGACACTTATGACATGATATAACCAAAAGTTTGAATTCCTCGGGAAATCGGGGTGTCTTTAAGTAGTTTCGACTGAACGTCTCTTCTATGGATGATCATGACAGAGCGAATGAGTGAAAATCGGCTTCAGATAGTTCATCGCTATTCCAGGTCCTTTCCTTCTGGTAGCGCATCTCCACTGTCTTTCGTCTCTGACACGAACTCTCGAGTGCAGCCCATCCAGGACATGCTGCAACGATGCCATGCAGAGGGCTGTGTCTCTGGTGGCTTCAGTGGACCTCCATACGTGTCTAGGTCAGACACACGACGCATGCACAGGAAAGTAGCAGGGATTAATTACGTGTGGTGGACCAGTGCGTCGGTCCAGTCGAAAGGCGAGGAGCTCCACGTCAGGATTTTGACAGTCTGTATCCCTGACGATGTGATCATCACTTGGAGGAGGATCTCAGCCAGTTCCGATGCGAGTTCAGAATTCTTTTTTGCGGAAGGGAAGCAGCGGGTGAGCTTGAACCCAGAGAGAGAAGCCTTGCCATCCACAGGTAAAGCCGGAGCCAAAACATGAAGTTCCGGAGGCTGAGATATAGACTTGAGCCATCCTTCTGCTTTAGTAGCACGCGATGGACATTTCGATGAAGAGGCTTTCGTCGTCGGCCCTCACAAGGTTCTTTGCGGGAGCGACTCTCCGGCAGCAGCAGCACGACGACCACGACCACGACCTCAACTTCAACCACGACCTCAATCACAACTTCGCAGTTGCCCATCTCCTCGCTGCAACCGGGTGCTTGCTGTTGGCGTTATCGTATAGTCAAGGTCATCATCCACGTTGCCCTCGATCCCAATCAGCCTCCCACTTCTTGATTGCTGCATCGTACCATACCTTCGTTCACCTCCCGATGTGGAAACGTGTTCGGGGGTGATACGGACCGGTGGTCCAGCCGCACAGGTTGCTGCCTCAGGCCTGAGGCTTGGCATTGCGCCTTCTCCAGGATTGACTCGAGCTTAGGTTTGTTCCCTCACGAAAGCGTTCCTCCAGGGTGATCTTCTGGTCCAAGTATCATCCCACTGTGCTGCGAACACCATCCGATGTTAAGATTAACAGATAGTATTTCGAATTGTATTTTTATGAGATAATATCAGCTCGCATGACAATCATTTACCGTACGTGAATCGACGTATCACACTACCGCCTCAGACCTGCATAAATGACAGTGGTCAGCATGCGGAACAACTTGGTCACAATAAACAGAAGTCGGTCAAAATAACTATAACTGCAACAGAGGTCTTGGCGTAGAACGCCTCTCCCTCGCCCATTTGCACCTCCCCTCAAAACGACGAGAAGCACAGAGCAAAAGAGTGGCTGGATGCATTTGCATCCCCATGCTCCCATGATGTAAAATTCATCCTACCGGCTGACTTGAATAGAAATGACACCCACGTGGTAAAGGCGCAGAACATTAACAGATCAGGCGGTAACAGTTACATAGCATCTGTGAAAGCAGGAAGCAATAATCAGCGATACAGCTTAACATCGATCAATAAAGAAATGAGAAGCATCGATCAAATAACTATAACCTCACGTATCACTGCGCAGAAGCGCCCACTTCTGCACCTGTATGTGCAGGCAGCCTCAATACGAGCCCACCTGCTAGGCGATGAAGGGACTGGATTGTAAGTCCCTGCGCTCGTGGAAGGTAGGGTATCATCATGTCGATGCCCTCTTTTCACATGAAACAAATGAGGAGGAAATCCTACTCACCAGTGTCGATCGGTGCATAAGAGATCATAATGAGATCAACCAAGAAAAAAAATGGTTAAAAAGCGTTTATATTTGTTCTTGTTGTGCAAAGACTTTCATATTCAACAGGGACAAACAACCGCTAGCTCAACTTGAAAGCATTTACCAGTTTAGAATTTGGACAGCATTGAGGCCTAGGTGAGGTCCGTTTGGGTGCTCCCGTGCATAGTATCTTAGTGCTAATAAACTTTATTGCACATAGGTGTTATGTCCACCTCTACTGTATTTCGGACATTGACACTCTCGTGTCACCGAATACTACATCCATGCTACAAAGTCGAGATGCTCAAGTCTCTCTGGTCTCCAAACTTCTCCTTTGTGCGGACGTATGCCTCGGCTGGCCCAGCACGCCGCACTGGTGATGACAAAATACCCTTTCGGGTCGTCCGCCTCGTACATCCCGAAACGGGTAAACTTGAACCCCCAACTCGACTATCTGACGTTCTCGAATCTGTGGACCTGAAGGCTTTTCGGGTGGAGTTAGTCACGGAGGAGCCGGAGCCTATCGTAAAAATTGTGGACAGACGCGACTCATATCAGAAGTGGAAGGAACAGAAGAAGGCGTTCAGGAAGAGCGCGAAAGCAGGAGAGCAGAAGGAGATACAGATCACTTGGGGCGTCGATGATGGAGATTTGAAGCACAAGATCACAAAGGCACGCGCAGAGCTGGAGAAGGGATACCGAGTGGATATCGTCATCTCACCGAGGAAAGGTCAGAAATTGCTCAAGCCCGATGAAATGGCAGCTCGCGTATCGGAGATCGCGTCAATGCTATTAGACATTGCAAAGGAGTGGAAAGCACGCGACATTCAGAAAACTACTGCTGTCATGTCGTTCCAAAAAACGCCATCATGACAAGGAAATGTATAGTTCCTAGTTGCGGGCGGATAGATATTATACACATTTATCGTACTTTTCCTCCATTCTGCAACTTCCGTCTCCATCTGTGCTTCCACCGATACCTCCTACCGAGTGCCCTCCATACCGTCCGCCGAACAGGTAGACCACGCGTCTTCAGTGTCCGTAGCGCGTGTGGTCGGAACGGAGACCTACGCGACTTTGGGAATGCAAATGGTTGCTTGTTAAGCTCGGGTCGATGTCGATGTTCCTCGAAGCCATAGGGCCACTGCCCGACGAACAAGTGTCTGAAGCCTGAAGGAACCTTGAAGCCAAGAGCATGCATTTCCTTCACAATTCTATTTAGGAAGGGATTCCAGTTTCTGGGCCTCACGCCTAGCCTAGAGAACTGGACATTTCCGAGGGTAACCTTGCGTCGCCAGTGCGCAGGGGTTGTGCGACTTGACCGCTGAAAAGTCCGAGGTTGCCGACCGAACATCTCAAGGGCAGCATTGAAGAAACGAGCGTCTGGGCGAGGAGGATTGAGAGTAGCTTTGTCCACATTCTGCAGCTCAGACAAGCCATTGCAGACAGCTATTCCAGCACGACACATAATTCGATACAGCGTTGCACCCATGAGCAACGCAAGGGTACGGCGAGATCTGTGTTTGCGAGCGGCCGCACTTTGAGCGAGCACGTAACTCGCCCAACCTCGCACTTTGTTGCTTCCAAACTTGGGAGCCCAGTCATCTATGATTGGCCTAGATGTGTAGCGCAGCTCAAGACCGCGCCGCGCTTCAGCACCATAACATTGTAGCATTATCGTATACGCTTGGATGGGCAAGCACCAAGGCTTCACAGGATTGCCGTCAATTCCAATAGCACCCATCAAGCTTGCACGCTCGGCTTGCTTTGCAAGCAACCACACGCGCTCCGCGAGCCCTGTTTTCCCAGCTTTGCAAAGAGCATTGAGGACAGCGATGAAAAACCACGGTCCGAGGGAGACAGCGCGCACGAGACGCATCTGACGAGTTCGCATCCGTACAAGAACCAGTTGCTCGTCCGTAACAGAGCCCCATGATGGGTGGTCAATGATAGACAGCTCGGGAAGAACATGGAAAAGGATGTCAGCGATGACATCGGGGTTCCCTGTGGCTGTAAGATGCTGGATATAGCTCGTGAGCGTGAACGCGTCGGCCTTGAGTGGTTTCTCCAAGGTTGGTAGATCATCCTTCTGATGTTTCAAGGTGACCGCCCACTTGGACTCTGCTCTGTTTACATTCGGCCCATTAGGAGCGACCACCAGTGATGGTGGCGGCTGCACCGTGATAGCATGTTGACTGTTCTCCGTGAGCCCACGTAGTCGTTCGAGGGCGAACTCGGTAAGGTCGTTCCGTCTCAACAAGGAACCGGACCTGATAATCACATTGTATGTTGTGACGTCTGGCCTTAAAGGTGGTTTGCGCTTGTGTTCCATGTGATGCAGCAGTCTTTTTGCAAGAGGGATGGATTGTCGATGACGCAATGCGTAGTGTAAGAGGGCGTTATAGGACTCAAGGCTAAGCGGAGGCATGATGCAAAATTGTTCCGGGCGGGCACCTTTGGATGAACTTGAGAGGTCGTTTGCCAGTCGCAGAACAACATGATGGGTATACTCGTAAGATTGTACCCGTGTTCCCTTGCCGAACTCTGTAACCCATATTTTGTCTGGATCTTTGGGCACTGAATAAAGGGCGCGTATCACGGAGGATACATCCGTGTAAGGAAGTGATCGCGCATCAAGAAGGCCTGCAATATTGCAAAGCGCTTGAAGAGCTGCTTCACGCCGTGGCCGATTAGACTCTTCTGCTGGATCAAGCATGATTTCTTTCTGCGCTTTGGAGAGTATCATCTTCAGCATGCGTTGTGAAGGGGGGCTGCCGTGTAGTGATCCAAGTCCATGCCGAGTTGGAAGCGCCTGAGTCCATGCTCCCCCCTGTTCTCGTACCTGGGTGGCTGCTCGCTTCATCTCCCAGTCTTTGACCAGCAGTACGAACAATAACGATGCGACGATAATTTCGCCCTGAACGAGACAAATATTGATGATGAACTGATAGGTGTTCTCATAACAGCGTTGTCGATGCTGTCGTGCATGGAGAAGAAGCTGAAGAGCGAGGCGCGTGCCTTGGTTTTCGACCTGCTTCAGTTTAATACACAACGGGTCTCGCTGTGAGGGTCTTCGAGCTTGTAATAATTTGCCATCGTTGGCTCTTTCCATTTGACACCGAATGACTGCGTGCAACGTGGAAGCACGGATATGAGTTCCATCTTGCATGAGCTGCTCTGCAAGTTTACATGCTCTCAATGACATGCGTTGGCGTACGAAGTGGTGCAATAAACAATGGGCCGACAGAGCTGGTGAGACAGGTTGACCAAAGTCGATAGGTTCGTAGTCGAGTTTTGGCATGAGCAAGCCCCCGCCCTTATCAGTAGAAGGCTTGGGGGGAATGTTGGAACGGCGCAGAGAGTTTACAATGAACGATGCGTCGGCAGTAGCACCATTCGCGCAAGACATTCGGACGGCACGGGCTGCGGCAAGGGATATTTCGGAAGATGTTGCAGGCGAATATGGGGACGCAGGGTCACCAGCCTCTTTGGTATCATTATGAGAGGTGCGGGGAAGTAGACGTGCTTGCGGCGGAGAAAAATATTTGCAAGAAAGTGAAAATGGTTTATGTAGGGGTGAATTCGGTCGATATGGTTGAACAACCTTTGACGGGGGACGAATGCAAGAGGACAATCCTCTTATAGGGAGGGACGCATGACTGGTATGAGATCGAATGCTATAGGCGGCTTGTGACCAAATCCATTGCATGTGTCTCTCATGCCTACCAGCATATTCAATTCAGACATCCTAATATGCACATGATGCTCCGACACTCACCAGTTTGCCTAAAGGCAGTGGTATCGATTGACTGAGTAATTGCAGACTATTCCACAGCCTTTTCGTTAAAAAAAATTGGCTGGGTCTTGCGGACAACGTTGTCAGTACTCAGCGTCACTTTGATGTTCCCGGTCGTACAAGGTTTTGAAGTTACAACCAAGAAAGGCAACTTCCGATTCACGTGACAAATTTGGGGAAATTTGGAAGAAATAAAATTCAAAGGTCAGCGTCTATTAACTTACCAGACGGCGACGTCCAAAGAATCGCAGAACACAGTTGCTAATTTTTGGCTGAAACATGAGCTACGATAGATCACACTACGACAGACCTCATCGTGGGGGCGGAAATCGTCGACGCTACAAAGGTGAGGCATGTCGTGAATCAACAAACAACTTGAACCAATATGTGGACCAGACGATTATGATGCGCACGACAGGCGAACCCGGGATTCCTTCGAATCACCTGAGCAGATCCTCAAGAATACAATTATAAAACTGGGAGAAGTGGTAAGTCCCGTCTCACACCAAAGGTTGTTGTCACCGACACTCATGGCTGGCTGTTTCAGGACCCCATTCAAGAACTCCCGCGGCTAGCGAAACAAATCCGCGAACAAGTACCACTTTCGGTCCCAGTCATATCTGAGGGTATTCGGATAGCGTGAATGCATTACCCCTTCCTTTTCGAATTTCGCTGACGAGGATTCAGTGTGACTGAACAACCGTACAAAATTCCCTACTATGCAGCTCTTCTCCGCCTCTTGCACGATCCAACTGAAGGCGAGAATGCCGAATCTTCCACAAGTTCGTCTCTTGGCAAGCAGGTCCTGGAAGATTTTTGGAAGGGCTTTCAGGGATACCTAGACAAGCTTGCATGGAGAGATGTTCGACTATGTGTAAGCATTGTTTCCAGACCTCAGAGTGTAATACCTCTCATTTGTGATGCATAGATTCACTTTTTTGCGCACTTGACAGTGGCTCAAGTCATCTCCATCGAATCCATGTCTGCACTCCTCCAGTCATTCGCTGCTGTCCTCGACGAGTTTGGTGTTTCCTACGGACGCGGCAGAAACGCAGCTCTGTGTGCTATTGAGGGCTTAATAATTGTGCGCCATTTTCTTTGGAATATGACAAGCATTTCAGTAACTCTTTTCGCAGAGCGGTGCAGTAATGGCAAAGAGCTCATCTTCCAACACTACTGAGATAATCAAGACCGTCCAAAATTACAATGATTCTATCTACGCACCCAAGCTGCTTGTCCAGCCTGCAATGAGTTTGTTCACAGAATCCAGGTCTTTGGAGAACGCTGATGAGGTTCGTTTTTCATTGTACATCGGAATGTAACTAATCTGGTGTGAAGGTCATTGATACGGGACTTTTCGTGCTGAAAGCTCTTGACTCCTTTGAATTTGTAGAAGCGTCTGAGAGCTTCCCGCAGCCCTACCTCGATTTCCCGGATTTAGATCCCACAGTGTCTGCTCCTTTCGAGTTGCCCGCAATACTGGTGCCACCTGAGGTCATTGAGCTTGACGGGTTGGCTACAGATGCTGGCGAAGACGCCCAGGTTAAGAAAGAAGACTGGCCACAGTATTTCTTTCACTTGTTCGACAACGAGGTACGTGTTCCTTTTCCCAGGACTGATAATGTATTTACACGTATGAACTTAGACGACCCCAGACTCAGCCACGCCCGCTGGATTCCTAGTACGGTCCCAAATCCTCGATACGATTGACATATTCGAGATCAATCGCAAAGAATGCGCCCGTCTCCTCCTCGAGTATCCAAAATGGTGTGTCCCTGGTACATTCAAGCCAAAACCTGGGGCTCCTGAGCCCGAATTTGAATCTGGGAAGAATTGGCAGTTGGAGAGCACTGTCATAGAGGTAAAGCCCAGTTTGTCTTTGTTTCTGTATTGTCTGACTCACTCCATTAGGCCATCTTGGGTTCTCTTTATCTCCTCCCAGAATCGACGCATAAAACGGTCTACCACATTGCCCTGATTACCGAGCTGTGCAAGCTCTCGCCGTCAACTGTCGGCCCTGCCGTTGGAAAATCAATACGCAGGTTGTACACTGCTCTTGGGGACGGCTTTGATGTGGAGAACGCTCGACGCTTTGCAGAGTGGTTCGCGGTGCACATGAGCAACTTCGGTTTCCAATGGGTTTGGAAAGAATGGTCAACGCTTTGCAAATCATCCTGCATGAGCCGAATACTGAAACGTTCTCACAGGTTACCCGACTTGGAGCTCTCAGAGCAGCACCCTAAACGCACCTTCATTCGCCGAGCACTGGAGTTCGAGATACGGTTGTCGTACCATGACCGAGTATTGAAGACTTTGCCGGAGCCTATGCAGAACGACACCACCGTCATTTCTGATCAGACTCCAGGACCGGCCTTTGAATATGAAGACCCAAGTATGTTCCTTTACTCCGTGCATCCTTGTCATTAACGTTTGTCTATAGCTCATCCGCACTACGATACTGCCCAATCAATCCTTTCCCTTCTGCGTGGACGCTCTAAAGCCAACGAAGTGCTGTCGCACATTGAGTCGCTGAAGACCACTCTGGAGTCCTCAGGGACTCACTTACACGTAGACAACACTATTCGGTCGATCTCGATTCATTGCCTGCTCTCTATCGGCTCACGATCCTTCTCGCATCTCCTCAACGCAATTGAGCGTTACCTTCCGCTCCTGCGAGGGCTCGCTGGCACCGACGCAGAGTCCAAACAGGATATTCTCAGTGCTGTCGCATCGTTCTGGCACCTGAATCGACAGATGGTGAATATTGTATTTGACAAACTCATGCAGTACCAGATCGTCGACCCCACGGATGTGGTTGGCTGGACGTTTGAGAATGTTGGAGGGGACGCGCATAGTGGGATGCGACCGATGAGCCTGAGCGCATTTGAATGGGACTTGTTGAAAGGCGCGTTAGACAAGGCAAATGGAAGAGTCATGGTAGCCAGGAGGAAGGTCGCTGCACTGAGAAAGGAGCACGATGATAGCGTTGCGCGGGTAAAGGCGAGTGTTGGTGCAGACGTTGGATCCATCGAGATGGATGCGGATGTGAAGCCTTTCAAGCAAGGTACTCTCCAGCAAGCTATTATACTTGATTTTGGCTGACCAGATCGTTTCAGATGACTCTGCTTCAGAGAACCCTCAGTTGACGGTGGCACTCAAGGCATTCGCAAGCCTCACTCGCGAGCAGAAAGGGGCTTTGGCACGAACGATCGAAGGCTTTGTATCGTGCTTGGCGCCATGCCCGTCTGCAGGGCGCCAAAATCCTTATGCTGAGACAGTGATTACAGAGCAAGCTTGGGAAGTACGAGCTACATGGGGCGCAGACGAATGGAACACGTGGGAAACGTGGGGTTGGTACCGACACTTTTGCAGAACGGCAAGTATTTTTGAAAGCGTGGTGTTCATAGGCTGATAATTTTATTTGGCACAGTACTCTCCCTACTTGCGAAACTACCAAGAGACGTTGGGTACAGTTGGGTTTGCCAAGATCGAAGGCTCGACGAGTCCTGCTGCTAAGCTGATGAAAAAGACTTGGGGTATGGCGACTGGTCAAGAATCATAATGACTTTCGTTCCTTGACGTTGTTCATATGTGCACACGTGTATACAACATTATTATCGTAAGAACATGTCTTCATCATAGTAGCACCAGGTCTCGTAGTAAGGCACGATAGCGATATACTGCAATAGAATTGAACAGTGCAGCACCTTGAGAGACGAATATGAATTTCGACATCTCGTCACACGGGACAGCGCAGGGAGACGAGGTACGTAAGTGAGGGGGTGAGGGCGCGTGCAATGATCCTTGTTCCAAAAACATCCTGGAGATCAGGCAACATAGCCCTCATAGGCTGGTTGCTCCGCTTCAGGGGTCGTGGATCTCTCACCGTCAGATCTAATGTGAGCCCTTGAGCCCCGGCAGCTGAGCGCAGTGGTTCACCCCGCCAAGACGTTGCCTGGCCAAGAGCAAGGAGTTCCAAGAACTCAACCTTGTTTTCGATCGCGTGTGCGATAAAGTTCACGTGACCTCTCGCTCCAATTGGCCAAATATAAAAAATTCAAATGCAAACTGTTAATTACATAAGACGCGGTTCAAAAAACATATAGGTATGCGTATGGTACGAATGACCGATAGAGTATTTTTTGATGCTTTGATTTTCCCTAGCTTGGATGGCGTTGATATGAAACAACCCCTCCACGCTTCTTCCGTCAACATCCTCCTACACTTGTCATTCAAGCCGGCCAACCTGCCCCCTACCTTGGGCCGTATTCTTGAATCTTCCCTCTCCAACTCATCCATCCTCTCCGAGTCCTTCCGTACATTGCATATTTCTCGACACAAGTTTACACTCCACAATATATGTTACTTCAAGTTCCACCAACCGCCGCATCACGCATCGAGAACTCTGCTTGAGCTAAGTATGCGAGCTAGCAGGAGGGGTTGGTCGTACCGTAATTTCCTGAGGCTTCGGGCGGCACAAATTGCCGCTTACTACTGTCAATTTACGGTCGTTCAGACTCTACTGGAATGCAATAATCCATGTCGGCTGCTATCGACATCCGAGGGAAGAAACTGTTAGTGCAGGAGGATCTTAGGTACCAGTGCAAGAATGACTCGAGCGACCCATGCGGCATGGATTTTCGGCGATGTTAACATTGGTCCATCCGATAGCTATCAGCATCCGAGTCAGCCACAACTTTTACATACGCGCCCTGAAGCACGAGAGTTGAAGGCCTAACAGACAAACAAGCTTAGAAAAGGTCCCGTTATATTCGTGGCCCTGGGTACCTTGTGTTGAATATATAATGCGATCAGTTTCTTGTCGGCCTGATCTTGCAGTTCCAATCGCTCCCCACTAATGAGTTTTTATACTGCTGACGGCCTCTCTGCACAGGCTGGCATAAATTGGTGAGTGAATTGAAAGAATTTCTCAGTGGGGCATTCTTCTCAATATCTTAATCCATAATCAAGGTCGCCTCACCAACAGACTTGGACAAATCCCCACTCTCCAACTACTGTCAGGGCTACGTCTAATTCCAGCTGTTATACAGCACCACTCACTCCTACGCGCTCTATTGTCCCTGGACAACCTGTTCTGCAATACACCATTGAGCGCCAGCAACTAGAGAGACCACCATCTGATCAACATCCGGAACCAAATTTGCAGTTTCCAATCAATGCTCCCGCGGTTACATGCGGTGAATCATATGCTCAGCGCCTATATGCCAGCTCGTTTAGTGAGCAGTTCAAAGTCCAGACCCAGCAGCAGCCCTCCTCTTCTGGACTTGGAGAATGTCCAGGTAACCAAGTTCCGGCTGCTCCACGGGCTCCTTATGATGCCAGAGCATCTCTTCTGCCGAATACGGGTCATAACGACGATCCTCAAACTGCTTCAGCCCTTGATTTCTACTATGGTACTGTTTCAAAACTTGATCTTGAGTCACTGGTACCTGACCCAGGCACCAATTCCCCAGGAGCTCCACGCCCCCAGTCAGCCACAGGTTCCGCTCCAAGTATGGCCCATTATTCAGTTCCTATTGAGGCAGCCCACGTCCTGCAATCATCCACTAGGCGTAGCCCAGTTACAGTGGATATCTCCGACGGGCCTCCGCCATCGCCAGCTGCCGATCCCCGACGGTCAAGTCAGGTGGGGTTGCACAGTAGGAGCCTATCCAGTACAATGCATATGATACCAGGCAGGTCGACATCATCAGACCTCCCTCTGCGGCCTGAGAGCGTGAACAATGTTATAGCTTCACCTGTTCCACCGGAGGCATCCCCAAGGGTGTTTAGTCCATACTCGGAGGATTATCCAACAGGTCCAGCTTACGTGGCTGTGACTACCTCTAACTTTGAGTCCATGACTCCACCTAGTGATCCCTTGCCTGCATCTACACAGATTGAGAGCCTTGATGTTGGTGGTTCCGAAGAAGTACCGTTATATTCCCTCGTTGACGAGGAACCTCCTCCCCCAGACTTCGACGAGTCGCAATCCATGTGCGGCATGACCAAGGCAAGCATGTATTATGCTGAATCGCCCATAGTGCTAGCACCTCCTGATGTGTCCTCACCCCGCGGGTCCGATGCTGTATCTGGGGCCGTACCTTCATCAAGTGCAGATACTCCCTCATTCATTGGGGCTCCTCACACACTTTCTCCAGCACCACTTTTGGGATCTCCGCGAACCTCGCTGGCTATGCCAGACGTAATGTCATACCCTACGGGGAGAGTACCTGAGGATGTTAAGGAGAAATTGTATGGTTACTTTGCAGAGGACTTGATGCCTGACAAGTCATCATCGCACCCGTCCATGGAGGCTCCATCGTCATCTCGCACACAATTCCAACAGGTAGTTTCCAACAGGCAACCTAGGTATAACATCGTTCCTCAGGAAATACCACATCCTCCTATTTCTCCAGCGGTCTCCCCACGCAATGACGCCTCTGCGGAGGCCTTTTCTACAGCACCATTGCCTGCTCTTCCACCGAGGCGTCCTGTAGCTGCTTCACCAGCACCCATCACAACAGCACTACCTACTCTTCCATCGAGACGTCCTGGAACTTCTACACCAGCATCTATCACAGCGGCGCCATTGCGTGCTCTTTCACCGAGGCATCCTGTACCTTCTACATCAGCACCCATTACAGCAGCACCATTGCCTGCTCCTCCACCGAGGCATCCTGCTCTTCCACCAAGGCGTCCTGCTCTTCCATCGAGGCGTCCTGTAGCTTCTACACCAGTGTCCGCCGTAACTTTCACACCTTCACCTATGATGCCTGCGCGTCCTCATACATTAAACCCAAGGTCATCAAATATGAATCCGGGCAACTTTAGACCAGCAGCTTCCTTGCCTCTTCGACCCGGTAGCAACCACCAACCAACACGCCTACCTCTTCCTCCCGGAGTCAGGAGAGGACCCACATTCCCTCCTTCATCAGCGGGTACTGTAGCTTCTACACCAGCGCCCGTCACAGCTTCCACACCTTCACCCGCGATGCTTGCACGTCCTCATACATTAAACTCAAGTCATCCGGTCAACTTTGGAGCAGCTTCCTTGCCTTCTCGACCTGGTAGCAGCCACCAACCAATGCACCTACCTCTTCCTCCCGGAGTCAGGGCAGGGCCCACATTCCCTCCTTCATCAGTGGGCAGCGTAGCTTCTACATCAGCGCCCGTCACAGCTTTCACACCTTCACCCGCGATGCCTGCACGTCCTCATACATTAAAGCCAAGGCATCCGGTCAACTTTAGACCAGCAACTTCTTTGCCTCTTCGACCCGGTAGCAGTCACCAACCAACGCACCTACCTCTTCCTCCCAGAGTCAGGGCAGGGCCCACATCCCCTCCTTCATCAGCGGGTATCTCGCCCTTTATAACTACTTCTACTAGAATAACCTCGCAGACTTCGACTCTTCCTTCCCGTCCCTTCTCCCAGCATTCTCAGGGCCCATCTGCATCATCCATACTGTCAACCGATGGCCGTTACGCAGAGTCCATGCCCCAGCTATCTCCGCATGTATCACCAACACGGCAAGGACAGGTTCCTTACCAGTCAACGCCTGAAAGTTTCCAACCACAGGCCTCATGGCCGCTCCATCCACAGCATGCAAGAGCACTAACTACACCTGCTAAACTAGTTCATTCTAGCAGGGGACTTGGTAAAAATATTGCAGCAGGTGTTCTTGGTCTGCTCGGCGGGGCTGTGCTCGCCGAGGCCGCTGGCGATGACGATATTGTTGATGATATCACTGAAATTATGGATGACATGTCGATTGGAAACTCTGCAGATGATCAGTTCGACCCCGATATGGACACTAATAATAATCAAGGGAGCGGATCTGACTCTACGGACATCCAAGGAGACCAGACGTCTCCTGGGGACGCCTCCAACGTAACAGACTATCAAGGAGACCAGACGTTTACCGAGGACTTCTTTGACCCTACGGCAAACATCCAAGTAGACCAGACATTTTCCGGAGTCTCTTTTGACGCGCAATACTATCAAGGAGACCAGATATTTACCGAGGACTTCTTTGATCCTATGGTGAACGTTCAAGTAGACCAGACATTTGACGGGGTCTCATTTGACGCACCATACTACCAAGGAGACCTGATAGTTACCGAGGACTTCTATGATCCTACGGCGAACATTCAAGTAGACCAAATGTTTGACGGGGTCTCATTTGACGCACCATACTACCAAGGAGACCTGATAGTTACCGAGGACTTCTATGATCCTACGGCGAGCATTCAAGTAGACCAGACGTTTGATGGGGTCTCCTTTGACGCGCCATACTATCAAGGAGACCAGCTGTTCACTGGCGACCCCGTCGGCCAAACATGGGTCGTGTCTGATCAGACCATAGGGACTGGATTAGATCCCAATCAATCTCAAGGATACTACTACACATCCCCACAAAGCTCTCATACATCCCACACCCAGAACCCGCATATGAATCATGGTGCTCACCCCTCCTTTGGGACCGCCGGTCATACTACACAGTCGCAGGGACCGCCAATTCCAGCCCATCATGCTGTGAACCACGGTCATGGCACCGCCCCTCACCATGCTCATTCGCCCCAATCCCAGGCGGGATCCTCCGTCCCTCCCGCACAGCATCATGCTCAAGGGAACTCACAACAGAATCAAGCTAGTCAACATAATCACACTGGTCAACACCATCATAGTCATCATAGTCATCGTCATGGTCTAAACAAGACCATGGAATTGGTCAAGGACGCGTTGATTACTGGTAGTGCTCTCGCAACGCTTGTAGGGAATGGGAATGGATGATCCTCATAATTGCAAGCCCTTCAGTCATCAATCGCATGCTAGTATTCACATGCGAATTCTATGTTGAAGTTAATTATGCATTAAGCTGGTCTAGATATATCATTGTATACTACATAGTAGTACTTTTCAATCTTGTTATCATTAGGCAGCTTTTTACCCACTTTTGCATCAGAAAGTTTTCCTCTTGGTGGGCCGTCAGACATCAGTCGCACCCTTGAGTCAGTAGTAGCATACTGATTAGCATCGGCTTCAGGTCGTCAGCTAGGGAGAGTCCTCGTTGCTTGCATCGACATCCGATGGACCTCTCATTGTCAGATTTTAATGTGCTGGTGCTGCCACCCGCAGCTGCACCAGAAATGCTGACGTTATGATAGAGCGTGGCACTGGCTTCCATACTTTGTGCACTAGCCACCCTACTGGCAAAACGGCACTTTACTACATTTGTTCAGGGCCAGCCGCAGGTACACCCGCGCCCGCCGACTCAGATGACAATGGAAGGTATCATGCAGAATTAGACAGCAGTATTGTTTGATCATAACGAAGAACAATTAAATAAGTGCACATACTTATGGTATGTGTTTAACTGGTATTTGTACAGCCTATAAGAAGATCCTCGTTAAAGCTCATCTAGTGTGCGATGCCCTCGCTAATCTTTCTTCTCCTTTTGGTCGTTCGACTTTATTCCAGTCGAATACCCGATAGTCCCAATGAATACCAATCCTGCGCCGACCCACATCTCAGTGTTTCCCTGTCCTCCATAGACTGCGACGCTTAGCAATAACGAGATGGCCTTGCGTACAGTAAGAATGAGGGTCACAGTCAGTGAAGATACACGGCCAGTGAGCCTGTTGACTCCTACGACACACACGAGCTGCGTGCACGTGTTCAAGAGGAGGTAGACAAATATTGAGGGCACGATAAGGCCTGCCTCGTATGGTGCAAGAGGTCCAGATTGCGGCAGGGAGAGGAAAACAGGTGGACTAGAACTCATACGTGTGAGCTCCATGGATATATTATCTTTGGACAAGTAGAACAAGGGGAGAGCGAGGGAGTGAAGGTAGAACATATGTTCCTGCCATAAAGATTGTCCTGTGGGGTCGGAAGCAGCTTCCGCTTCAGCGGGTGCGATGTATCGTGCATAGACCCAGTCCTGAATGAGTCCCAGGAAACCTGAGAGGACGAGGGCAAGGCCAAGGATGGAGATGCCCATTGTGTAGAGTGATGTATTAGATGTGCCTGGTACTTCGGCAGTATGAGGTTTGGGTTTTGAGGCAGAGAGTGTGGTCATTATGATGCCAGCTGTGACGACGACAACAGAAATAACTTGTCGCATGGTATATCTGGCATTTCTTTGGAATAAGTGAACGTTGGAAATCCTGTAGCGAAACACCAACCGCTTCTTTGTGAACATCCATCCTAGAATCATATTTATGATCATGCCTCCGCTGCGAAACACGATGTGCACAGTCATAGGAATGTGGTATGCAAAAGCAGCATTGTTCAGAGTTGACAGTACGAAGAACAATGCGACCTGAATGAAATAAGGTAGCAGAGGTACCTTCCGGTTCTTCAGCCGAGGAATCCATCTCCTGCGCGGTGTTGTTGGAGCAGACACAGTACCATTTGGTCCATTTGTTGCGTGTTTAGATTCTGGAGGGTCTTTGAATGTAAATTGCTTGGGTAGTCCATATAATGAAACGATGAGGAACTGGAAGAAGGTGATCAGGACGCCTGCGTTTGGGTAACGAGATGTGATGTGTTCTAAGGTGATGGCATTACTGAGCCACGTTCCCGAATTAGCGTCAGAATGAAATCTAGTTCAAGCTCACCCACCTACAGCAGCCTCCGAACACCAATGAAAGAGTGGTGATCCAGTCTGACGATGTCAACATGAGGAAAGCAAGAAACGCGGTAGTAGCGCACGCGGTCAGGCTGCTGACACCTTTTGGTCCGCAACTGTCAAGGGTCGTCCACTCGGGCGCGGCCTCTCAGTACAGCCGAACGTTAACGTTCAGCTGTCAAAGGATGTCTTGACTCACAGCATTTTCATGTTGAAACGAACAAGGTTGATAACCCATAATAATAAAAATTCAAAATTAGCAAGACTGCTCGCTGCTCAGTCTGGCGGTCTCGTTCATAATTATCATCAAGTTTATAAAGGTCAGGGTCTTGAATATAGGTTTCCTTTGCTCTGTGCTCTGCTCCACTCACTGCTCGCCTAACTTGTTAACGTCCTCGTCACTGGCTCCGGCGGTATAACATATTTACCACATTGATTTTAGTCTCGTGATCTCGGCGCGTGTCGCGCTGTTTGTTGTTTGTGGAATACGGTATTCACGCCAGATCCCGCCCCTTCATAAGCTCGCCCCACGGGAATCTTACTCCTTGTCTTTTCTTTTCTTTGCTTCATTTGCCCCCCGCCGGGCACAACACAACAATCTCTATCACGTCCACTCCCTTCAGAAATGTCCTTAGACCGCCGTCACCCAGCGTCCCTCCTCCCAAGGTCTCTTCATAATCCATACCTTGTAGAACTTATGCGTAGGTCTGTCACAATGGAGATGATCTCCTACATTGCCCATCAGGCGTCGCGAGCCATCATGATCAACGAGCAACTCCCTGCTCCCAGTGCCCTCCCAACACCCCCTACGACGCCAATCAAGGCCCCCTTCTCTGAGACACAGGACGTCGCTCCTCCCGCCCAAGTGGCGCTGAAACTGCCGAGTCTTGTGCACTTCATCACGCGCTTGGTGAACAGGTCGAACGTTCAGGTGCCCACGCTACTCACCACTCTTATTTACTTGCACCGCGTGCGTGTCAAGGTGCCTGCTATGACTAAGGGTACGTAGCATGCAATATTTTTCATCAAATTTCTTACCATATTTTTTTTAGGCCGGCCATGCACTCGGCACCGCGTCTTCCTGGCGACGCTGATCGTAGCGGCCAAGTACCTCAACGACTCATCTCCCAAAAACACACATTGGGCGGCATACGCTGAACACTTTGACCTCCCAGAGGTGAACCTCATGGAGGAACAGCTTCTTTATATACTGGGCTACGACCTCCGCTTCGACGAGCAGGAAGTGTGCATCCACTTTGCACCTTTTATGCCCACGCGCATCATCTGCCCGCTAACTCCCCAGCAGGAAACCCGTGCAGCGGCGGTCGAGCGAGTTTCAAAAGCAGGCAAAGCCCGCGCCCAGGCGCAGCTACCAACTCCACCCAGCGAAGTTCCACCTCCACCGCCCATTGGGTCCTCTATTGTGTCCACAGTTCGCGGGATTGCAAGACGTCTCTCGAGCAGCCGTCTTGGAGGTACCCAGGGCCGTTCTTCTTGCACTGCATCCCCGATATCGAGTGTACATAGCTGCGACAGCTCGAGTGCAACTGACTCCGAGATGGAATCATTAATAGAGGACTCTGGGTCTTCGTCTGATTCAGCTAGCAGTGTCTCCGACGATGAGCAAGAGGCGGACGAGAAACCAAGCGTCGTAAGGAAACCGTTTGTCTTGGGTGGTATTCCGCCCCAGACGCACAGAGAAGGGCGAAAGGTATCTGAAGCAGGTTCAGTCCGATCTATAGCGACCGTCCGAGCAGGCGACTCTCCATCTCCTCCAAACCCGCCCGCGCCTTTGGACATGTGCACGATCAGAGTCGTCAACCGTGCTACCGCTCCTGGAAAGCGAGCGAGCTCCTACGTATACGGCATGTCGAACGTCAATCGGAATCAATCCGACGCTGATTCCGCTGGCGGATCCGGTATTCCTGCGTCCAGTATGAAAGCAAGCGTCAGCATGTCTTCCAACGGATTCCTTAGCCGCATGTGGAGCGCGGCGATCAAGGGTCAGGAGAAAGAGAAGCCGACATATGACCTCTCTGGTAAGGGGTCTGTAGGTCCTCCTGTGGTGAGCGTTGTCGAGCCTGCAGAACGCCATCCACCTGGCCACGGGGCTAGCGCATTCCATAGACTGGTACACTCGAGGTCTGCGATCTTCCGAGCGACGGCCAATCAGAATATACTTGACGTTTGAGTCTCGACCGGCTGGTGACGGACGCGTTTTCTTACATCATTTAACAACCTCCTCATTTCTGCATCGATCTTCACATTGTTTCATGGCACATCACTATCACCTATCGTACTCTGGATATCACGTTACCCACCCCTCAGACTCGTTTTTCACCTTCATCTCATTCCCCGGACATCTCGGTGACATGGACGTCGGACACCACTGTAGTTCTATTCCTACTCTCGTTCTGTATCCGTCAGAAAACCATACCGCTCGTCGATTACTTGTACTTCAATGGATGTATACATAAATATATACTATGATTTCAAGCCCATCTGTGATGACTGGATAAGAAGTAGCTATCCGATCGCTGTGGGATGCCTGCTCGATTAGTGATGGCATGCTATCTTGTGCTGTCGCACAAATTCTCCAGGACCGATAGACCTGTCAAAGTAGGTCTACTTGCCGCATTACATTTGGAACGATAGTGGTATGCATCGACGTCAAATAGATATCACAACAGTTTCACGTATGAGGCAGGGAATAATCCCTCCTTTCCTTGGCCCTCTATCTGACCCGTCCACCTGAATAAAAAGTCAGTGACATGCGCAACATTCAAGATCCAAGGACAAAGACAACCCACCAGTCATCAGAAGATTTCGCAGTGACAAATACACGAGAGCCAGTTTGGACTTCCAAATCGCCAGGATCCTAAAGTGAAAAAATGAAGATGGCTCAGTTCGACTGGACGCATTGATTGCAGCTGAACGCATCAGACCTCGCTACTATAGTCATACAAGACCTCTGCCCACTCCCCTTGTGGTTCCTCGGGTTCAGGTTCGACTGCACGTCGTGGGAGGACGGGTGGTGGGGACCTAGCAGCGGAAGGCTCAGGAGCGCTCGTTTCTGACGTCGTGCGCCGAGTAGGAGGCGGGCCATATGACGTCTTGGGCGGTTGGAATGCAGGGGGTATAGCAACGTTCGCTGTGGGTGCTTTCTTGAATGCGCCCAAGACGCTCGACTGCGATATGGAAATGTGTATTAGCATTTGGTGGACTTGAGAGGGTGCATCAAGAAGAAATGGAAGGTACGGACCTTTTTTGTGATTAGTTTGTCGATCTCAGACCCTGATGAGGATGCGCTCTGTGCGCTGGAGCTGCGGGAAGGGAGGGAAGGAGCTAGAGTTTTTGAAGCGTTCGAAGACGAGAATGCATTGCTTGAGCTGCTGAACGCGAGCGAAGCTGCTGCTACTCTTCCTACGGAATTGCTCACTTGTGGATTACTGGCTATCTGCTCGACGGATCGGGGATTGATGTAGTTAACAACACGACCCATTGCTTGATATCATGTGGGCAGCGAAGAGACGTACCGTGGATGCATATGGGTTATTGGACTTCGCAAGTCCGTGCGTCACCCCGGCGGAGACGATCTTGGAGGTGACTTCTGGGTTGCTGGCGAGAGCGCGGTGAACGGCTGATGCAGCGGCTGCGGATGGGTCTTGGGCGTTGCCGGTGCTTGTGTTAACATGGGCGAGGATCTCGGGGCGGGACTGGAAGTACCTGCGAGCAACGAATTGTGGTCAGTAAATGAGGGATGAGGGAGAGATGCCAGCGGTGCGGACTCGTCTAGAAGCCCGAAGAAGGCATCTTTCTCTTGTGAGGAGAGTCTGGTGAATACCATCGCTTGCGGTATAGTGGAGTGGAGATGGCGGAGACTTATTATACCTGTGTCAGGCACTCGACTCGGATAGCCTATATATTAATACTGTAATAGCACCGTCCAACAAAAATATAACAGTCCTGCCCCGGACCTTCATCCGATCAGAATTCATAGAAAAAAAGGCTTCTACAAAATACAGACACGACTCCAGAACAGGGCAGGGATGTAGTAAAAAAAAAGAAAAGAAAGAAAGAAAAACTATGAAACCGAAAAAAATCAGAACGTACAGTAGCATCGAAAGCGACGTGTGTGAGGGTTAAATGTAAAAATGTAAAACGCTCGAAAACAGCCTCTGATGGAGCCGCGAAAAACAAATAATAAAATAATATCGAAGTGATAATCAGCGTCCCAACTCCTAGGACCCAGAACCAGAACAGAACACCTTCATGGACCATTCCAATTAAATATATCGTATTCTCCTGCTGTGCTCGTGTCTCCTATGGGACTGATGGTTTGTTGCATGGTGATGTTTGGAGGTCGTTGGTTGCTTTGGGGGTAATATCCGTTCATGCTTTGCTGTTGCCAGTTAGGCCCTCCGGATGGTGAGATGGTGCCGCCGTAGGGGCTGTTCGTTGCTCCTGCTCCTCCATGGGGGTTCATCCCAAACCCGTTCATTTGCCCTCCGAGCGACAGTTGTTGCTGTTGCTGTTGCTGCTGTTGCTGTTGCTGCTGCTGCTGCTGCTGCTGCTGCTGTTGTTGCTGCTGCTGCTGCTGTTGCTGCTGCTGCTGCTGTTGGCCATTCTGCCACTGATGATACTGCACCTGCGGATGGAATGAGCCAGCATTCTGTTGCGTCCCCATCATGCCCGGTTGTGCCTGCTGCGTCATTGCCCGCTGGAAATCTTCAGGCTGCATAGGAGGCTGCGACGAAAGCCTCGACGGTGCCCGAGGTGTCATGGGCGAATGTACGCTCTCAGAAGGTGACCGCCCACTCCTCGCAATTCCTGGAATCGTCGAATTCGAGCGCAATGCGGGGAAGGTATCATTCGCAGGGGCAGACATGGGTGAGCCCCCTTGAGACGGACCACCCTGGGGCATTCCCCGCTGCTGCTGCTGTTGCTGCTGCATCGCAAACGCCTGCTGTGGGTTCATGAGGTTCGAAGCATTCATGTTCATGTTCCCGCTGGAATTCCGCATTTGCTGCTGCATGAGCATGAGCTGTCGTTGTTGATTTAGGTTCATGGCGCCCATGTTGCCCGGCATTTGCTGTGTGAAATTGGACGCTGCTATGCGGGGGTCTACGCTAGGTGCGTTGTGGCCTTGATTATTGAATGGATACATGCCGGCTTGCTGGGATTGGGCGCTCATTTGTTGTTGGGATTGAGATGAGACGGGTGATTGCTGGCCTAGGGGAGATACGGGGCTTGGACCGCTGCTTTGCATGGGGGCGTTGGGCATGGGTGACATGGAGGGGTTCTGACCTAGACCGGGCATTTGACCAGGCATAGGGGGGCGTTGTTGCTGATTGGGCGGATTCTGTTGCTGCTTCTGCGCCAGAATGTTCTGTACGAAACATCAGTATCGCAGTTCGCAAACACAACGTAAATCATCACCTGAAAGCTCGTGAGCTTCTGCACCTGTTGAGGTAACGGTAAAGATGTGAAGTTAGGGATTTGGGACATGAGATACGTCATCAGGGGATGGTTGGTATTTTGGAGAATCTGCATTGGTGAAGCGTTGTGGCCATATGATGTATGCGGATGTTGCGGTGCGCTCGGCCCCATATTTTGGGGAATTCGTGGGGAGGAATCAGGAGGGGAGATCTGGCGCGCGGACTGCATTTGATTTTGCATCTGAGCTGCTCGAAGTTGTTGTTCGCGTGCTTGGTGGATCTGCATTTCCCGTGCGCGAGCACGTGTCGTGGCTGCTATCGATGCTTCAGTGGCGCCGAAGGGTAGTGAGGGGGTAGACAATGGTGGAGGCATAGGACTAGAGGTGCGGGGACTCTGCGGCATGGCAGGCGTGCTGGTGACGGCTATGTTTGGATGGATGGATGGAGGGAATGAGGACGTGGGACTGGTGCGCTGGCCAGCACCAGATATGGATATGGATGGGATTGCGGGTGGTTGCATGGAGTGAGGTTGCATGGAGTGGGGTTTGGTCTCACCAATGTCGCGTCTTTTGTTCATAAGGTCTGCCATGTCGTCTGGTCTGCTGCGCTTTAAAGGACCATTTAGGAGTGCGGCGGAAGTGGTAGGAGAGTATTGGGCGCCAGAAGCAAGCTGGCGTCGTGCGAGTTCCTTTGCGAATATGGTGGGTAAATCGGCGTAGAGGTGATGTATTCGATCCATTGATATGAATTCGACAGGAGAAGGAGCATCCATTGCGGGCAATACGAGTCTGGGGTCCTATTAAGAGAGTAAGTGAAGGGTTGTATGAGGAAACAAGGGATACATACGTTACATCGTTGATGATCTGCAGCTGCTGCTAGCCAGGTCAAGTTGACTTGTATGCGATTAGCAAAACTGAAGGGTTGAATGATGAGGGTTGTTTTTTAAGATGAAGTAGTGCTTACTGAGAGAAGCGAGCGTCAGTCGGTGGCACGCCACGTGTCTGAAACTCCATACAGACTCTAAAAAGTAAGAAAGTGAGATTGAGGGTGGAAAAAGCGAGTGGGTGTGAACGGACTTTAGCAACTCCGAGTTGATTTCTAGAATCCTGAAGACTTTTGTTTCTCCTGTAGAGGAATCAGATAATTTTGCTGGTGGTAAGTTTGGTGAGGGGAGTTGGCTGATTGAGACGATTTCCCTTGATGGACGTCTTGAATGAGAAGGAGCTGCTGATGGACCAAGTCTGTGAGAGGGACCTGGGACGGGTATTGGGATTGGATATCTTGTTGGAGAGCTGGGGATTGAGCGGACTGGAGATGATGTACCATTTATTGTACGTTTTTCTGACCAACGATTATCTGCGTTGTCTTGTGCGCTGTTTAGGTCACCATTCTGCTCTTGTTCTACTTCTGCTGGACTGCTATCCTTCTTTTCAAAATCCAAACTCTCATCACCATCTGGTACTGCTGATAGGTCTGTGAGTGGTGTTAACTGTCTCGAATAAGAACCATCTCCATCGTCTTCTTGTTCTTGTTCTGGTTCTTGTGCTTGCGGAGGAGACTTGTGTTTAATTTGAGGTGAATTGTATTCTGGAGGAGGTGAAAGTGACGAACTCTTGTCGTCAGCTGGAAGTGGGATAGGATGGAGTGTCTGACCCTCGGGATGATTATTATTCAAGTCAGACAAAGAGTTCGCGAAATAATTGTGATGTCCGTCGTTATGAGTGATGTCTGTGACCCAATTGAAAGTAGCTGAATGATCCTCTGGCAAGATTAGATTTGAATTTTGTTCTGAATCGATTTCGTTGCGGTTACGATCGAGATGGATCATTATAGTAGACGGAAAGTCGACGGAAGTTTAACCGGAGAATTGCGACCACTCAAGTTACACCACCGTGTGAATAACCCGACGCCTAGCTGAGTTTTAATCAGCACAGCCACAAATTATCAGTAGCTCGGCTACCTGGCGATCGCCGTGTAGAAAAAGCCCGAGCTTCACCCTTCAAGTTGTGGGGTAATTATACATCATTGCTAGGTGGTATATTGAAGTTACAACGAAACTTTGGAGAAGTGAAAGAAACATTGCAAAGATTTGCTATCATACAAGTTATGATACAATGTGTTACAACAAGAGCACATTTAGATAGTGTCCAAGTTTGGCAAATGGTTGTAATGAATGATTGTAGTCCAACTCTTGTTGAAAGTAGTAGAATTTAACTTCCATTTCTTGAGAGTAGGCTTTGTGAAAAACTAGTAAAAACATTCAGGCTTTTTAACATGTCAAAAACTGGGGGTTGATATTAGGGAACTGCATGGATACAGGTACATATATCCATGTGGGTGCAGGGTATGGGTAGAGGTATGGTATTGTTGCAGCAGTCAGTGGACGTGCGAAGTCAACTAATATATTGATATGTACCTGTTGCAGCAGTAGCTACAGGCAGTGTCAGTTAAGTAGGAACTATATACGAAGATAGTACTAACCTCAGTGGATGTGCAAAGTGCGAGAACAAATGGTATTTGTAAGTACTAGGAAATGAAAATGGCACCAAAGGTCCATAGTAACAAGGATTGATATAACAACACTCCCCCTCAAACTGAGCGTAGTCCAAGGGCGGATGCGAAGTGCTTGACCTTCAAGCTGGGAAGAAGTTTTGTAAGGGTATCAGCAGTCATAACGTCCATAGGGCAATAAACTAATAGAATTGAGCCTTTTTCAACAGAAAAACAAATGAAATGATACCTAATGTCTATGTGTTTTGTCCAGGCGTGAAACACCCCGGAGTTGGCAAGTGCGATAGCTGATTGGTTGTCACAATGGAGGACGATAGGATGAGATAATGGGTGGAATATTTCGCTGATGAAGCAACACAACCAAACTGCCTCCTTTGCAGCATGTGTAGCTGCAACGTACTCAGCTTCTGTGGTGGAGAGAGTGACTAGCTCCTGCTTCTTCGAGCTCCATGACACTGCCCCGCCGTCTAGCAGAAATGTGTACCCAGATATCGCATGGCGATGCTCTTGGGATGTGCCATCGGCATCTGTGTATCCTTCAAGACCTTGCTTGGAGCCTCTGAAGGTGAGTGCTAAGGTTTTCATACTGATGAGGTACCAATAGATTCTTTCAATGGCATCCCAGTGAGCCATTCCAGGGTTCGTGCCAAATTGTGTGACTGTCAAGATGGCGAAGGTGATATCTGGGCGCATGCCCATGGCGAGATGCATTAGCGAGCCTATGGCTTCGTGATACAGTATGTTTTTCATCTGTGCAGATTTGTGTGGAGTTGATGGGGACTGGGAGTGAGAGAGTGTGATGTTGGGGTCCATGGGAATTGAGCTAGGCTTCATGTCCACGAAGTTATACTTCGTGAGGATGGCATCAACGTAAGTTTCATGTGAAAAGGATATCATGTGCGTGATTTGGTCACGAGTGACCTTCATACCAAGGAGTGAGGTGATAGGGCCAAGGTCCATTAGCTTGAAGCATGAGGCTATGTCTCACTTGAACTCTGTGATAAGCTCATTGTTACTCCTGGTAACTGTACAGTCGTCAATGTGCGAGGCAAGAATTAAGATATCTGCACCTATATGTTTGTAGAAGACTCCCCAGTTGGACTCTGCGCATGTCATCCCTAAGCTCTTCATCAACTGACACAACTCCTGATACCACTTTAAAGCTCCTTGTTTTGACCCGTAAAGTGCGATGTGCAACAATGTGACGGGGCGTGTGAACTTCTTGTTGACATTTAGACCAGGTGAGAGCTCCATATAGATAATCTCATCCTCATCGAGCTTACCGTTGAGGAAGGTGCTGTGGAAGTCGAAGACGTCGATGTTCCAGTCATTTTGTGCAGCAATGGTGAGGATGGTACAGAGAGATGTGAGGCGTGCGACAGGTGTGTATGTGTCATAATAGTCTACGCTGTATACCTGGGAATAACCTTTAGCCACTAGCCGAGCTTTGTACTTGTCGATTTCCCCATCTGCATTCTGTTTGATCCAGAACACCCATTTGCACCCTACTATATTCACACCTTCTGGCCTCTCAACGATAGACCAGGTCCATGCATCTTCTAGAGAGGTGAGTTCTTTATTGATAGTGTCCTCCCACTTAGGCCAATCTACTCTGTTGCAGGCTTCCTTTACCGTTGTTGGGTCGCTGCTCTCTATTGCTGCGACTCCTGCCATCATGGTGAAGACTTCTTCATCATCCTCGTCGATCTCTCCATTCTCCCCCAGCAGTCCAAGCTCAGCTGCCAAATTGGATTCTTCTGAGATGGGCTGCATCCCATGAGGTAAGTTGCTACTCTGTCCATCTGTAGTGCCTGTGTCAGAACTTCCTTATTTGTATTTCAATGGTTTGCAACCGATTTCAACTTTCAAATGCAGCGAGTGTCTTTAAATAGGTTGCTATGATAGAGTCGTGATTTCAGGGTGATTGCAACAGAATTGCAACAGAATTGTGATGGAATTGGAATGGAATTGTAGTTTTTATTTAAATGGAATTAATCTTTTAAACCTCCAATTTTGTCCCATTTAAATAACTGTTGCAAGCATCATTGTCAAGCTCATTGTCAGGCATTGTGACACATAATGATCATGATCAGAGCATTGAAATTTTTCTATTGGATTGCAAGCCTATTGTACAAATTTTTATCTATAATAATTAGGTCTTGTAAATATGGCCAAGGCAATAATAGTGATAGCAATATGTTCCTGGCTATACCGACAATCAGAATTGGAAGGATATCAAGGAGCAAAAAAATTGACTCAATACATAATAATATTACCACCAGGGGAGACCAGGAAATGGTTATCCGGTATTGGGGTTTGGAGGTCATGGGGGACAGCATCAGCTGCATTATTAGAAGGGCGGTCTGAATGTTGTAGTCGGAAAGGGTATGGCCGTATTTGAGCTGCTTGCTGGTGAAGATGAGATGCCGTTGGCAAGGGGGGAGACACTGTTGGCAAGGGGGGACACGCCTTCACGAATCGATGGTGGAAGAAGACTGCCTGTTAGCATCTTGACAAAGATTTGCATGCCTCCACAGAGACGCAAGACTGAGTGAAGGATAGACTCCTTCTGGATGTTGTGGTCGGTGAATGAGGTAGAAGGTAGACTCCTTCTGAATGTTGTAGTCGGAAAGGGTACTGCCATATTCGAGATGCTTGTTGGCGAAGATGGGATGCTGTTGGTCAGGGGGGATATGTCCTTTTCCTGGGTCTTTGCCTTCGAGAGGACTCCATCTCCAATGTGACATGAGGGTCTTGACAAAAATCTGCATGCCTCCATGGAGACGCGAGACCGAGTGAAGGAGAATGTTGTTGTCGGAAAAGGTGCAGCTGTCTTCGAATTGCCAGTGAAGATGAGATGCTGTTGGTCAGTATGGATACACTCCTTATCCTGGATCTAAGACTTGCCTTTGAGAAGACTCCACCTTTGACATGGTGTGAGGGTCTTGACAAAAATCTGCATGCCTCCATGGAGACGCAGGACCAGGTGAAGATAGTGGACTCCTTCTGGATGTTGTGGTCTGAGAGTGATGGATTCAGACCATCCTCGAGCTGCTTGCTGAAGGCATACACAATTTTGTCGTGTTTGGATAGAGAGCCTAGCTAAAATAATGGGACTATGGTGAGTCCTCGTAGCCGAACGATTTTAAAAACATGACTCACATTTCTTGGGCTCTCATATTAATGTGAAATGACATTCTCGTGGTGATGTTAAGAACGTGCTCAAGGGTCAGATCCGAAGGGCTTGGCTTCAGCTCGTGCGCTGCGCCCCTTACCCGAGTACGTGCCCCTAACTTCCGAGGGCTATTGGATGATGTCCGAAGGTTGTCGGATGAGTCTGGAGTCCGATGTCCGATGTGCGGGAATTCTGGCGGATGTTCAGGAACGAGGGATAAGACTAATCCGGACGATGTCTGAACTAGAAAGGAAACAGCGGAGGACTACCAGAGGTAGAGGCGGAGGTGAGAAGTCTATAGGAATTGATCCTAAGACTAGCAGAGGACGACGAGAGGAGAAACTCAAGTTGGACAGAGAAGGGAATGAGCAGAGTCTAAGATAATATTCGAACTGAGGAAGTACAAAGATTCTACAAGGTTTATATACTACTGAGGACTTAATGGAGAGTCAGTCTGCGCAGTCCGAAGCTATGTGAGGCTGTGGACGGAGCATATAGAAAAGTCAAACACTAGTCTATCGGAAAATAGTAAATGAAGACGGAGATGAAGACATAGGAAAATAAAGGCGGAAATGAAATGAGGTACGGAAAATGAGTATAGTCTAACTGGAGGAGGAACATACAAAGGGATAAAGCACGGAAGATAGATGTGGGTTGGATCTGGACGTTAGAGAGAAGTCGGCCAGATCCGGAAGTCCGGAAATGATGTGTGTGATTGGTCCGGGTCCGGGTCCGGAACGCGGGATATGACAGGTGAGCAGGCAATCCGACTATTCGGAGAGATGGCAGCCTCCATGGATAGGATCGCCCTCGGACATTTCAAAGATGTATACGCGGGTTGGAAGGTTCGTGAGAGTGGGCATGACCAATTGTCATTGTTTGGAGTGGGCAAGGAAGCTATGGACAAGATGTGCAAGACGATGCGGAAAAGAGATAGACATTCATTAGTTGGCTGTGCTTTCAGCAAGGAATCAGGCAAAAGGGACGGATACGAGGAACATGCCACAAAGCGGGATGTTCGAAGTGGTGATTGGTTTATTATATCAAGATTATGTAATAGTAGTATGCACCCCTGCTGAGCGCTGCAGCAGCTGATGATGCATGTCCTAATATCACTGTAATCTGAATCCGATAACTCTGTCAATTCCAAGGAGTTGCATAATCTAATGTTACAGTATGATTCAGAGTCCAATTTGTAAGTAAACCGATGACGGGCTAATACAAAGAGTAGGCGCATTGACAGGATCCATTCATAAGACTATTTGTGAGTCTGCTGAGTAGTACGATCAGAAGCCATCACTGGTGTGGCTGCCTTCCTCCCTCTATTTTTCGACTTCTTGGACCTCCCTCTAGTACTGCTCGGATCATTTGCTGCCTCCTGGAGTACCTCGCCTGATGAACTGATGGCTGCAGCTCCCACAACATGAGGTGTTGCAGCATCCTCCAAATCTGCAGCAGTGCCGTCGTTGGTGGCTACATTGTTGACAGTGGGGCCAGGCAGAGTTTCTGTGGTGTGCTGCCACTGTGTGGAGAGGCTAGGCTGTGAGATTGACTCATTGACATGTCTCTCCAAGGCAGCAGCAGCTGTGGGAGTTCCTGGACCTGTTATGTCTGCCGCAGTTTCTGATCCATCATCCGAACTTTCCATGTCAAGTGCTGCAAGTGCGCGATCAATCACATCCGTGAAATCTTCATGTACAGCAGAATCCAATGCCGAAGGTCGTGCAGCTTTGAAGATGTAGTTGTTGATATTACTTACAATCTGTACAATGCGCTTCATCTTCCACTTGGTCACTAGAACTTTCTTGTAGGTGAAAAATAAATCCTTGTAGCTAATCGTTGACCTCTTGCCAATGCCTGTGCTCAAAAATTCAGTGTCAGGAGACAGTAAGAATATTGCCTGCAGTAGTGTGTGAGCGCGACTGCCAATAAAACTTGGATGATATTATGGCTAGCTTACAAGAACTGCAGCCCAAGCTATGGAACCTGGCGTGACTTGCCGAACGCTCCATTTCATGGAGTTGGTATGTGCGCCGCCGCCACTGGAAGTGTGATGGAGGGATGTGATACCACACAATGAAGCTTTCAGAATCTGAGGATGTTCCTGGTGAGACAGACAGCCAAATCAGAGAGCACCACTAGGCTTACTCGTGCCAACAGTTGCCAGTTTCCGAAGACAGTCTTGAGTGATCAGTCCTCTTTCAACTCTGGGAATAGCACTGGAGGGAATGTCTTGTATACCAGGTTTGTTGAAGATGTGACCCCAAGGAGTTGTTGGATCTCAGGGACATTAGCTCTATCGTAGCTAGTGTTGGTGAAGTATTTTGAAGGGAGGTCGAAAATGTCGCCAGCAACACCCCAAAGTTTCTTGATCTCATTAGCATGAGCATCTGGGATGGATTTCATCACCTACAATAATCATATTATATTGTGCAGAAGTCCAGGAATGAGAGTTCACTTACAAGATCGCTAAAGTATGAACTTTCCATCACTTTGTGTAACGACTCAGGGAAGTGACGATAGAGCTCATCCAGAAATGCTGACTCTTGAGTAGACGCAGTCGTATATTGTTCAGTGCTGTCAAATGGAGTTGGTGAGTCTGGAAGGCGCTTATTGAGGAGGTCGCTGCTGGGAAACATCTCAATCATCATGCCATACTTGTGAGCATAGATAGAGATGATGTCCTCATGAACGCTGAGCTTGTCATGAGCATCTGTGCGCCATTTTTGCTTGGGTTTCTCTGCATGCAGAGTTTTGTTTTCCTCTTTGATTGTCCTATTCTCTTCTTGAAGCTTTTGCATTTGAACTTGCAACATTTTGAACGTCTGAGTGGATAAAGTTCGAGTCAGGAAATGCTCAGAATTGCGCATATATCTTACCTCCAGGAGTTCTCCTTTAGATGCACCAGGACCCGGGATAAAGATATGATCTGCACCAGCAGCATTCTGACCATCCAATTCGCTATCAGATTCAGAAGAATCTGCTGTACTGGGCCGTGAAACATGTGACATGACAGTTTGACAAAGCTGTTTTGGGGATACCAATTCAGATTTGGTTCGAAAGGCAGGAGACGACAGAAATTACTCACCTAGTACCACACATTATAAAGTGCCTGCACTGCCCATTATTACTCTAGCAGTGTCAGACATAAAATTGCTGCATTGCAGTTTTACACATCAGTGCAAGAGATTAGTCACATAATAGCGCTTACATTCACCACAGAGGACGCTCCAGAACATGACTGACTCATGGCGTGTGGGGCTAAATCTGTCAAACAATGATCAGCAGCTAGAAACGAAATTCAACATCCTATTTACTCATTCCTGATACAGCCAAGGTTAGTTTAAGATACATAGAAAATATAAAGACATATGGCACCAAGTTTTGTTGAGCAAAGTGTTGACGAAGCGATTGATCGTCTGATCGCTGACCCTTGAGTAATTAAGGATCCCCCAGGATGATAGACTCTTCGGCTCATGGAAGGTCTGGTCTATTATATTCCATGAACCGTTTCGTGGGATTGCACACCAATGTGGATTGATATTTGAAGCGAAACTCGTAAAAGACGCTTAGACTTGAGTAATAGAACATGTGTAGCTGCTGTGCATAATCAGATTCAAGTTTAAGTTGAGTTTAATAGAGTGACTCATGGGTAAAGATATGGTGGACGAGTGAAAAGAGTGACATACTTGCTCTTCGGGAAAAATTGAACATGGTGTCATTCTTGGTGATGACAATGCTAGGAGGGTGTAGGGGCGGCACAGCAGCCCAGCTAAATGTGGATGATGGATGGTAGCTGATGGGAGAATCACCTAAATGATGTTTCATAGACGTTCGTGGAATCACTGCAAAATAATCAGCACCTATCTGGGGTCGTACTGAGTAGTATTCTTACATTGCCCTGCTCCAGCTTACAGATGAGGCCAACAAAAGGCTGTATCGACGACCCCTGCGCATGGTCCAACTACGATCAGATGATCCAGGGGAATATGACTTCCAGCTCTGGGCTTCCCTGTTTGTCCTCTGTCAGTGGGTGTCCGACTACGCCGTTGAACTGGACTATAACTATGTTGCTGTGATCTTGGAGATAAGGACCTCAAGTGCAAACAACCTCGCGAAGACATATGAGAGTAGTAAGAATTGGGAGAGTGCGATCGTGTCCCCGCAGGTGATGGTGATCTGGAGGGTACCATTTTTGGTTTAACAGGGGAGGTGCGAACAGGTTTGGCAGGTAAGGGATGGAACTCCCATCTCTGCCAGCTGTTAAAAAAAACAATATGAGAATGCGAGAGATAGTAGAATATCAAATACAACGCACTTATTCAGGTCATCGTCATCGTCATTTCGGCGCTGCTCTCTCTCCTGCTCCTTATCTCTCTCCTTCTCCATCCGAATCGCCACGCGCTTGCCATCTGGGCGAGGTTCCAGTCATGTTTAGGATGCATGGACCACGGTGGATCATCATTGTGGAGGTCATAACTATCTCTGCCACCTCGATGATGAACATCAGACGGATGGGTGAGAAAACAGTCAGGTGCTGCCAGTGGGTCAGCAAATGAAGGAGGTTCCCAACTCATGGCAAGGGAATTTCGGGATGTGAAAGGGATGTAGGAGTCTGTTTGTTGAGAATGCGGACAAGAGCGAGAGTAGGCTTTAGACTGGGTGTCTTCAGCCCGTGAGACATGCAGAGGGCCTCGGTCCGTCGTCCTCGACATTGTCAATTTTGCCATGCTTGCGCCTCGATCTGGTGTGAGAAGCGTGCATGGTTAGTTTTCAAATGTCAGTGTTGAAGCACTTGAGAGGTGGGTGAGATGGGTGGTAGAAGCAAAGACATGACATCATGTTGTTTTGTAAGGGTGAAAAGGACGTCCTCTTGCAGTTGGTGGAAGATAGACTGAACAACTCAGCAAAAATGAATGCAAATGAATGCTCAAATCAGCAGAGGTTCGCGTCCCCGCAGGTGACGGTGTAGTATGATACTGTTGTTAGTAAAGAAAATGAAAATGTTGCTGGTACAACTGTATGACTGGAGATAAGTTCCTGAGGGCAGGGAAGTAACATCAACATGTCAATGGTATACTACATAGATACAGAATTCTATGAGTCTATTACTGAGGAATGTATTAGCAGAGCGCTGCCTCGATGGTCAAAGAGACAAAAGAATTACCTGAACGCGGAATTGGTCAGATGCGCACTGGATGACCCACCTGCTGGTGCATCTCCCTTACATGAAGAAACATGTCTGTGTCGATGGTGTCGACAATGAAGTAATCAAGGGGGTTGCCGCCTGAATCCTGTACTAGGAGTGCCTCACAAATGATTGATTGTACTGAGAAGAACTCGGCTTTTGTACGTGGTTGTGCACGAACTCTGAAAAGGTTAAGCTGCTTGTCCTGTCGAAGTCAGTGGCCCTGTCAGAGCATCAAAGGGGTGGATGAGAGCAAGGGGAAATAAGTCATTCCCAATGGCGCATTGAAAAAGGAAGACTAAATGTCCAAGGATGACACCATTCTGTGTCCAGGATGAAGACACAGTCAAAATGTGGTGTGTTGAAGAATCGAGGACTGCACCGTCGGTATCCTGTTTCCAGTCTACCAGGGATTCGTAGTTGACGCGTAAGAATTGATACTCGGTAACCTGTTTTAAATCAGTATAGTATTAACAAAAGGCTGGATTGAACGAACATACAGTATCATCTGATTATAAGTGGATTCTTCTTCCATTCGGCAGCGGAATGTTGCAGGCAGGTAGAAAGACATTTAAGAAAGCATTCAGCTTGATGCGAAAGTTGGTGAATTCGACATCGGTCTTGTGCGCATTCTCAATGGAACAGAAGGTCTGCACAGCTTGTCTTGATTCCATTCTTACGTGTTGTGACCAATCTAAAGTACTAATATCCACGTCGATGTCAGTATTTTCATCATCATCTAATGAATCGTCATTCTCGCCATCTGATTTCCGCTGCAAATATTCATCAAAGTCCGAAATACAACGATCAATGTCATCAGCTACAAGTATCCAGTGATCAATGCGAAGAATCTGATTATGTAGATAATATAGCACAGGATGTTAATTAGTAGGGAATCATGAATGCCATCGATGCTTACCTGCTCCGCAATGTTTTTGAAGTTTGTCCAGTTCAAGTACCAGTCCTTCAAGGGCCCATGCATTTGCTCATTTGGTTTGGTGTTGTAATCGCACGAGGCACCTTTAGCCTCGATGTCATCAAATATATGTGTCGTCATGTGCAGTTTCGGAAAGTTCCAATTCTTCAAGTTGTCATCAGCGGTTTGTGTCATGTATTGCTGCTGATGTGTCAAGGTAGGGTTATCAACTAACTACAATACACATACCTTTATGAGTGCTGTGAATGCTTGGACAGTATGTCTCCCCTCCTCGATTGTATTGGTTGTGTGAACCTCCAGAGCAGCGTACACGTCCATTTCGAGGTAAAGGTGTACACACCGTAAGAGAAAATAACCGAGTGGAGAATCATTCTTGGTCAAGACATCATGTGTGGCGTAAATTATCATCTGAAAGAGAAAATGTTAGTAGCCAGGGCAACCACATGAGTTTACGAACCTTAGAAATATCCTTGTGAACGGAGCTGTCTGTAAATGTAACACTGACAACCTGGTTTGGGTGCTTGAGATTTCGCCAGCATGGAAATTTTTCGAATCTAATACATATTAATATGGAGCATCAGATAAGGGACGACTCGAAAAGAACAAACCGATTATCAACTTGCGATACTTTTCCCCTTCCGAGAGTTACAATGTATTTCTGCAGTTCAACCCAGAGATGGCATGACCAGAGTCCACCATGATTGAAGTGACAACGGTCATGTGACAATGCTCGAAACATGCAGGTGAATGCTACTGCCCAAAATGTGTTCTAATAAGACAATGAATCTCTGATATTGACATGCAGAAATACTCACTCACATCAATCAAATGAAGTGCTTGTTCTTTCAGGAGTTCCTCTCTTTCTTCGAAGGTTTCTTTTGCACGCGCAGCATTTATAACTGCTTGCGACTCATTTGATGTTCGCTGACTGATATGATTTTGAAGTATCCCACAGGTCGTCTTGGGGAACTAGATAAACGGGGCATGGCCAAAGACTCATGATTCCTCGAGTAAGTGACATGACAGATCTTGTAATGATACCATTAAGCAATTCACAACTGTAACGACGAAATAAATACTCACTGTTCTTCAAAATCAGCTGATAGAATGAGGATACAGAGAGAGAACCAGTGTGTGACACCATCTAGACATTTGAACCACTGCCCCATTTGCGATTTTGAGGCTAATGAAGAGATAATCCTGGCAAATGACTTGTGCCAGACAGTATTTTTAAAGTCTACCCAGCTGGGCTTTCCAGAGTGTAATTTTTCGTCCTTGACCTATGTAAACTGCATCAGCAGCACTAACAGCGAGTCACTAAAGGAAACCGCACAATCAGCAGCCATCCCACCACATACCCGCTGCCTGCACCTCACCCGTTTTGAATTGCAGTCAGTAAGTTTGCTAAACGAGCGTAGACTGGATACCCTTTTGTGGTACCAAAGGAGGAGAGTTTTGTCTTATCCGCGTACAGTATATATGCCAGTGGCTTCGCACCTGGAGGGAGTTGCGACTGCAAAGTAATAATACATTGAAATAAGGACACAATAAATAACTACAAAGTATCATCACATACTTGTACATCCCAAATATCTCGCGCAGTGAAAGGCTCATCAACAAAAGAAACGAATGTGTTACCATCAAACTTCGACAGGCAGTGTGCATCAAACGTGAAGTATGGAAAGAGGCGGGGATTCCAAAGCATATCAGCAGCCAACTCCCAAAGGTCTCAGGTAATGTACATCATATTCCCGTAGTTCCTCATCTCCAGCGAACGGGATCGAGATCACTTCCTTCGTAAACTATACTTCATAAGACTTTGTCAGACTCATTTGAAATAGAAGTAGGATATATCACCTTTGTAATGTGGTGCGAGGCTGCCTCCCACATGTTGTGGATATCCTTGTGGTTTTTGAATGTGAACTTCTCCTTGCCCACAGCACAGCGGTGACATAGTTTGATGAACCGATCGGATTGTTGGTTGTTAAACCCGACCTCGAGCATGATCTCGGCAATTTCAAATTTGAGCCGAGATTTGAACGGATGCCAAGGTTGGCCGTCAGGTGGGGGGACAAGGAATTCTGAGGCATGATGCTCAAAGCTATCAAAGCCGTATACCTTGGCCTCAATGCTGCTACTCGGATGATACTCGATCTTGATGTCATCTTGATTGAAGGTGGGGACTGTGGCCACGACTTCCAGGTTCATTAAGTGCAGAAGGGCCTGTATTGAATAGGGTATACGGCCCAAGTGTTAGTGAGATCAAAGAAAACAATTAAGTGTTGATGACTCACCTGGACCAGTCACTGGATCATCATGACCAAAGTCCACATCGAGGAATTCTGTGTGATTTTGTGTTTCAACTGTGAGTTTGTGAGCGCCATAGATAGCATAACAAAACAAAATACTACGACATACTTGGTACAGGGATACAAATGGCTGATTGAGGTTTGTCAAGTCTCGATGACAAATCCAACACTGTATTTTGATACATTTAATGAACATCAGCTTCGACAATACATCAAGACAAAGAGAAAACAGACACACCTTTCTCCTTGCAAATCGCATCTACAACCACCTGATCCTGCTGTCTTTTGGCTGCCTTCGTCTTGCAAGCTTTGCAGTGGGTGGTCCATCCTCATGGCTTGATATCCTGGTCACATAAATTACAATACTTTGTGCGCTCTGGACCCATGTAGTTGACAGTATTGTACAGCTGTATGTAAACAGAGTTGAGGTGGGAAAATAGAGCAAGGAATGCGCTAGAATGCGAGAGTGTACTGCAGGCGCTGATAACAGCTATGATCTAACGTTACAAAGGACTTGCAATATATTGAAACTCAGCCATCAGATTACCTTATCATTTCAGGAGGCATTTCAATTGATTTCAATGGCATGCAAACAGCATGTCAACATCACATCATTGCAACCACTTTCGGAAATTTCTGACATGCACCTTCACACAGGCTTTTGATATATGCTGATTCCACTCTAACTCTTGCAGAACGACGCAGTTGGGAAGGTTCTTTGAAGTGGGGACCTAGATGGTCTGGAGGAAGGGTAGTTGATGATGTGGCTGGACTTTCAAATTGAGTGGTGAGTGTTGAACCAACATCATCGGTTCGTGCTGTGCTGCTAACTGGTGCTTTAATAGATGAACTGACATCATCGATTCATACCATGCGGCTTGCCGGTACATCACCTCTTCTATAGGTATGTCCACCTCTATTGTGTCGAATGTAACACTTCTTTCAACAGCTACTTGCCTGGCATCGGGCAGATAGATGCGGTGCCCGTTACTCTCTGGGTCAAAACCCATCCATCAGCCCTCCATGGCGTGCATATCCAGCTTTGAGCCAATTGTGGTGTGTACCTTGACGCGGCTCCCCCATACAGGTATGTTTCCCAAGTCAGGCTTCTTTTTAAACAGCATCTCATATGGTGTTTTGTTCCCTAGCGCGTGTGTCACAGTATGGTTCTTCAGCCATGTAACATGCATTATGGCTTCTCCCCAAAGGTATTTCAGCAACCCACTTGCATGTAGGAGTGTGCGCGCATGCTCAACAACAGTTCTATTGAGGCACTCGGCCACTCCATTATGTTCTGGAGTATCGTGTATGGTAAGTTTGCACTCTGTCCTACTATTCTTTAGATGGCATGTGAACTCATCGCTGGTATATTCTCCCCTGTGATCTGAATGAAGATGCTTGATCTTCACATCAAGCTGGGTACTGCTCCAAGCCTCAAACTTTGTGTAGGTGTCGAAAGTCTGATCTTTGGACTTGAGGAGATAAAGGTGCATAAACCGTGTATGATCGTCTGTGAACAATACAAAATACTCCTTTTGTCTAGGCATATGAACAGGTGAGGGTCCCCAGAGGTCGCTGTGGACCTCATCGCCGAAATTTTTGCATCTAGGTGGGTCTCGAACTTTTCCAATCAGCTTTCATGTAGCTTTTGCATATTCACATGATTCACAGTTCTCCATTGTTGCTTCAGACAGATCAAGTGCGATTCCAGTGATTGCACCATCGCGGATCATTTGAGCAATAGTACTGGGGGCTATGTGGCCTAGTTGGGCGTGTACGTTGTAGAGACTCGTGCCTCTCATTGTGCAATATCGCAGTTTTCACTAGGGAGTACATGGCACGAACTTGTAGCATCACTCTGTATGCTTCCTACAGCTATTCCTACATGAGGCGCAGCTTTCCCGCGCATCGTGCAATGTGCGCGTACCTTTCCCGCGCTTCACGATGTATATGCGCGCGCGCTTTCCTGCGCTTGAGCACCCTATAGTGCCAGCCATCCGGAAGCATCCATCCACTGTCCACCAAGTCCCCTAGTGCGTATATTTCCATTTCTCACATTTGCATATCGTTCCATCTTTATTTTTATCATGGACCCTTACTTACATATATCCTTACATACCTTACTCAGTAGCGCTTCAGCTCCGCATGACAGCGCTTAGGCGCCATACTTAAGCGCCAGCAGTACATACTATTATGGACTTACTCACTTACTCACCCACCAAGAACAACAGAGGACTGAACCAGAACAATACCCATTTACTACCCAGCAGAGCATAGTTGAAATCTATTCCTTGGCACCTCGCATATAACGTCCCTCAGCTTGCATCTCTCACCTCTTGTCTAGTGTCTAATCATCACTTAAGCAAACTCACTCTTACTTTCACTTGTTTCCGCATACACGCGCGTGCATTCCCGCGCTTCGCGCACTCTTGCGCCTCGCGCGCACCTGCGCTTTCCCACGCTTCGCATTCACCAACCAGTAGCGCCTTCGGCACATACTACTAGATCCTTGCTGTACTCGCTTCCCCTTTAGGGTCGAACGCACTTGTCGTCTCAAGTATAGCAGACTAGGCAACGCGCGACCTTACAACATTTATAGATACAGTCAGGAGCATTGTTCGTGCCTCACTGAATCGTTGAACCTTCAATGTCATGCATTGTGAGTGTTTCCTTCAAGCTCGTTGCCCCTGCAAATGGTCTCTTTGGACCTTTGATACAGTATAGACCCTTATTGGCTGGGATTTCTCCCAGGAGCTTCTTTTTCCTGTCGAAGATCTTGCATGAGTCTTCGCAGAAGAGTGCTGCATATCTGGTGTTTGCTAATCTACTGATCAAGACTAGCATTAGTCCCATCTTCGGTGCATACAGCACATCCTTTAGCAGTATGCGAGTCTGAGATTGGCCATTTGGCAGAGTGATCTGAATATTCCCCTTGCCCATGGCCTCAAAGGTATGCCTATCCACTGTTGTGATTGGCTTTGGTGCGATACTAATGAAATCTTGGAACAAATCTCGATAGGACGACATATGTCTTGATGCTCCAGAGTTGAATAGCTCCGTTTTGGATTCACACAGGGAGTTAGAGCTCGATACTGTCGCATATGTGTATGTTGTTTGCTCTGCTGTTTCATTTGTGTCATGCGCTAACCAGACTCCTTCAGGTTCATTGTCGTCCTTTTTGTCCTTTGCTGTGGCCGCAGTCTCAGGTCTTTTGCCTTTCGCGTCTGGCTTCCCTTTGCCTCCTGATGCTCCTCCTCCTCCAGGACCTCCGCAGTCTTTCTGCATGTGCCCATATTTGCTGCAGTTATGGCAGTTTCCCTTTATCCTCCGAGTGCGCTGACCTGCATTTGTGTTGTAGGCAGCATCATCACTCGAGGGTCCTGCTTTCTTCGACTTCAAGGCTCGACAATTGTTGATATCAGCATGTCTGAGGTAGGTTTTGCACTAGACACTTTTGCAGATGCCGTTAGCACTGATATGTGGGTGTCGTAGCTGCTTGGCAATGAGCTCATGATCATTGCTGCGAAGCTCTCGTTGGAATGTGCATGTCCCAGTGAGGCTAATTGTTCTTTAATTGTTCACATCTTGTCAAAATGTTCTCTGATGTTTCCTTTTTCAGAACACTTTTGATCTTGGAGCTTTCATAGTGGCTCAACAGAGACTACTTGCGAGTGTTGCTCGAACAAGCCCAAAAGGTGCGAAAAGATTTCTTGCGCTGTTGCTAAGCCTTTTACTTGGATGAATAGTGTATCGGGTATTGTCCTCGCGATCTGCTGTTTAGCAATTGCTTCTCCCGTCCACCATTCTTTCGATGCAGTTTTGTACTCGGTGACTTCAGTCACCTCATCTGGAGTTGAAGGTGTCCATGACAGTCCTCAATTGGGAAGGGTCTGCGGGTCTGTTGGCTTTTGCTCTGTGCCATCCAAGTGGCCGAGCAATCCATGAGCGTCTATCAACCATTGTAGACACTCCTTATACATCATCCAATTTTTCCCATCAGCAGCTAGCTTCAGGATCCAGAGAAAGTCTTCTCCCAATTTTCCATTTGAAATGGACATGCTTGTGAGTCTTTTTCTTTGTGCGCTGTGGGTACAACAATTCTGATGGTGATTCAGAACAATGTGTTGGGTCTTGCAGAACCTAGCTGCTATTTGGCCCTAAAGGGTTTCTGGACCAGGCTCAAGGCTCAGAGAGGAAATGTCATGAAAACTTGCTGAAGACTCAGACTCATACTGGTAACTGGTGAAAAGATAACTTTATTATGTAAGCTACAAAAGTGCAAACATAACACTAAGGTAAGAACAGTTTCTACAAGCCTAGCCAGGAATCAGTTCCTACAGCGCTTAATTTGAAATTTTACTGTATGCGACCAGGGCTCATAACCTGTTGCAGCAGTAGCTTAGCAGACGTGCAAAGTCAACTAATATATATTGATATGTACCTGTTGCAGCAGTAGCTACAGGCAGTGTCAGTTAAGTAGGAACTATATATGAAGATAGTACTAACCTCAGTGGACATGTGAAGTCAACTGAGGAGAGTTGTGAAGTGCAAGAACAAACAGTATTTGTAAGTACTAGGAAATGAAAATGGCACCAAAGGTCCATAGTAACGAGGATTGATATAACAACAGGTATTGTGATGCCTATACCTCTACCTATACCCTTGTGTGAGTTTTGATTAAAATGAAGTGCTATGCAACACATAATATTTAACTAACTAAAAACAGCACTACTGTATAGTTGCGAATAGTTGAACTTTAAACAAAATGGTCCTACAATACACTATTGGTATGACACATCTCCAGCAGCCATCCAATAGGATGCTGCCAAATATGATGCCAGTCTCTGTTGACGAGATTTACTTATAATGTATAATTAACATGGATGAGTGATAGAGTATTTTTGGTTGTTATCTTGATTGTGACTTTGATACTCTGGAAACTGTAAGGTGCTACATCAGGAAACCTATGATTTCTCTGCAGAACCTTCCAATACTTGGCCAATTAACTCAAGACCTGCCAGGTCATCAAGATCACTAGATATTTGACTTACAGAAGTTGCCAAGTGTACCAGATGGGTAAGGAATTCTGGTGATTAAGGTACTGAAGTCTGGCATATCAGTTAAACATATCAAGGGATTAAGCTGACCAGGTTATATGAGCTGCAAGGCTATCAAGTTGACAAGATATTTGACTTAACAATTGTAGGAAACTGCATGGGTATGGGTATACCCATTGTAGCGCTCAGCCTCATGCTAGGCTCGTATTCAGTGAATTCATGGAACACATCAAATGCCCATCACATGCTACACATTCCCCAATGTAACCCTGATGCTTTAACTAGCGGACCTGATGTTTCGGCTGCATCGGCTGTTCTGATATCCTGTGCACTCATCCTCTCTGTGTCCCATCCTGTCTTGCTAGCCCCACTAGGTGCTGTGACATACTCAAATATATCTGTTATGTGGAGCCCTAAGAGGGGCGTCATCTGCTAACATTCATGATGTAACCAGAAGGATCCGGTGTAACGAGTGAGACTGGCAACATTTAGTCGGCAGCGATCACAAATGCACGTGTCATGTGACTACTAAGACAGATGTCTTTGAAGTCACCAGGCTCAAGGTAAGGATGGTCTTGTCTGAACGATGAGTGTTGATCAAGATAGACTTAAGTGCGAAGAGCACTTAAGAAAAGATACTAGAGACTGAAGCTGAAGAGGCTTCAGAGAGAAGTATGTTCCAGGGAAGATTGAGTAGATTCAAGTTAGATAATCTAGTACAGGGTGACTGACTACTTATACTAAGTGGAAAGGGTTGAGGGCTGGGTTACCATACTGTAGGTAGGGGCAAAGGGGAAACAGAAACAGTATAGGTACTTTGGCAACACAGCTGGATTAGTGGTGGATGGTTGAATGCGGAATGAGACTGAGAAATGTTGGAATGATCTAACAGTAAGAATACAATGTGCGGGAAGCGCAGTCAGAAAGAGATGAGAAAGGAGAGCGACATTGGTGGCATGAGTCACAACGAGTCAGAAGTGCGAGACCACATTGGTGGTCGAGTCATAGGAAGGAACATGTGTTCATGTGCATAGAGGTGGAGGACATGAGGGATGGGAATGGTCCTGAGGATCCAATGTAGCACTCGAGCTTGTGCTAGGCTTGTATTCTGCTATTTTCCAATGCATGTCAAACACCCATCACACACAAATCACCTCCTGATGTTATCCAACACTCACCCGCTCAATCTGATGTTTATCCACTAAACCCAACACTAATCCACTAATCCAATGCTAATCCAATGAAACCCGATGCTAACCTGACAAAAATGACCTCCCTATGTCATGTCCTGTCATATCTATCCCCACTAGGTGCACGGTTATTCATTTTCATGTCGCTAACATTATAGACCGTGTTATTACATGTCTGCAGTACCACATGTCTTATTACATAGGACATTGGACCTGAAAATCAGCACTACTACTTTCGCCTATAGCACTCCGAAATTATACATAGATACTATATGTTTCGCATACCTCCTACCTATTTACTTACCTTTCTACCTCTGAGTAGGAGGAGGTCATCTGATATTAGTAGTTCTTAGCTGAATTCTGCAAATATAATCCTTTCTTTATCTGAAACTCTCTGAAACATCCAACATTCACTATATTCCTGACACAAACCTGACACAAACCCAACGCAATCCGATGCAACCCACTAACCTGAAACCCAAAAACATTGGACCTGACATTTTGACATTGGACTCGTAATTATACCTTTGTACTTTGTTTCCCACACTTCAGACTATCTTTCTTTTCGTATAACTAATTATTCTAATACCATACAGCAAATCCCTTGGGTTGAACACACTTGTCTTGCAAGTATAGCAGACTAGGCTGTGCAAGACCACAACTATTATATTTGGCTGAGAGTTTACTACATGTTCCCTGCTCAGCCATTGTTGTATTGCTATAACATTTATCATCTGATCATCTTATATTAGCTTTTAATAACTTATAATTCTGTGAATATCTGGAAGGCATTAGATCAGCTGATGACCTTGACATCTAATTATCTTATACTAACTTTCAATATATTAGATTCTCTTCTGATGTCTTGACTATCTTAGCCAAGAGCATCATCTCTTGTCCATCTTCTAGAAGTCTTGAAGATTATTTAAGAGGGTGGAAGTAGTGGAAGTACCATAAGAAAAAGTATAGGTTTCCTAATGAAAAGACATGAGGTACTGCAGATGATGGGAAAACATATAATAGCACTAGCTATGATGTAAGTAATGTGTGAAATAATGAACCATGCACCTAGTGGAGCTAGCAAGACAGAACAGGACATAGGAAGGATGAGTGTACAAGATATTGGATTGGCTGATGCAACTGAAATGTCAGATCTGCTAATCAAAGCATTGAACAATATTGAGAAGTAATTCATATGTAATGGGCCTTTGACATGCATCATAAAATAGCTAGATATGAACCCAGCACTAGGCCAAGTGCTATAGTGGATAGAGTCAGACTTGGCCCATTCACTATTCTTCTTTCATCACAATTTGATTCATCAATCTTGTTTTGGAGATGGCAATTAATGGCAAACAGTTTAAGGTGGTGTCTTGTTACTTGAGGGTCTTATGTGAAAGCCATGTATAACAACAATACTATTATACACAGTGAAGACTTCTTATCAGTTCTTAAGTCAATAGTCTCTGACTTTTCTAGTTGTTGTGGAAGGTAACATAGTGAGTTCTTGGAAAGATTTAGTTTATTGTCCTCTTATGTAATCTTATGAAATGCCATGGAATGTTTCTATCTTCTGGATAATTCATTAGGTCTGTTTTAGCCTAGTAGGTTGTGTTTCAACCTATGAAAGTCTGTTTAATATTGTCCTCCTTAGATTCATGTCTCACGTTCCATTGAAAGAGAGGGTCTTATGTATACATGTAAAGCTTAGTCTGAGAGCTGTTCAATGGTTATATAGTCAACCTCTGTAAGGTAGCATATAATTTTAGAATATAATAATAATGTCTCTTAATCTTACTTTAAGGCACTGTGCCTGCACTTCTATTCTTAATGTACTCTTACACAGTTTGATTGAAAGAAGAATGAAAAATAAGAAGTCATATTTCATGGGTGAAAATGGAGTCCTATTATACCTTTTGGAATCCCCTTACTAAGCATTATTTTATTAGATGAATTGGTAAGAATGTAGCTTACAAACCAAATGATGAATCAACTTTTACTAATATATATTATATAAATACTATGTAATCCTCACAAAGCATGATAGAAAGGTACTGACTCATCTCAGGGATTGGTTATGCAGAAGCTAACAAACTAAGTATATTATAAACAAAGTTTAGCATCTTACAAAGCATGACCAATCACAACTAAACATGTTGAGTTAGCTTAAATAATGTTACAAACCAGAATATTCCCTAGTCACATAATATGCTAACAAACAAAAACTAATGCTGAAAGGAGCCCAATAAAAGTAAACAGTCAGAAATAAATAAAGAGATACAAAACTTGTGACAAATAAATCTGGTGGCTGGATGAAGCCAAATAAAAATAAACCAATAGAAGGTTACATGCTCAATAAAAATACAAAACAATAAATCAAGAGAAAAATAGAGAGGTAACTTAGTGATAAAAGGCTAGACAGTCTCTCATACCTTCCTTATTACTCTCTATATATAACTGATATAGTATGAATCATATACTATGCATGACAGTAGACATTATCTAAGATATCAACATGAGATTCATAATATTGATTGCACTCTGAAATTTTTGACAAGAAATATTGCTGCAATCAGTGCACTAGGTAGTATGATTTACCAAAAAAAAATTGCAAGATTTTTCCTGATTATGTAACATCCAGAATACCTATAACCTTTAATGGCTGCAGATTGGCCTTTATCTGCTTGCAGGCCCATAAATGCTCATAGATTGAGTAGTGTTCTCCAAAAAAGCCATAGATTGGCTTTAAGCATCCAGAGTGGATAGCCTCCAATTCAAGTACTTCTAATTTATTCTGATTTGGATTTTCATTATTGCAGAGAGACAATAAAAGTTCTATGGATGGTGATAACACTCAGACTAGTTAAGAAATAGTGTGTTTACTTGTTGTTTTTTTTTACTTATTCTAATTTTCATATTTTCATCATTACAGGAAGACAATGAAAGTCTGATGGATGTTAATGACATTCAGACTGCTTATTACTAGTATGAATGCAGGTACATCTGTTTTATGAATGTATCCATTACATCTCTTATTGTTAGCATAGCATTTGCACCTACATCTGCAAGCACTAAGTTACTTAAGGTTCTTCATCTCCAGCATTGTGCTTTGATTTTAGTTGCTATCTGCTAGATGGTGGAAAGCTGAAGAACCCTTTTGTCAAACATTTTACCTTTAGTCATAGCAGGTGAATATTCTACATTTGCTATTATTTTTGATCATTCATTGAGCCTATCACTATATTACATTCATTTTTGGAGATAGTTTTTATAGTTAGTCTCTTGGGATATATCACACTCATACTCAAAAGATTTTAAGATATCATTTTTGGAGTGCCCAGCCAGAATCAACACTTTATAGCAGATTTGATTATCACATTAGATTGGACTTCTTAGAAACAGAATTGATACTAAGTAAGAAGTTCTAATAGGTCAGTGAACCTTATGTGACAACTGAGCTAATTTTAATTGTTGACAGTTTCAGCCAGCTCAGATTCTAGTACAAAGATAAAAGAAAATCTTGTTGGTCGAATTTAGTATAGTTAATATGATATATGAGAATATCAGCAATAACAGGGAACATCCCATAAATAAGATACAATAGCATTTGAAGCTTCAAGCCCTAGTTAAAATATATAAGAAACTTATAAGAAACAAGAAGATATATATTAATGGAGGTCAAAGAATTTTCAAGTGCAATGAATACATGAGTGATAGCACTAACTACAGTGACCATAGTAATCATAGTGAACCAACCTATAGTCCAGGCTGGGTGAGGATAGGTTAGATTACTACCATATGACTTAAATTAGTGGAATATATAGGTATGGAATTATTATCATAATAACCATAAACCAAACACTTGTCTTATCATCTTTTACTAAAATTATTTTCATGTCTTTAGAAATAACAGATGCTTCATATACCACTGGATGACATGCAGCACCTCTGGATTGTTTCATGTATTATGTTTATCCATATTTACATAACTCTGACATACCACACACCTCTTCACATCCTTCAAGTAGCATGATGTCACAGGATGATATTAATAGCTTTATTTATGAAACTTCAGAAAACAATAAGTCAGTGGTTTCAAAACTAAATTTTAAAAAATTACCCTCTTGTGGATACATATAAAATAGTACTAAACATGTTTTTAAAGGGTTGGTTCCTACAAACTACAGACACAGAGAAAGAAGACCTTGAAAATTATGATGAAGGCACTTATAAGCAAGGCAAATACATCTGAGTGGCACAATTGATATTACTAGTTAGTAATAACATTGGGTACCCCATTTCATTAATACTTAGGCTACCTATCTGTTCCCCTACCAGCAATAAAACCAGCACTCCAGCAGTACCTTAGGTGAATTTTGAGCTCGCTATATACTACTAATTCAGACATATGATATAATAAGCTTTGTCACCATAAATAGATATAAGTGGATAACTCCGGATGTCGTCATCATCATCACATGGCCTATTTGCTGTACTTCTCATGGTTGTTTGAACCTCACGCTCATCGTCATTGATGACGAGCTCACCACTCCCATTATTCTGGACTGTTTCTCTCATTTTTTCACGGCAATTTACTTGTCTTCTACAGGATAATCAATATTACACCTTCCAAAGCCATATAATTCTACACCTCACTTCAACCAACCAACCAACAAGATTTTTCCCATGGATAGCCTACCTCTACATGATGACCAAACACAAACGCACATTCAAGAGCTCAATATTCAACTCAGTTCAGGAGATGGTCATCACAGATACAGGTGCTTCTCTGACACTACGAGCCAACCTCAGCAAGATCTGTGCAGATAGGCTAACAGCAGCTTCCTCATTCATGATGGCTGCTCCATTGCCACTCATCTCTTCCTCTTCCTCCTCATCCTCAATCCATTCTGCACTCTTTGCACCTGATTCCTTTGTTGCCTTCAGACATTTTGTCTGCTGCTTCCAGGGCTTGTATACTTGCTCGCCACAAGCCTGGTGCTCCTTATTTCTATTCTTGTGCTCTACTATCTCATCTTCAGTGAGTCTTACCCAGAAACAATGTGAGTTGACAAGGTTGTTGAGCAGCTTAATTAGATCTTCGCAGCGGCCAATCTTCCCAGGATTTTGCATGGCACCAAGTGGATATTTTTGGAGAGCAACACCATAAGTTTCCGCAATCTTTTGCTTGTAATTGTCATAGTTCATAGTGACCTTTTTTTGTGAATGATTCATTGTAGCCAGAATTACATCTGTATGACACATTGGTGATGAATCATGCAACAAATGCAATAAATTTTACCAAGTCCATCTTGAATATTCTGGCGACACAAGCTTACAAGTCTTGTCAATGAAAGCCGTTGAGTAATTGTTGTAGTATTATCTATTAATGCTGAGTACATCCATCATTGAATAAATCTGACTTACCAAAATCTCCAACAACCCAAGACTCAAGTTTAAGTGCAAAACACTTTGGCTCCATGCCAAGGACATCTTTGATGAACGACACGACCTTCAGTGTGTAAAAGAGCTTTGGTTCATGGTGCTGCTCAATGTCCTCATGAACAACAAGATAGATCCCCTCGAAGCCTGTTCAAGCCTGGATAGCAGTCCACTATTTAATCATCTAGTGAGTATTTGACAGATCAAAAAAATTATTCCAGTACCTCAGTCTGCATTACATTGAAAGTAGCATTAATATCTCTTAGTAGTGCCTTAGGGTTGGTGTGAGTCACTTTTATGTGAGACCGATGAAGTGTCTCGACATCATCTTGAAGGTGGTTCTTGTCAGCTGCTGTCAGGCACAAATAATGTGTCGTTAATTGTGCACGATGTTCTGTGATGAACACAGTGTAGGTATACAACAGAGTGGGGCTATACAAAGATGGCTCCAAACTGATATCTTTATGTTGTGGTCTTGCACTGCCTAGTCTGCTATACTTGGTGAGACAAGTGCATTCGACCCAGGGGTCTGCAGTCTGGGAATAGTTTTGGGGGTCAGTGAGTGATGTGAGGTCAATAATCTGAGCATGGGAAACAATGTCCAAAGGTATAATTACGATGTCTAATGCAAAAGCGTTGGGTCCGATGTTTTTGGGTTATTGGTGTAGCACTTGGATCAGCATTGGGCTTGTATTCTGCCAATCTCATAGGTATCCCACATCATACTCCTCGACACTCCTTTTACCTTCTGAGAGTTCCATGCACTCATCTGAGTCGTCTGAAGGTTGTCCGTCCCATTCCGAGGCCTGTATGCACTTCCAATCCTCCGTACTGTTAAGACCATGCACAAAGGGTAGGACTGATTCTGAAGGGCTTGGCTTCAGCTCGTGCACTGCGCCCCTTACCCGAGTATGTGCCCTTAATTGCAGATGACATCCAGAGGAAGTCCATAGGACTTCCGAAGGAGTGTGGGAAAGTCCAGAAGGACTGTCCGGATCTGGATGAGTGCGAGAAACTTCCGGAGGGGTGCAGGAAATTTCCGGAGGAACTTCTGGAAATTACTATGAGGTTTCGTCCTGGTACAGATATGTGTAATGGCTACTCAGGATGAATCCTGAGTAGAATGGATACAGAGGAAAGGCTGCAGGGACAAAGTCCAAAGCAGAATAGGTCCGGAGGACCGTGGGAAAGTTCCGGAAACTTGGAGGAGTGTAGGAGCAGAGGAGCGGAGGAGTGGAGCTCTGGCCTAGGGAATTCCTCCCTAGGCCTGAGATGGATATTGACTAAGTCAGAGGACTAGAACTAGTATGAGGACTTAGTGTGAGATCTAGTGTGAGGACTAATATGTGTAATATTCAGACTAAGGAAATACAGGAGTTTCTACAGGGTTTATATACTATGGAGGACATAATGGAGAATCAGTCAGTGCAGTGCAAGGCTATGTGAGGCTATGGACGGAGCATGTGGAATGCCTAACACTAGTGCATCAGAACTTAATGAATTGAAGACGGAAATGAATCAGGTATGGAAAATAAAGCACAGTCGGTCATAGGGATAACCGGATGTCCGGAAACAGGTGATTACCATAAGGGGATGAGCGCTGATTTAAGGTTTGGGTTTGGATATGAAGCATAGGTCGGATCCGGAGATCCTGAGAAGTGGATATGAGATCAGGTGTCCAGATATCAGATCTGGATGTGTGGATATGCAAAGGTACAGAGATTTCGGCGTATAGACATCTGGACAGATAAAGGACATGGACAGGGGGTCCGGAGGTCCGGATGAGGCGTGGGAACATTGTTGGACGTAGGTCCAGAATACGGGATATGACACGTACCATGTCCCATCCATGTCCATTTGACTTCGCTGGTGCGTTTTTACCTTGTTCATCTATTATTGATTATGTCTTAGGGGCACATACATTGTCGGCCCATCGAAGTCAATGGTTAATACATATAGCAGCACACCTTGCATGTTATTACATGCATATCTCTGTAGCGGCTCACCTCAAGTCTTATTACACTTCAGATAGCTTATCTTGCTACTACTTTTGCCTATGCAGTTTCTGGACCTTCACGCTGTAGGATATAATCTGCCTCACTAGCTACTCGCACTTCACTTCACTTCCCTTGCTATGAGTCATAGTTAGTAGAGTCACTTTCGGATAGTCGTACTTCATGCAATTGATCCTTCGTGTTCATTTGGAACGATTGTTTGGCCTGACCACTGCCATTTTGCATCTTGCTGTCTCTGAGTTCTTTCGATAGGCTTTGCTTAGTTGTACTTCGCAAGTCTTACACTTTGACATAACCACCATATTTCACTCTCGGAACCTTTGCTGTTCATCGGAAGCTCTTTGGACACTTCACACAACCTTGGACCTTCATTTCTTGATGTCGGACGAGTACTTCGGTACTTCAGACACATCTTCGGAACATTGAGCACACTTGGGTAACCTTTCTGTTCTTTCTACTTCAATCTTAACTAGACATCCCTTGCATTTATATCAAGGAGTATTTCTATAGGCAGTCTCTTTGGGACAAGCATTACACTCGCACATTGAGTTCTGAAGGTAACACTTTTGTAGTGCCTACACAGAATCAACTCTTTACATCGGGTTATTGGGTTCAGGTTCAGTGTATCAGAAACTAATAGTGATGCGATAGCGAGCATCAGGAAAGCAAGTGGTATGCACAATAATAACAATGACAGATACGGATGGTGAAGGAACGATGATATTCGCAATGTCAATTAAGAACTACAAAATATCAAGTTTGACCCCTAAGCATCGGAGATGATTCTCCTCTACTTCAGATGATGATGCTATGGGGAGTCCAATATTTATGTAGATACGTAGAAATCCGGAACCCTATAGTAGCGCAATATTTCGGGTCCGATGTCATATGTAATAAGACATGATGTACTGCGGACTATGGGAATATATGTAATAATGTGGTCGACAATGTTAGGGATGTTTTTGGGTTTGGTGTGTATTGAGTCGGATATGATAGGGAATGATTTGGGTAATGATTAGCATTTCAACATACATCAGAAATTAGACCTCTATGAGGCCACAAGGACTCCAAGTCCTACAACGAGCAATTTTCAACAATCCCCCACTCCATGTCCTTTTACTGTAAGTCTGTATATGTTCTTTTTTTGCAGGTCATAAATATAAGTATCTTCATTGTACTTGTTCAGTTCTTGTCTCACAAATGCATTCCAGGGATTTACATGGCATTTGTTGAAAATACCCCTACCCATGTGAAGCTGTTTGCATATCCACTTCAAGCTTCTGTAGACAAGTAAGTTAGAATTTGGTTTTGGTATGTTAAATAGACTTACCGGTGTAGGTACAACAATTCAGATGGTGTATACTGAACTATGTGTTGGGTCTTGCTTGCCTAAGCTGCTATGCTTGTAGTGACAAGTGTATTTGACCCTAAAGGGGAAGCAAGTGCAGCAGGGATCTAGGGATTGGCACAGAGGGTGCCACTCATTGGCCGACATGAAGCACATGAGGCATGAGCGCAGAAATGGAGCACTTGAGGAGCACGAAGCATGGGAAAAGTGTGCAGAGTAGCGCGAGGTGGGGGATATAAGGAGAGGCTCATAATAGACGGATAGATGTTACTCTTTATTGCCAATAGCTACTGACTATGGCCCAGGATGGATGAGCTATACACTGATAGTGTGGTGTAGGGAGCTTCTATATGATTAGATAATGTAAAACATGAACTACAGGCACTTATATATGTCTAAAAATGTGCCCCTGAAGCGGAGCCGAAGCGGTAGTGAGGAGAGTAGGTAAAATATGTAATAAGGGTCCATGACATGATGGTGAGCAAACAATTAAAGTCTAATATGGTCTGATATAAAAATAATGACATGAAAATGTACTAGTGAGGTTAGTTTGGAACAATGGATGGATGTGCAATGCAGGGCGCTTCAAGCGCAGTAAAGCACGCTAGGTGTGTGCATGTGAATGTGGTGCTTGGTGCGGGAAAGTAGCGCGCACTTTGCGCTTATCGCAGGAGAGTTGCGCTGTGACGCTCGGACCTGCGCTGGGCAGGAAAGAGCCTATTTTCATATTGATGTCAAGGAGCATAGAACACTACGAGTTTCCTGTCCTCGCACCTTCATTATCCTGCAAACAACCTTGTCCAAAACCGAACTCACTTTTCCCGCGCTTTGCGCATCTGCTTATCCGCACTTTCCCGTGCATCGGCCGCATCGGATGCGTGTTCCCGCGCTTTGGATACCTCGGAAACACATTAGGAAGGTCCCTCATCTATCCATAGTCCATCCAAACCCCATTGGTATGTGAATTTCCTTATCTCGAGGCTTGTAAAATGTGTTGCAGCCTTATTACATGCCCTTACCTATTTACTATATTTCCTATCCCTTCCTTCTCCGAGTGAGAGTCTAGACAGTATAAGTTGACTATTACTTAGGACTACTAGGACACTTCCCTCGTACTGGATACCTCTCCCTATAGGTTACCTTCGAAGTAGTCCCTTGTAGTGTGCGCTTTTTAGCCCCTATTAGGTTCCTCATACCTCTCTATACCTAGACTTTCCTTACCTCGCAATATACCTTTGCCCTCACTCTCTCCAAACCTCGTTCCTTAACTTCCCTATACCTTGTCCGCGCTTTCCCGCGCTTTCCGCACCTTCGGCCACGTGTTCCCACACTTCGGATAGCCTCAGATACATTCCTACACCTCGCGCATTACCTATCTGCTATTTTCCCGCGCTTAGCACGCTCTCGGGTCGCACATATCCAACATCATTCTAGTAGCAATTCCCTTTAGGGTCGAACACGTCTGTTTAGACATAGCAGCTAGGCATTAGCTTGACCCAACCTTTTCTTGCCACCCAGCAAGGTTGTTGTTTCCACAGCGCTTCACATAGGGAATGACTGGAGAGGTGTTTAGCATGAGTTGTGCATCAAACTGCACTTTAAGGCATGTTGTAGATATGGCCTCTACAAGGCTACAGAGATGTCAGTCTCTACACCGGCCATATTCTTGGGCAACAGTCTGTGCTTCCTCCTGGTAAACATCCTTTGCTGTGGTGAGTGCATTTGTCAAGTTCTTGAACTTTTCATGGCATGCAGACTTTTGGACTGTTGTTAGCTTTGTGCGGACCCACTTTGTTTTGGCCATTGATTGAATGACCATGATGAGGAGGTAAATTTCAGACTGGTGAAGGTTGGAGTTGCTCAGTGTAGGCAGGACTTAGCTTAAGCTTTGTATAAAGATACTTTGGCTTGTATAAATAACACCCCCAAATTTAACACATGCTTTAAAACATATTTTGATTTGCTCCATGATGTAATCTAAGGTCTTTAAATTTAAATTTCAATGTTGGCCCTCCAATACTTTTTGGCCATCAACACTAGACAGTCTAAGCACCACATAGGTAAGTTACCTTGTGTCATATTGTCATTCAACCACATGCTGATTTTAATTAAATGTCAAGGCTATTATATCCCTCATGTTTTCTTTCATCATATTGTTCAGTCCAGGTCATACAGCCAAAAAATTTGACTATAAGTTTATGGTGAGTCCATCATTATTTTCTGCACTGTGTTTTACTTGACCATATTACAAGTTCTTGTGATGCCTCAGTGTACCATTGCATGTGATGACTTGGAGTCTGAGTTAGAGTACAAAGATGTATCTAAATTGGATGTATCATCATCTTTCATGGTAGGGCTCTCATTGACCACCACTCAGTCATTGGCTTCTGTACAGAATGGAGACATGGAGGTAATGATGCCTTACTTCGCTCACTGTGATTTAGTATCTCTAACTTTGTGCATCTCAAGATCATTTGGCACCTGCAACTCAAAAACCAGTTACTCAAGAATAACAATCAGACTCTGGGTGAGAAGAACAAAGTGTTAGCATCCAATCAATGTAGGCATTCAGGTGTGCAAGTTCCTAATGAGCTGAAGGCCTTTGACATTGAACTCTCAACCTTTGCTTGCAAATATGGTATTATTGCTGAGATGTTCCCACCCAAGCATGCATTCTTAGATTGCCTGTGCCAAACTCTCTGCCCATCATCATATCCGCTAGCCGCTATGCAAGCAAGGATGCCAAAGAACTTTGTCTTGTGATAGAGGTATATTCACTTCTACCGGATCACCTCCATCATTTCATACCTGCTTCTCATTTTCAATCATTGGTATGTTATTTTATATATTTCATCATCCGACCAAATACTGATTTATATGTAATTTAAATATCGCAGCTAGAGCAGCGTCTCCAAGGTGGACACTCCGGTGAGATTGGCAAACTATACTTGATGGCAGGGTGTATCTTTGGTTTGGATTTGTCCTACTTTGACCTGAGTTTCATGAAGTGAGATATCATTCCTGAGATCCAGAAGATGCTTGCATCAGGTACTGCTGGTGGTCACTCCTCACTGTCAAAGTTTTCACCTGTCCTTTTTACAAATTAAGAGATGGACCCCACAATGTTCACAGTTTTAGATAATTGGAAACCACTTGCAAAGGTATTTTTTTTAAGCTTCACTCTGTTCTTGTGCTAATAAATCTACATAGGCAATTGTAATTGTGATGTTCAGAAAGAATTCACTAGACATTTCTGACTGACCATATGCTAAGTGGAATGCTCGAAAATGAGGCACAATATCCTGTACTCCCAGTCTTCTTGCATGGGGTTGGGTTGCAGTGAGTTCTATTTCTGCTACAATTGATCCTCTGGATCAGCATCTAATTATCATTCTTTAGTTGATCTTCATCCTTTCTCCTGACACTTCATTTATGAAAGCTGGAGTTGGCACAAAGTCTTCACTACCATATACTGCCATGTTTACAGTGTAAAGAGTTGATTCTGTGAAGGCACTATGAAAGTTGTTACCTTAGAACTCAAAGGTATGAGTATGATTTAACCCAAAGAGACTGCCTGTAGAACTATCTCTTGATATAAAAATGCAAGGGATGTCTTGTTAAGATTGAAGGTTAAGAAAAGGAAAAGTTACCCAAGGTGCGTCTGAAGTTCTGAGAATGTGTCTGAAGTACTGAAGTACTTGTCTGATGTGAGCGAAAGTAGCCTGAAGTCAAGAAATAAAGGTCCAATGATGTGCAGAGGTTCCAAAGAGCTTGTGACTAAACAATGAGGTTCCTGAGAGTAGATACGGTGGGTATGTCAAAGTATGTTGAAGTATAAGACTTGCGAGGGTACCAAAGTATGGCTATGCAAAGCCTACCAAAAGAACTTTAAGACAGCAAGATGTGAAAATGGCAGTGGTCAAGCCAAACAATCATTCCAAATGAACAAAAAATCAATTGTGCAAAGTACAACTATCCAAAAGTGACTCTATAAACTATGACTTGTAGCAAGGGAAGTGAAGTGAAGTGCAAGGTAGCTAGCAAGCCCGATTATATCCTACAGTGTGACAGTCCAGAATTGTGTAGGCAAAACTAGTAGTGAGATAAGCTATCTGAAATGTAATAAGACTTGAGGCAAGTCACTACACAGATATGCATGTAATAACACATGAGGTGTGCTGCTATACATACTATTCAAATAAACAAGGCTTCAAACGGGCCGATGATATATCTGTCCCTATGACATATTCAATAATAGACAAATGAAGTCAAAATGCACCAGCAAAGTCAAATGGACACAGACAGGACATGGTACAGTGGATCACGAGTGGGAACAGGCCTTGGAAATGGATGGACAACCTTCAGATGACTTGGATGAATGTGCTGTAGGACTTAGAGTCCTTGTGGCCTTGTAGAAGCTATTTCTGCAGCATCTCTTAGGTCCTCGCATTGTGCACACTATCGCTAATGCAGTGTAACAATACAACTATGGCTGAGCAGGGAACACATAGTAAGCTCTTGGCCAAATATAAAAGTTGTGGTCTTGCACAGCCTAGTCTGCTATACTTGCAAGACAAGTGCATTCGACCTGAGGGGTTTACTGTTTGGTATTAGAATAATTAGTTATATAAAAAGGAAGATAGTCTGAAGCATGGGAAACAAAGTCCGAAGGTATAATTATGAGTCCAATGTCAAAATGTCAGGTCCGATGTTTTTGGGTTAGCGGGTTTTGTCAGGTTGTGTTGGGTTAGTGTCAGAAATGTAGTGAATGTTGAGGATAGTGAATGGCGGGTCACTGTCTGATGTTTTGGAGTGTTTTGGATAAAGAATGGATGATATTTGCAGAATTCAGCTAAGAACTACTAAATATCGGATGACCTCCTCCTACTCGGAGGTAGAAAGGTAAGTAATAGGTAGGAGGTATGTGAAATATATAGTGTCTATGTAGAATCTCAGAGTGCTATAGGCGAAAGTAGTAGCAATGATTTTCGGGTCTGATGTCCTATGTAATAAGACATGTGGTACTGCAGACATGTAAAAATGTGGTCTACAATGTTAGCGACGTGAAAATGAATGACTGTGCACCTAGTGGGGATAGATACGATAGGACATGACATAGGGAGGACATTTTCATTGGGTTAGCATTGGGTTTCATTGGATTAGCATTGGGTTTTGTTGGATTAGCGGATTAGCATTGGGTTTAGCAGATAAACATCAGATTGAGTGGTGTAGCACCTGAGCTCACGCTAGGCTCATATTCAGCTATTTTCCCATGCATGTCAAACACACAAATCACTTCCAATGTTATCCGACACTCATCCGCTCAATCCGATGTTTATCCGCTAAACCCGATGCTAATCCGACAGACCCGATGTTTCCCGCGCACTTGTCCTCCCTATGTCTTGTCCTGTCGTATCTATCCCCACTAGGTGCGCAGTTACTTGTTTTCACATCACTAATATTGTAGAACACATTATTACATGTCCGCAGTACATTGTGTCTTATTACATAGGACATCAGACCCGAATATCAGCACTACTACTTTCACCTATAGCACTCTGGAGTTCTACATAGATACTATATATTTCACATACCTCCTACCTATTACTTTACCTTTCTACCTCTGAGTAGGAGGAGGTCATCCGATATTCGTAGTTCTTAGCTGGATTCCGCAATATCATCCTTTCTTTATCCGAAATATCTGACAGTAACCCGCCATTCGCTATCCCCAACATTTGCTATATTTCCGAGGCAAACCCGACACTAACCCGATGCAACCCGAGGCAAACCCGCTAACCCAAAACCCAAAAACATCGGACCTGACATTTTTGACATCGGACTCATAATTATACCTTCGGACTTTGTTTCCCACGCTTCGGACTATCTTCCTTTTGTTATAACTGATTATTCTAATACCATACAGCAAACCCCTCGGGTCGAACGCACTTGTCTTGCAAGTATAAGCAGACTAGGCTGTGCACGACCACAACACATTTTTATATTGCTGGCTACTTACTTCGTGTAGTGCCCAGCAATTGTTGTATCTCTACAGTGGGTAAGTGTCAGATAACATCGGGAAGTGATTGGTGTGTGACAGGTGTTTGACATGCATTGGAAAATAGCAGCATATGAGCCTAGCACGAGTTCAAGTGCTACAGCAGTGTAGGACTTGGAGTCCTTGTGGCCTCATAGAGGTCTATTTTCCGATGCATGTTGAAATGCTAATCATTACCCAAATCATTCCCTATCATATCCGACTCAATACACACCAAACCCGAAAACATCAGACATCAGACATTGCATCGGGTTTCACATCGGCCTATCGGATATTGCGCACTGTAGCACTCGGATCAGCGCTGGGCACGTTGAAGGTACAACAATTCAGATGGTGAGTCTGAACAATGTTGGATCTTGCAGAACCTAGCTGCTATTCGACCCTAAAGGGTTTCTGGACCAGGCTCAAGGCTCAGAGAAGAGGGAATATGATGAAAACTTGCTGAATACTCAGACTCATACTGGTAACTGGTGAAAAGATAACTTGATTATGTAAGCTACAAAAGTGCAAACATAACACTAAGGTAAAAACAGTCTCTGCAAGCCCAGCCAGAAATGAATCCCTACAACGTATCCTGCCAATCTCATAGGTGCTTCATATCATACTCCTCGACACTCCTTTTACCTTCCAAGAGTTCCGTGCACTCATCCGAGTTGTCCAAAGGTCGTCCGTCCCATTCTGAGGCCTGTATACACTTCCGATCCTCCATACCATGTCCCGTCCGTATCTGTTTGACTTCGCTGGTGCATTTTCCACTTGTTCATCTGTTATTGATTATGTCTTAGGGGCACATATGTTGTTGGCCCATCAAAACCATTGGTTAATACATATAGCAGCATGCCTCGCACATTATTACATGCATATCTCTGAAGCGGCTCGCTTCAAGTCTTATTACATTTCGGATAGCTTATCTTGCTACTACTTTCACCTACACAGTTTCCGGATGGGTCCACTCGTTGCCTCTACTTCGTGTGGTCCTGCAAACCGTCAATGTGGTCCCACAAGCAAACTTCACATTTTAAATTCCTGCCCTGGAGCCTACTGTATCCCTGCATGATCTCGAGAAGCTCCATGGCATTATCAATCTGGAGAAGGTTGTCGTCGCCACTGGATTCGCTGAAGTTGGTCCTTGCAGTGGTTTATGAACTCATTGGGAAATGGAGGCATGAGGCGTGTCCACTATTAAGGGCTGCATCGAGATGGCCTGGCTTATGGGTTACATGAAGCACTTCAATGGGTAAGACTGGCTAGCTCGTCGATGACAAGGACATCAGAAGCTGCTGCAAGAAGGAGATTTTGAGCATGCTGGTGTGCGGATAATTGGTTAGCCACATCCCAACCTTTATCAGACGGGTTTTGATCTCCCCGCAGAGCCTGAGTTGTTCCACAGCTATAATCCCAAGAAGAAAGTCTTCAACCAAGAGATCGAGCTTGTTCATGGTTTGGAAGCAATTGAAGTCACACAATCTGAGGCCGAGAAGTTCAAGTATGAGCATGGCAACAAATGTGACATATGGACCGGAGAAAGTGACCAGTGGTTCGTCAAGTTCAAGAAGCATTCGCGCGGATTTGTCCCCAAGGTGTTCAAATTCAGTCGCCTCATTGCTGGTCAAATTCCCACTGGATGGGATGCTGGCCGCTACAGTATTCCACCAGATAGCATCGCTCAAACAGATCACGCCACTCTCTGGGTCCTTTTTTGCACTGCTGAGGCTTTGAACATGTCTGGAATAACTGATCCCTATGAACTATACAAGTGCTACCACCCCTCTGAAGTTGGCACTTGTGTTGGCAGCGGCATGGGTGGCGCGGAAAGTCTCACACAAATGTTCAAAGACCGTCACAAAGAGAAAGACATTCAGAACGATATCTTGCAGGAGACGTCAGTCCACATTTACTTTCCCTGGTGAATATACATAATTGACCTATCTTTACAGTTTCATCCACACTACTGGATGTATTAACCTTCTTCTGATGTCTTCTAGCAGCCTGGTGAAGATTCCTGTTGGTGCTTGGTGAGTCTTCATAACGATTCATCAATTTTTGTTTCTCATGTTGTCCCAAATTTCAGTGTGACTGCACTCCAATCACTCGAGATTGCCTCTGATACACTGTTATCTGGGAAGGCGAAAGTCATGATTACTGGTGGCTTCGATGACATCAGCACGGAAGGCTCTTACAACATGAAGGCCACGAGCAACACTGAGACTCAGTTTGCCATGGAACAAGAGCCCACTGAGGCCCCCAGGAGCCTGGCATGGGAATGGATCTGTACAACAGCTCGTCTGCTGCTCGTGCGGTCTGGAAAGGAGATGCACACTTGCTCACCGTGTACAGCTTTTCTATCGTTGAGATTGTCAAGGACAACCCAGAGGAGAAGACCATCCACTTTGGTGGTATCAAGGGTCAGGCAATTCATCAGCGGTACTGGACATGGCCTATGACACGATGGACAAGGACGGCGTTGTCAACACTCATCCCTTCTTTGCACATATTTGCACTGCAAAATACACTTTCAGCCACCCCCATGGTCTCCTTTTCGCTACTCAATTCACACAGATTGCACTCGTCGTCACTGAGCAAGCTACATTCAAATATATGCGAGCTAAGGGCTTCGTCCAGAAGGACTGCGCATCTGCCGGACATTCACTTGGTGAATATTCTGCACTTGCCTCCATGGTTGATGTCCTCCATATATCCGCTCTTGTTGATGTCATTTTCTACCGTGGTATCATGGTGCAGCGTGCCATCGAGCATGATGCTCACAGCTGCTCCAACTATGCTATGTGTGCTGTCAACACCAACCAGATCTTGAGGACCTTCACATCTTCATGAGGTCATTGACACCATTTCTACGTGTATGACTATGTTGCTTGAAATAGACAACTACAATGTCAAGGTCAGCGCTTTCTTCCTCTATACTTCCTCTCGTGGCTAATGAGTATTTGCATAGGGTCAGCAATATGTTTGTGCTGGAGAGCTACTTGCTCTGCAGACAATGACCAATGTCTTGAACTACCTGAAGGTTCTGAAGATCAATATCCACAAGGTTTGCAATTTATCCATCAGAACGATCACAGCTCACTGTTTGTCTCTATAGCTGACTGAGAAATTTGCTTGAGAAGGTCAAGGAGATGCTTGGAAACACCGTGATGAAGTGCTTCAAGCGCGCTAAGGAGAAACAGCAAGCAGAGGGCTACATCAAGCTTGAGCGTGGCTTTGCAATCATTTATCTGCCTAGTATTGATGTGTTCTTCCATTCTCCTTATCTCTGGAATGGCACCATGCCTTTCCGTGCATGTAAGTCATTCATATATATTACATTGATTCTGCTTATAACTTTCCCCAGGCCTCTCGAAGAAGGCCAACCCATCGCTTCTTAACCCTGACATGCTTATTGGAAAATATATCCCGAAATTGTTCGTCCAGCCATTCAACATTACGCATGAGTACGCGCAGCTCATCTATTATCAGGCATCTTAGCCCCATCGATAAGGTCCTCAAGAAATGGGATCAGGACAAATGGACGTCCCCTGAGCAGTGTCAGAAGCTTGCATTTGGCATACAGCTACCTCCCTTCATTACTATGCACACGTTTTACCCTACTATTTCCCTTCCTATTACCACGTCTTCTTCATACATTTTATCCCTTTGAAATTCCATTGGCATCGACTTCCCCCACCAGAAGTACTCCGTGGAGACATTGAGGCATTGCACACTAGGTTGGGAGAAGGGGGGTGACCTTTGGTACGAGTCAAATACCCTTGAGCACCAGCCTTCAAGTGACTCAAGTCTGAATCAAAGCACTTAAGTACGGATTACTATTTTCCAAAAAGCCTTGAGAGACTTCGACATTTTCTCCACTTATGTAATCAATCATCCCCAGCACATGGTCACGCCTGCTTTTTTTACTAACATTTTGAACCTTCACATTCGTGTGGCATGGTGTAACCCAACACAATCATGTGATATATGAGTCTCTGTCTACCTTTTTGTTTAACTTGGTGTAGAACGGTTCAACCTGGTTGGGAAGTCCTAGTATTATCCACATCTCTCAACTAGGGAATATCATACCTCACCCCTTCCATTATCTGACCCTTTCATCTCAATCTCATCCAGTCCTTTTGTCAGTCAATGCTGGTTTTCCCACCAAAAAATTCTGCTGGTGAGGCCAAATTTACCATAGGGCAAATCCCACTACCGCCATAGTGAGAATTATTCAGAAACAAACAAGCTCATGCATTTTCAGGTGTTAGTGCCCAACAAACTGGAAGAATCATCCCCAACCATCCGGCAGGCTTGGGCTGCAGCAACCTCACTCTCCCAGGCTGTCTCTGAAGGGGGATGCCCTCTTGCTGCAAGCTGAATGCATCGATGTTGCGCTGTGTGTGAGGAATGATAGCTAGATGAGAAGGGGTGAAAGGGGGAGAAAGGGTGAAGTGGGGTAAAACTCAAATAGACCTCTGGACGCGAGTATAGATTCGGCCCAAGGGGATTGCTACTGAGAATGATTCCTCTAAGTAAAATATGGAGGGGAAACTTAGAAACTGGTAAGAGTAACTGAGAATGGAAGAGCGCGCGACGTTGCACTTGAAGCGATGCGAGCATGAGCAAGCCACCGAAGGTGCGATATGATATGCAAATGAGCGACCGGAAGTTCGGCCGAGCACGAAAGCATGGAGAAAAGCCAACGGTTTATAGGAACCCGCATTTAGCGGATATGCGAAGGAGATGTGACATGACGATAAAGAGGGAGGAGAGTTCTGATGATGATGCGATGAGCGATGTGTGAACGATAGCGCGACCGTTAATACAGCACGCGATGTAGTCGGCTGAAGGTTTTTAGACTTAGAATCTGAGTGTTGCGTGCAAATGGATGATAATTTCGATAGCGGGAAAAGAAGATACATGAAAATTCCTAAGTCTAAAGTATATATTGTTGCGTGCGTAGCGCTGTTCGGAACCGAGAAGATAACAGTAATACATATTAAGGGTCTATAACGCAAGTAACGAAACATACGCAATATCATCTCCGAAAATATAATCAGTCTAACGCGAATGAGATAAAATACGCACCAATGGACAAGCGGAGGACATGGATAGGACGGAGGGGGATGCGCGACGGAACCGACGAAAAGCGGATGTGAACCGAAGTGCGTGCATGAGCTGCGGCCGTCGGCTGATGATAGGAAGGGTGCGCGCTGTGGTAGGACCTGAGAGACACTGCAAAAATAGCCTCTACGAGGCTACAAGGACTACAAGTCCTACAGCACCTAAAAAAATTGGGCCCTTTTCCTCAGAGTTTGAAGGGCACAGTACGAGCCATTCAACACACCTCAAATGCCGGGTGCAAATGGCAATCCAGCCAAGAGAATTTACCTTCTCTCCTTTGCCGATTTACGTAATACATGGAAAGGATCAATCCTTACAAACATACCGACCTTGGTTATACCCGACTCCCACTGGCATTTCAAAGTTGAACTGGGATCACTGACATCACTGGTGCAGCGATTGCACTCCATGAGAAGTGTTTGTGGGATTAATTTCATGGCAAGGTTCAGCAGAAACTTCTTCAGTCTCTTCTCCATGATGTTTGTCCATGACCAGAAGAAGTCCATAATGTCGGCAACCAACTGGCACCGTTTGATTTCCCTTGACCGACGTCGTTGTGCGACCTGCTGGATGTCTTCTAACTGGAAGAATGGTGTGACCCCCCCACATCTTTGCATCTATAACGGCAATTTTGGTCCTTAGACTATGATATGGCTGATGTCCAGAAAATACCTGCAGGATGTCAGTAATATAACAGTGAATGGGAAAGTGCGACACACCTACATCATAATACAGCCATAAGAGTAAACTTCACAGGCCTTAGTCAGCTTAATGTTGTCCATGGTAAGTACCTCTGGTGCCATCCACCGGGTATTGCCCATGTGATAGGAGGTATTCTGTGAGAATTGTTGATAAACTGAAGTCCCGATATAGAGCGTCCCACCACCGCTGACCAGGATATTGGTCTAGATTAAGGAACCATCATTTCTGGTCGGAGTAGGGTAGCAAACAATGCCTACACCGGTAAGGTCGCCTTAAACAATATTCCTGTCAAGTACTACAGGAGATCAGTCAACCAAAATGGAAGAGCCGTTTGAACACTCACAATACCGAAGACCAGCTGCTACCTCTCTAACCTGACATGTCAATTCAGGACTCAGCTTGTCTCCAATACATACCATAGTCAACTTCTTCTCTCTCAAAAGATTGACTTCCTGTCTCTAATAGTCATTTAGTGACCCATTTTCTAGCCATGGAGTGACTAATGTGGGAAGTGGCCCAAATCCCTTGGTAACACCCTCAAGAGTTGTCGCACGACAATCAAATCCAAATGTTGACCTCACAACGAATCTTCTGATGAGGGTCTGTGAGCAAATGCAATAGTGAAATACTTTGATAATGCTCTAACCTGGCCAAAACTTTGTACTAGTTCTCCATCTGCAAGCCCAGGGATCTTCAAGTTGATGACTTTGATCATGACCTTGGTGGTGATAGATAATTTAGGGGTGCAGCAGCAATTGAGCCATAGTCATTGGGTGTGGTGTTCTTTCTGAACAGTGTACTTTGGAAGTGGTTCAGCAGGTAGATTGGTGATAGACGTCTTGATAATGTGGTGGGAAAGCATTGCAGGTCGGGCGGAAAGGACAATAACAATATAAGTAAATTTTAAGGAACAAGTAAGAGACACAACGGGTTGAGAATAGCATGGTAAGGGGGTTTACAAGTCATGGGTCCATATAACACTGGTTATCCAAAATACTAGACAGAGTCTTATTCACCAGTCACTATCAAAGATGCAAACACATACATCAGTGTTTGTAAAAAAAAACATAACCACAAAAGATGACACACATGATGACCGTATCTGCAGTCTGCAAGTTGAGACCCAAACCACCAGCTCGTGTTGAGAGGATGAAGACTTTGATCTCTGAGTCCTTTGCATGCTGTACATGCAAGGCATGCTCTGCCATCTTCATACCAGCAGGAGGGGGGCCCAAAGTTTGTGGATATTGTTCTGAAGGGGAGTACTGGTGATAATGAGGTGGTAGCGGGAGTGATAGTACTGAGTGAGCTTCTGCTGAGTTTTGACTGGGTGTTTTCATATGGTGTCCCTCGTCTAATACTGAGGATGAACAACTAAGAACCAACAAAATGCTCAAACCCACTCAACGATGATCATGTGCACCCATTTGAGCTTGCTGAGAATAGGTCGGTCCTTAATGATGTACTCGTATGTGATGAGCAGAACTTGGAACTGACTCATCTGCGGTTCTCCTTGGAGGTCCTGACATTGTGCGGGGTTGCCCTTATACACTTGTAAATCAGGCGTCATGCAGCAATCGAATGTCTGAAGGGACGGTGAGATCACGCAAACACATAGCCAGGCTCGCTCACCTTTGATAGTAGGTTGGAATAGCACCATAACTCGCATGCTAATCAGAGCAGAGGTAGAGCAGCTGCAACACGAATTGAATGACAAGATTCAACGAGGATAGTGAGGCAGCTCCAATGCTATATATGAGCAACTGCGCCTGTGAATGAACAGCTGAACTTGCACAATCTCATCGAACCTGATTGAGAACCAGATCAAGAACATCCAGAATCTGAGCAATGACCATGACGGCGATGGCTGTTGACCACCAAAGATTTTGGGCTGCAAGAACCAACTCCAAGGAGACCAATGCTATCCTCACCTTTGGCAGCATCATGGAGACCTTCAGGCGCAGACTGCTCCATCATCTGAGGCTCATCATCCGGGTCTTCTCCTTCTTCCTCATCTTCCTCCTCTGCAAAAGTCTCTCAGGTATGGTTGCTGTTGACACAAATTCTGGTAGGAGTGTATGCGATCGGAGAGGTCGGAGACAATAATGCTGGAACTGTTCCTGTGAGAGCATGACAATGACCTGGTTGGGGATGACGAGGTGGCATAGGTATTGAGCTACCATATCTGGAGCTAGGGCTAGACAAGCCTGGGATTACGTAGAATTTGGTGTTCGCGACTCCATTGAGCGAGTGTTTGTTGATGGATGTGTCTTTAGGATTTGAGCATATACCAGTCATTGAAGAAACTGAACCTTCACGGCCAGGACACCAAAGTTGGAATGGGTGACGAGATTATACCAGCTGTCCAAGACTGGACATCTAACCAGAGGTGCATGGAAAGGTGTGTGACATAGCTTTGCTGTTATCTTCAACCTCAATCTCGGCCTCAGCATCTTTGTCTGACTCTTCTTCGCAGTCCCTATCGGGATGGCATAAATAGCTATAAAATTGCCATATGCAGGCAAGAGTCTTTGGAAGGAGGATTAAACTGGATTGAAGAAAGAATCAACTAGAAAAGAAAGAGTGAGAAACAAAGGTGACTGTTTCGAGAGGATCATGGGAAAATTGGTCATGACCAGGGGTCCTTATCACTGCATCAGATATGTATTCCCTCAGTTGATATATGCCGTACATTATATAGGCAGTCTGCTGTTCAGAAATCATGGAAATGTAGGTGGCCTTAGGGACAATGCTGGTCATCCTGTTCTGGACATTGGGCAGCTCAACGCAGATTTGCAAGGTTCTTCTACTTCGCTTGAGCTTATTATAGAATCATTGAGGCACAACTCTATGTAGACCCCCTTCGATTGCTCGAACTTCCCAGCAAAGACGTGAAAGGAGAAATTTTCATTCATGCATGGCCTAACAGGGGTTTTAGATCGCTTCTCAGAAGGTCTATGCACATGGAAGATCTTGCCATCCTTGCTTGAGGAGGTACGTGTCCTATCCCTATTTCCAATTCAAGCTGCAGAACTGATGGTACGCCGTTTCGTTGGCAGATGAAAGACACGCATTCGCTTCTGTATATCCTTCTGAATGTATTTGCTATCTCCAATGTTCGTTCTGCACCGCAGTTTGCTTCACTTTCCACTTGTTCTGCCTAATCTTGAGCCCCTGTTTACCATCAAGGACACGTCACAGAATATACTGACACTTCTGGACAATCTCCACATGTTGCGGAGTAAAACTCAAGGGTGTTTTTGCGAATGTGAGCAACAGAATCGGTATTACATCTCACACAGTTTACATTATTTTCAGAGGTTCTCCCACTTGTGTATCATGCGCTGGAGTCTGAGCATGCTATGGTGAGTTTGTTAATCAATGACATGTCATAGCATGATCCGATTAGGTACAGGTACAAGAGTGTGCCCTAAAGGTGGTTCCAGATCTTTGTGAGACAATTGATTATGCCGAGGTTTCCAGTATACTGTTCCCCCGAGTGGCTGTGAGTTGCAAACATGTTGTCTATGAAAAATGCTGAATCTTGCATCGTGCAGCTGGTAATTATCGATGTTGTGTGCGCATCTTGTTAATTAGCATGTAGGATTCTGAAGTGGCGCTCGTCTGACTGCCCGCTAGGCTAGTGACCCTCCCTTCCATGTATGGATAGCAAAAATCTACATTTTACATTTGCATTATCATCTTTGCGTCATTTAGCCCTTTTCTTGCTGTGCCTATCTCTTGTCTGTCCTTATTTGCACCTTGCTGAGGCTCAATGGAGATCTCAGACTCCTGTGAGTATGAATGCGGGAATGAAAGGAAGATTACACTCTGACAATTGCGCAGTGTTGTCATGCATGACTCACCTGTACATATGCTCTATTAGGATATACAATGATGAATACAAGACATACAACAATAAATACAGCAGACTGCGCGCGGCATAATGGCAAATTGAACAGTTACCAAAGATCCACCATAGGAAACAAGGCCACAAAGGTCAACCACAAGGACAAGGACTTCAGGTTCCGCCTGAATAACTAGAAAAAGTGCAATGGGGTGTGAAAAAAAAAGGTTTCTAGCTGCATTGAAATCAATCACCCACCGCGAAGATGTCATACCTAGAATGGACGACCGATATGAACGATAAACTGATCGTGTTGATGGCAGCGGTGAAGTGGTCAGGGACTTTATTGTGATGTGTGTCATCTAATGTATTCATTCTCACTTGGACGTGTAGATAAGCCTAGGATGTGAGGTTCACAAAATCAGCGCCAACGCATGAATCTGGAGTTGACTGCGCCAGGGGCACTCACCTCCCTGATATCATATGCAAGAAAATTCGCATTGGAACGAGTGCTAGCTAACTCTCGGACATGCATTCAGACTCCAAAATGGTGGTGTCACAATACCACCTACCTGGCCGAGGTCCACGAGCTCTCCCAGCATCATGGGTACCCAACGATCAGAATACAATTTCTTTGGTATCCTCCAAGGAGTTCAACACTATGATTTGTGGGTGCAATGCCCCAAGATACATGATATAGCCTACGAAAGAATGTTGGCCGAAAGTAGTTGTATTAAACACGCGGACAGCTCACCATACAGGATTCCCCATTTTGCAAACACTTTGGCTAAGTCAACTAACGGAAATATCAAATAAGCTCCCAATGGTTGGCTTTTGTTGGGACCAGGAGGTGGTGGTATGGGCTGGTGCATGTCCTTTGGCTTGCATTGTCTGAGTCTTTTGTGAATGCACCCGATTTGTGAACATCGTGAGCTTTGGAGAAACTCAGGAGAACCGAATAAGACCCGACTGGTTACCAGAAGCCCAATCACTCCCTTATGGCAGCAGCGATAAAGATTGTCGCCCCACTCACTATCAAGCACTACCACCTTGCCTTCACTACTACTATCCACCATGGGTGATGAAACGGAGGTTGCTCTTGTGCGGAAATGGCCCTGTGGCATTCTACACAATGAATCGGAGCATTCAAGGTTACGGAAACGGCTATACTCAGTGATCCAGGAACCTACTAAGAACCCAATCCCAGATGTTCCCTCAGTTGTCCGACTTCACGAGCTGCACTGCACAGATTCAAGCCACGTCTTAAAAGATATGCCATTCCCGGTGTAGGTTTACAACTCAGAGTGGTGCTATAGGCTCCAAACTGATATCTTTATGTTGTAGGTCGTGCACTGCCTATCTGCTATACTTGCGGAACAAGTGCGTTCGACCCTAAAGGGGAAGCTAGTGCAGCAAAGGTCTAGAAATGGACGCAGAAGGTGCTGCTTGTCGGCCGATGCGAAGTGTGGGAAAGCGGCGGGTGCGCGCGCGTAGCGTGGGAACGTAGTGGTGGGCGAAAGCCGAAGGCACGGGAAAGACGCGGCTGCAAAGCGGCCGATGCGCAAGGGGTCCGGATGATAATAGAGACGATAGAAAATAGGAATAGATGTAGAGCCAAGTGATAACTGATATGATGTGAGCGGTAAATGGATACTGATTACCAATAGCTACCAACTGTAGGCTAATGGGAGTTTGCTACTGGAACGACCGGAAAACAAGCTACTGAATGGTATGTACTGCTAGTGCTTAAGTAAAGTGCTAAGCGCTGTCACACGGAACCGAGCCGACGCGCTACCGAGTTAGGTATGTAAAGCTATATGTAAATAAGGGTCTATGACAAAATAAAGGTGGTCCGATGCGAAAATGGTCTGATATGTAAATATAATCATGAAATAATGTACCATTGGGTTGGTTTTGGACTATGGATGGGTGCGGAATGTCGGCCGATGAAGCGCGAGAAAAGCGGCCGCTAAGCGCGGCTGTGCGTGCACGCGGGAACGTTGCGGCCATCGTGGGAAAGTTGCGGCCGCTATGCGCGGCTCGCGGGAAAGCTGCGCTTCATGTAGGAAAGTAATAGGGTGCTGAGGGATACCACAAAAATAGCCTCTACAAGGCTATAAGGACTTTCAGTCCTACACTGGAATACGAAATCTCTGAAATTCTGGACTCCAAGATCGACCGCCAGAGACGTCACTGCCAACTACTATACTTAGTACGTTGGGCCGGATACGAGGGAACAGACGAAGAAACTTCCTGGATACTCGCAACCAAACTCGGAAATGCGCCGGAACTTCTATTGGATTTCCACTTGGCATATCTGGATAAGCTGGGACCAACTTCTAACAAAAAGTAAAAAAGACATGCATATATTTACATTATTTAGGTGTCCGACATCCAGACTTTGGATCCGACGACCTAAGAATCCATCTCCATGTCTCCGCCGGCCTCCTTTTCTGCCTCCTCCCCATTTTCCTCCTCCGGAGCATCCTCCACATGCATCCGGAAACCGTTCCTCAGACTCTCCATGAAGAGAGCCTGAAACACCCTCTGCTCCTCCATGAACCAGAGCATGTTTTCACTCACCCAGTCCATCGCAGCCCTACTTCCTTCCGCCGCTGCAACACCTCTCTCCATCAGCCCATTGGTCCGGGCCAGTTCCACCACAATGTTGTTGGTGGCTGCGACCCAGGCCTGGTCATCATACTCCACCCAGTCTTGATCCTCCCCAATAACCGTCTGGGGATTGGAGACTATTTCCACGTCGTCGTCAATGTCCTCCGGACTGCGCTGACATCTTTTGCCCTTGCCCTTTGGGGATGGAGATCCCTCCGGACACGTGCGTTTCTTGCCTTTGCCTTTGCTGGCTGGCGCCTTGACAGGCGGATTTCTGCCGAAGCACTTCTCCTTGGACGTGCGGCACTGGTTGCAGGTCCGGATCTTTCAGAATCATCAGTAATCATCCGGATCCGGACAAAAAGAAAACTCACCCTAGGCATCTTAGACGCTACTGCCCAGGTGCAAATCTTGCGCCTAAGGACACACATCTCACACGCGACCTCCGGATCCACCGGACCGGAGGACTAACATTTTGTTAAACTCCGGAAAAACACAAAAAACCTCATCTGACTCACCTCCGACATGTTGCCCATCCTAACCTTTGCCAAATGCTCCTGCTCACACTCAGCCAACCTTTTCTGGGTCTCCTCGATATCCTTCTGCTTCTGTTCCTCCATCCGTTTCCGCTCCTCTTCTGCCTCCTTGCGCTTGTGCTCCTCTTCCTCCGCCTCTCTCCGAGCGTCCACCTTGAGTCGCGTGATTTCGGCCACCATTTCGGCCTGCCTCTCTTGGAGGAGTTGCTGGGCAGACTTCGAGTTGCCAGAAGTGGAGTTAGACATGTTAAAACAGTAATTGGAGTTAGGGGGAAAGTTTTAGACGTCTCATGGGCGCCCTGGCCTACTTATATGTCCAGTTCTATTTTTACGAGCTCCACCCATCATCCCGCATTCATAACAGTCCGGTCCGGACTTCCAGATCAGAAGCCTCGTGGGCTTGGCCCTAAGAGGGGGATACTGTCATATCCCGTGTTCCAGACCCGGACCTATCACACACATCATTTCCGGACTTCCGGATCCGGCCGACTTCTATCTATCGTCCAGATCCGACCCACGTCTATCTTCCATGCCTTATCCCTTTGTACATTCCTTCTCCAGTTAGACTATACTCATTTTCCGTACCTCGTTTCATTTCCGCCTTTATTTTCCTATGTTCTCATCTCCGTCTCCATTTACTATTTTCCGATAGACTAGTGTTTGACTTTTCTATACGCTCCGTCCACAGCCTCGCATAGCCTCAGACTGCACTGACTGATTCTCCGTTAAGTCCTCAGTAGTATATAAACCCTGTAGAATCTTTGTACTTCCTCAGTTCAAATATTATCTTAGACTCTGCTCATTCCCTTCTCCGTCCGACTTGAGTTTCTCCTCTCGTCATCCTCCACTAGTCTTAGGATTGATTCCTATAGACTTCTCACCTCTGCCTCTACCTCTGGTAGTCCTCCACTGTTTCCTTTCTAGTTCGGACATTGTCCAGATTAGTCTTATCCTTCATTCCCGAATGTCTGCCAGAATTCCTGTGCATCGGACATCGGACTCCGGACTCGTCCGACAACCTTCGGACATCGTCCAACAGCCCTCGGAAGTTAGGGGCATGTACTCGGGTAAGGGGCGCAGTGCACGAGCTGAAGCCAAGCCCTTCGGATCCGACCCTTGAGCACGTTCTTAACAGGATGTGAAAACAAGTAACTACGCACCTAGTGGGGCTAGTGCAATGGGACTGGACATAGGTAGGACGAGTGTGCGTGATATCCAATAGGCTGATGTGAAACCTGATGTCCAATGTCCGGTGTTTTTGGGTTTGGTGCGTATTGAGTCGGATATGATAGGGAATAATCTGGGTAATGATTAGCATTCAACATGCATCAGAAAATAGACCTCTACGAGGCCACAAGGACTCCAAGTCCTACACCACAGTACATCATGTCTTATTCCATAGGACATTGGACCTGAAATATTGTGCTACTACTTTCACCTATAGGGTTCTGGATTTCTACATATCTACATAAATATTGGACTCCCCATAGCATCATCATCATCCAAGTAGAGGAGAGTTGTCTCTGACACTTAGGGGTCAAACCCGATATTTCGTAGTTCTTAGTTGACATTGCAAATATGGTCGTTTCTTCACCGTCCATATCTGTTATCATTATTATTGCACATACCACTTGCTTTCCCAACACTTGCTATCGTGTCACTATTAGTTTCTGATACACTGAACCCGAACCCAAAAACATCAGACCCGATAACCTGAAAACATTGGACCTGACACTTTTGCATTGGACATCATAATTATACCTTCAGACATTGTTTCCCACACTCGAATTATTGACCTCACATCACTCACTGACCCCCAAAACTATGCCCAGACTGCAGACCCCTGGATCAAATGCACTTGTCTCACCAAGTATAGCAGACTAGGTAGTGCAAGACCACAACATAAAGATATCAGTTTGGAGCCATATTTGTATAGCCCCACTCTGTGTTATATACCCACAGCACTTTTGGCAGCTCACTCACACTCGCATCGCACCAGCGCTAACCATTGTGTTTCCTCTATTCTCAGTTACCCTTACCAGTTTCTAGATTTCCCTTCATATTTTACATTAGAGGAATCATTCTCAGTAGCAATCCCCTTGGGCCGAATCTATACTCACATCCAGAGGTCTATTTGAGTTTCACCCCACTTCACCCTTTCTTCCCCTTTTACCCCTTCTCATCTAGCTATCATTCTTTGCACACAGCATGGAGCTTTCAAGAGTTCAAGGGAGTGTCAAGGAATGCAATGTGAGATTATCAAAAAGAAATGGAGGATACATGCTGTTACAATTAACAATGAACCTCCTTTACTACTAGCCATAGGTTTACAAGGTAGATTGCTAAGGTCAAGTTAGAGAAACTATACATGGTAAATACTGGCTACTATATACGTAGTGTTGAAGCGGAGCTCCAATATACAAGGGGAGTCTGAATGGTGATCGTCCAATGGGATAAAGGGCGCAAGGGAATTAGGTAGAATATTCTGTGAATAAGTGAAAGGTGAAATGGTGACAAGTGAAGATGTGAAATGGTGAAAAGGTGAAGGGTAAGCCTAAGAACCGTAACATTACCCCCTTTCTAAACCTGTTGTTCTCCCAGAATCAACTACTGTCAAAAAGAAAAATCTAAAGTAAGGAGTAGGTAATTTTTTTTTACTTTAATAGGTCAATGTCCACACTGCGTGAGTATGGCTTCTTCGCTCGTACTAAGTCCATATGTCAGAGGGATCCTCCTCTGGACGCGTACTTGACTCATCATCCTCCATTGAGCCTATGTTGGTCCTTCAGACCATGTCCTACCTACCTCTCTTCTATCTGCCTGATAAGGCCATGTGTTGCCCTCAACACCGTCGCAAACATGTAACCTCATAAATGGCAAGTCTGTAAAGTCAAAAAAAAAGTTTTTCATATGTCGTAAAGTTTGTCGTTTTCGTTTCGTAAAAATTCAATTTGTCATCAGTTTTCTTCTGGTCAGAGGCACTTCCCGTCTTGGGCACCTGTAATCAATTTGTCCCGCAGTTTTATTCTGCTGTCCTTTCTTGATCGTTTTTGAATTTCCTTCTAGTCCTTTTAAAGTCTTCTACCACTATTTCAGGTTTCAATTACTCTAAATGCCACGCTCTGGCTCCCTAAGGTCTAAAGGTCTGATCTAATCGGATACTGATCGGACATTACTGTTTTTCGTCAGTTTTCTTCTCTGGTTCTGTCTTTGAATAGTTTTGGCTCTATTTCCTAATACCTATGTCTGTTGAGAATTACTGCTCCATGTTTCAGAGGGAACAACTCAATTGGTTCGGGTTCAGGGTTCATTTTGTTATTCCAGATTCTACTGGGTAGTCGTCGATAGTGAGGTTCAATTTTAATTCGAAGCAGATTGTAGACTGCTTATTGGTGGTCATAATCGGTAAAGGTTGCAATTTTTGATAACCAGGTTTGAAACTGGTCGTCCTAATACAGATCAGTGTCTAAGTGACAATTCACCTCTCTTCTAGGGTCTAGCAATTTTGTTCACCAGGGTTGAAACTGGTATTTCATTCCGTTCGGTATAGTCAAGGGGCTCCTGTGCCCAGGCAGTTACTTCTGCTGTTCCTAATATATGACAACCTCCCTTCTTGGTTTGGATCTTGTCTTTGAGTCCTGGTTTCGACAACTAGTAGATGTCTTTCTCGTCCTTTGTATAAATCCTAGTGTCTTTCGTTCTAACCAACTAGTAGACGTCTTTCTCGTCCTTCATGTAAATCCTAGTGGTTTCCTATAGGCTCTTCCCGTCCTAGGGCGCCTAGACAGTCTTTCTCTACCATCATTGGTTGTACCTCTCTTCTAGCGAGAAGGCACGGGTTCATGTAAGATATCAAGATCAAGCGCCAGTTGCATTCTGGAATCCGATTCGCTTGTCTTTTCAATCTGATAATGTAATCATCGGAAGTAGGGTCCCCAGAGTTACCCGGATCTACCGCATCTACTTTGTTCTGATTCTTCCCGAAGGGTCCCGGCATTACCCGGATCTACCACATCTTCAGGGATCTTCGTATCGTAGTCTAATCTAGTAGAAACTATAGTATTGTATCATAGTGCTCAGCAGGCAGGGTCTTGGGCCAACACTGAGGACATTGGGTCGAACACCTAGATGTGTCCGCCCTCCATAGACTGGTGGCCACAAGTGCGGGGCCTGGTCTAGGACTACTAACTATAAAGGGGTCTGGCTACGGTCATAAGAGGGAATATCATTTGTTGAGGAGTTGTGTCTCCTGTCGGCGCCGTCATGGCGCGTGATGCCAAAGCATAGGTTTCTTAAGGCACCCCAGGCCTATAGCGAAGTCATTTGTCTATGGGTTTTGTCCCATGTCGGTCGTCGTCGTGGTCGATGATCAAAGGTGCAGCCAAGCTGCATCTAGTGGTGAGTACCCTCCGGGCTGGCCAATCCCAGCGCTTGGAGGGCCTCATCGTCGTGGTCCGTCTTGGTGTGCTAGTTCTGAAGAGAACACACAAGCAAGGAATAACTTGACCTTTTGTTACGATTAACAATGAACCTCCTTTACTACTAGCCGTAGGTTTACAAGGTAGATTGCTAAGGTCAAGTTAGAGAAACTATACATGGTAAATACTGGCTACTATATACGTAGTGTTGAAGTGGAGCTCCAATATACAAGGGGAGTCTGAATGGTGATCGTCCAATGGGATAAAGGGCGCAAGGGAATTAAATAGGATGTTCTGTGAATAAGTGAAAGGTGAAAGGGTGATAAGTGAAGATGTGAAATGGTGAAAAGGTGAAGGGTAAGCCTAAGAACTGTAACACATGCCCAGTGCCAACCTGAGTGTTATAATGGCCTACAAGCAGCTGTGGGTCACCCTTTGGGATCAGCCTCATATTTGCATAATCCACAAAAAGATTAATGCCTACATCTGGCAATCATCCTTGACTTCTAATGTGGCAATGTCTGACATTGAAAATGAAGATTTTACCTCTGACTTGATATGTTTGGCAATCACAAATGTAGTGTGTAAGGAATCCAACAACTTTCCTGGACATCCAACTACTGACTACAATCTCATCAATATTTCAGATATTCCTGGACAAGTCACCCCCACTCCATTCACAATCACTCCTTCAGCACCAGCCATCCTAATGCTTGCCCCTGGAAATACTACCACTGCTCCCAATCCTCCAACCTTCTTGCTAGCTATTCTAGCACCAGGACCACCTGTAGTGTCTGCTGCCACTGCAGCCTCTGAAGTCCCTTCAGCAGCTGCTGTTTGATTCAGAGGTTCCTGGAGTACCTACTGATACATTGGTGGTAGTGACAGCCCCATCTTCTTGTCATCAGGGCTGAGGGAGGAAGGCAGAGATGCTGGCACCTGTATCTAGTGGATCATCAGGTGAGCAGGACAGCTGACCAACACAATCCCAGAAAAAGTAGTATTAAGGACCACCACCTACAAACTGCTATTAATACTTATATATAGGTATTGTTTGATATGTTTCATTGAGGATGATGCTAGTTGCAATCAAATTTAATTGAAACCCATCTGTATGTATTCCAATGTTGTGGAGACCCAGTTAGGTTATTTGGATAAGCCTTGGGATCTAGATCTCAAGGTACTACAAAATTAGCTTAGACAGTGACAGCTAACAGTCAATATTGCAGACTTGGTTGAAAACCTGATTAAAATCAGCATTGTGACACAAACTCAATATTGTAACATAAATGTAATGTCATACTCTTTTATTGCAACCTATTGGGATCTTGGCTTGTCATTGGATCATTGCAACATGTTTCAAGGCAACAAAACCTAATTAGGAAATCTCTGACATAAGATAAACAATCAAAAGTCTAAATGCAAGAAACAATATTGGACATATTCATTGAGTTTCTTGTCTAACACTTTGATCTCAGCCTCTGTGGCTGAGCTCCCATCAGGTTTGGTGAATTGCTTGGTCTTTCTGTTGAAGATGTAGGGGGCAGACTTCACCGCTCGACCATCTGCATACCGCATCAAGCCTCTCACACCAATTGCCATTATAGCACTCAAGCTCGCGCTAGGCTCATATTCAGCTATTTCCCAATGCATGTCAAATGCCCATCACACACGAATCACTTCCCAATGTTATCCGACACTCACCCGTTCAATCCGATGTTTATCCACTAAACCCAACGCTAATCCGCTAATCTGACACTAATCTGACAGACCCAATGTTTCCTGCGCATCGGACCCGATGTTTTCCCGCGCACTTGTCCTTTCTATGTCTTGTCCTGTCATATCTATCCCCACTAGGTGCGCAGTTACTTGTTCTCACATCACTAACATCATAGAACACATTATTACATGTCCACAGTACATCGTGTCTTATTACATAGGACATCGGACCCGAAAATCAGCGCTACTACTTTCGCCTATAGCACTCCAAAATTCTACATAGACACTATATATTTCACATACCTCCTACCTATTTACTTTACCTTTCTACCTCCGAGTAGGAGGAGGTCATCTGATATTTAGTAGTTCTTAGCTGAATTCCGCAATATCATCCTTTCTTTATCCGAAACACTCTAACAGTAACCCGCCATTTGCTATCCTCGACGTTCGCTATATTCCTGACACAAACCCAATGCTAACCTGACACAACCTGAGGCAAACCACTAACCCAAAACCCAAAAACATTGGACCCAACATTTTTGACATTGGACTCGTAATTATACCTTTGGACTTTGTTTCCCGCACTTCGGACTATCTTCCTTTTGTTATAACTGATCATTCTAATACCATACAGCTAACCCCTCGGGTCGAATGCACTTGTCTTGCAAGTACAGCAGACTAGGCTGTGCACGACCACAACATTTTTATATTGCTGGCTACTTACTTCGTGTAGTGCCCAGCAATTGTTGTATCTCTACACCGTTAAGGTTCATTCCTTGTAGGTTATCCAGTTGCTGCCATCTTCAGCTAACTTCTGGATGTTGAACAGGACAGAGTTTGTGGAAGGGAGTGTGTTGTCCATGGCCAAGTCAGGGCTCATAACCTCTTAGAATGAGGAGCAAGCAAGCATGGAAGAGATGAGCTAGACAAACGAATATATTCTAAAGTATATTAGCTTGTATGAATGAAGGGAAGAAAAGTACAACACTTACATCTCAGTATCATGAAGAGACTGAGATGTCTAGATAGCTGGGACATTATTTATCGCAAATACAGGAAAAATAGAAATGGGATGTAAATTTATTTGAAACCTTGTGATGAGGAGACTTGGCCAAATGCTGACACATTGCGCTTGTACCTGTTATGATGTCATTTGACCGTTGTCATCCTCCAACTCCGACACAGGAAATATCTGAATACAAGCCCAGCATAAGGCCAAGTGCTACATCATTCAAATGCTCAATCTGGTACAATGACAACAGTGAAAAACCAGTAGGTTTGGTTCATGTCAGGGCTCATAACCTGTTGCAATGAAGACTATAAGTTTAGAGCTAGACACTGAGTTTTTCAGAGTAGCAGAGTGCTAATAATAGGAGATCAGATTTATTTTTACTCAGAAATCTCCTAATACATATATACTGTTTGTTTCTCTGAAACTCAGATATTCCAAAAGTTTCACTACCCATGCTGAGTAGGATGTGTTCAGCTTGTAAACCTCAATAATTAGCCTAACCATATATGGTATACCCATTTTTAATCAAAGACTAGTCTTTTTTCTTGTAATGCTGTCTGACTTAGTTGGATCCCTCTCTAAAATCAAACAAATAAACTCTACAATGCATGATATTTTTTTTGAATAACTTCAAATTATTTCAAACTCTTGACTTTATCAAGAGGTAAAAAAAAGCAATCTAAACCTGCTAAAACTTGAATTTGTATAATTTAGACATAATAATGCAACATTATTTTTAAAAACTTCTAATTAGCTTAGGAGGGTTTTCCTGATGAGTTGAGTAATGTGTAGATTTGCTGATGTCCAAGATCTCACATTTAGCATCTCTATATGCTCATGTTTCATTGAAATAAATACCTAAACCTATTCTATAGTAGCAAAAATTCCCCCTTTACAGTACTTGACAAACAATTATATGAACTTTTGAAGCCACTGAAAACACATTGCTTGTGACTTAGAGTGGCTGCACATCCCCGACTCCCATGTTAGTGGAGGAGGGTCTTTGTCAGTCGGATACATCTAATTTCCCTATACTTTTGTCTGCAACTCTGCTGGAACTTTCCATGTTTTGATGGCACAGTAACAATCATCTCAGAAAACTTGTGACAACTATCATTAATTAGCTTCAAATTCTAGCTTTTGAATAGTCGATGTGGCTGAACCCACCGCCCCTGCAAACATCATTAAATGGGTCAACCAACAGTATCCACATCCAGCTTTGGGTCCAGTAAAACTCTAATTGATGGTTTGCATTCTTGTTATTCATTCACCCACAGGTTTGGCTTCATGACTGTTGCTCATGGATCATATCCTCATCATATGGCCTTTCTCCAACTGATTGTCCTCAGTTTAGTTCTCATGTAATATCTTAATTTTTGCAGTCCAACCTTACAGACTCCACCCTGCCAAACACTGGCCTCCCACAAAATATCAGTATCATCATAAGTGCTCATCTTATAGGCCTACCATATCTCATAGAAATTTGTGCCATTACCAACACATCAGAGGACTGGTGAGCTGCAGATATTGTCATATATCCCATTATATGATCATATATAGAAAAGGTTTTCATTATATTGGAATATAAAGTCATATAAAGCCATGTATAACGTCAGAAAACCACTGCAATCAATGTAAAGCACCCTGGGGAGATTCACAAGTTCTCTGATGGCCACAATGGCATTAGTGCATTTACCTTGATGAATGTGAGGCAAAATCACATGGATTGAGTGGACTTGGCTGGCCTTATTAAAGAGGATGAAGAGGATGCAGAAGAGGACAAGGGCCCAGTCCCAAAGTATCTGAGAGGCAATTAGACTGATATGCTGTGTCTTGAGTTAAGCAATGGTTTCACAGCTGTTGAGGCTGTGGAATATTGTGCTATACCACAGCTTGAACTTAGTGTCACTCCACTAGGGTACAAGGTATGTGTTGGTCAGCCACATTGTGTGTCGTTTTAATAGAGTCATAGTCCAGCCATTAGATCCTCTTGAAGGACATACAGATTCGCAGAGGCATTATATTCCTTGAATCCAAGATGGGCCACCCAATGCACTTATTCAGGAGGTGTGAAGTATCACATTTAATGCGGACAATGTCTTAGGCAATGTGCTGGTGGTGAAACACATATGAGGTATGAAGAACAACTTGATGGATTGTGAGGAAGACAACATCCCTTGGATAAGCAGTATTATTAAGCAGTGAGTGAGCCCCCACACCCATGACACGTAGGGATTAGCATGGGTACTGGTAACCCACGTGGGTCCCAGGTACAGGTACCCCTGGGGTACGGGTCCGGTGTAGGTATACAACACAGAGTGGGGCTATACAAAGATGGCTCCAAACTGATATCTTTATGTTGTGGTCTTGCACTGCCTATCTGCTATACTTGCAGACAAGTGTGTTCGACCCAGGGGTCTGCGGTCTGGGAATAGTTTTGGGGGTCAGTGGGTGATGTGAGGTCAATAATCCGAGCACGGGAAACAATGTCCGAAGGTATAATTACGATGTCCGATGCAAAAGTGTTGGGTCCGATGTGTTTCGGGTTTCGGGTTATTGGGTTTGGGTTCGGTGTAGGTGAGGAATGTAGAATGATAGAAAGTGGGTGGTATGAGATATACTCAGATGGTCCTCTGTGTGTGAATCTAATGTCGGCCCAAGGGGATTGCTACTGAGAAGGTTCCTCTATATATAATAGTGGAGGGAAACACTGAACCGGGCTGTTGGATAAGCCTAGTGGGGCGCGTGATGATGAGCGAAGCGCGATAAGCGAAAGCTGCTACGGAGTGCTACTGAGCGACAAGTGCAATGGCGCGTGCTGAGTGAGAGCAAAGCGCGCGTGCGGGTGGTGGAGCGCAGCAACCCTTAAGTGAGTCTGGGGAACGGGTAAGGTGATGTTCATGTATAAGAATATGCGGACTGGCGCTCGTATGAGTTCTGGCTGCTTAGTGTCAGTCGGTGAATATGACGGAGATTTAGACTTAGACTCCAACAATGTGCGGGAAGAAGAAGATAATCATTCTACATAGAGGCAAGGTATATATATATTCTAAGTAGCATTAAGTGCTGTCAAGCGCTAAAGCGAGCCGGAAAGCGAAGCAAGTACGTGA